CTTCAATGAGCTGAATTTTAGAAGCCCAGAATGGTTTCTGTAGCTCAAAGTTTGTGGGTGGAGATAGGTGGCGAAGCAGACACATATTAACTGTGTGTACAAGCAGCTGAACTGCAAGGTAGACCTCATAAAGCAACAAGTACAAGAATGTGTGTGTGTGTGTGTGTGTGTGTGTCGTTAATGACTGCATCCTAAACAGCTGTGAGATCAAAGGCAAATCACTGACCTACTGTTTGAATGAGAAGCTGCTGAACTGCAGAGGATTTAGAGGCTCTAAACTTCTTCAAATAGCGTGATTTCCTTAAGTCACAGAATGAAAATAAGAACATCGTACGAATCCTCCGTCCTTCATGAACACAATGATGTGTTTTTCATGTCTGTACTTCGAAAAATGAGGCCACAACAGCGAGTTAAAAAAGTCTGAGCCTGAGCGATGATCCGGATTTTCTTGGAGAGAAATAACATTACAGTCAATGGGAGAGATTTCCGCCTTCTTTGGACAGTTGGTCACCTGCTGGCCAAGGGGTAGGATGTAATGATTTGAAACCTCTTTTGTGAGAAGCAGGACACATATACCTCCATTTTGATGTATTATTTGTGTCAGTGGAGTGAGATTTGTGGGCGTGGGAGCGATATATTCGAGCGAGGTTCTGTCGATCAGAGACGAGGTCTGCACTCTAGCTGATGACATCATCACTCTAAACTCTCCAATACACACCCATTATAAAGCTTGAAATTTGCTGAAAACCACAAGTTGCTTAAAGCTAAATTGTGGAAAAACCGTAAAAGATAGCACAAAAAAGTCAATACAGCATATTTGGAGGAGAAGATTGTGAACATTTTAAAGCAAAAATGAGGTCTCTAGGTGAAAGTACGCTGAAGTTATAAGGCTGAGAAGGTGGAGGAGTAAAAGGTAGGATTTGAAGATTTCCCCATTCATTTCAATGGGAAAATTTTTTGCACAAAAAGTCAAAAATATCAAAAAGTATAAGGGGTAGAAAAGAGAAAAGTAATAGCCATAATGTCCTGAAGGAGTGGAATAGTTTAAAGTTTGAACGGTTGAAATCGGACAAAGTTTGAAGGAGGAGAAGCGGTCCAAAAAACGGCGGAAGAATAATAAGAAGATTAAAGAAACGGGAGAATAACAATAAGTGGAAATGCTTAATCAGCATTTCCACTTAATAAAGAAATAGTAGAATAACAATAAGTGGAAATGCTGTGTCAGCATTTCCACTTAATGACATAACCTTGAGTAGGATTTGAACAGAGAAGGATCAGGACCACCAAGGAGAAGCTGACCAAACTGTCAAGCTTTGGGCTTTCTTTAATGGCTGATATTCAGAGGTGCACTAAATTCGAGAATCTGCTGCACGTCAGTTTTTATTTGCAGATACAGAAAACAAACCTGCGGATCCTGGAGCGCCGTCTGATCGAACTGAACGAGGGAAGCTGCACTTTTTGCACAGAACCTCAGTTTTTCTTCAAACTCTTAGACTTGTACAATGACTGCAAAGTTTTAGGTTGATGTTTTTGTTTTTTTCTCTCTCTCAGTTTGATGCACAAAGGATCTGTTTCAGGTCTCTTTGGGTCATCAGAAGGAATGCACTGCACCGTTCAGATTCCAGGTCGACAACTTCTTCTGCAACTAACTCTCGCTTTTCACTCCCAGGTGTGGTCAGGGCTGCACAGTTGATGAGTTCGTCACCACATGTCTGCACCCACATCACAGGCTGAGAGTTATCTGTGAACTCTTGGCTCTACTCCGCTGATATCCAGAGCCCCAACTGTGCAGCCTTGACTGCAGTTTGCAGGTATTTAGAGAATCTCATTCATGGACTTTATCTATTCAGCCGGCCTCTTCCTGAGTCTGAAAGGAGCAAAGCTGAGTGAAACAACTTTGACATCCAGGGTCGAAACTAAACGTCCAAAAAGCTTCTTCAGCGTCTGCCGCGGAGGCTTCAGTCCAGGTTTCAGAGGTGTATTTATTATTATTATTATTATTATTATGATTATTATTATTATTATTAACAACTGAGAAGTACTATGAATGTACTAAAGGGATAAAGTGATTTTACTCCAGAATTTAGTTAGCAATAATTTATTTAAAGCCTCTGTCTGGAGTTTGGCACCCCCTTGTGGACAAACTTATACCTCTATATCCTTATAGTAGGCCATGTGGCGTGTGTGTCCACATGGCTCACAGGATAAGAACATTGACTGGGACTCCTGCGGTTCAAACCTTATTCAGGATGAATTTTAAAGTCCAGGAGCAAAAGTACCAAGATAAAATCACGCAGAGCTCATCCCCAACTGTGGATGGTCTCCGGTGGCGCAGTGCGGTAGACATCTAACGCCTTAATGTGAGCCATGTGTTCTGGTTGAAGACCGGCTCCTGGTTCGAAACCCGCTCAGCCCAGGGGTGTGGGGTTACCCCCCGGTGTTTCCAGAGAGATAAAATAGGGGGGTTATGCTACAGGAAGTCAGAGCAGGCTGAACTTTAGAGTAAGGATGGGGAGAAGGTTAATGGGGGGGATTATAGGGGGGGGCGGCGGACGGCCAGCCGGCTGAGCAGAGGGCGTCCTACAATAAGTAATAATGGCGGACCGGGAAAGAGTCCAATACGCAGAAAAATGTATATTTTTTTTCTCTCTTGTAGGCCTGCACGATATAAGTGTGTGCGATAGTCACATAGCAGAGCCTGCGATGTCGGAGGTGAATGAACTTAGATAACTTAAAGGGTAGCTGACTGAGATACACTGCATGTGACTCTGCATGTGCTGTGCAGCGATCCACCAATCACCTTTGTCCTTTACTCAGTTGCCAATCAGACTCACTTCTCAGTTGCCAATCAGACTACCCTGCCAGCTGTCAATCAAAATCAGAGAGGAGGAAACCCACCCCTGCACATGTTCTGCACATGGAGGGAGACGCGTGTCCGCTGAGAATTACTTTCGGAACTTTACTGACTGTTAAGCTCAACAAATAAGAACTGTATGAGCTTTAAATTGTACATTTCCGTGGACCACTCTACTATAAGCGGTGCGCGTTTTGCGAGGTGCATGCAATTCTCGGAGGACATGCGTTTCTCGGCACAACACCGCTAACAACAACAACATTGCTAAATGAGCAACGAACAAGAGAAAACCACCGAAAATGAAGATTTGTTACCAAAAAGAAAAGGAAAGTCAGTTATCTGGAATTATTTCGGTTAAAAGTAGAATGATGTCGACCAAAACACGTGTTCTGTTTTTGTCTGTTGCCACAATAACGTCCCAGCACAATAAAAGCTAAAAATATCTCTGAGACAGACAGAAGCCATTCTAACATTCACAAAAAGAGGTAAGATCTGTGCAGGTTAACTGTCCTCAAGACTTCAGCAGTGCAGTATAACATTAAATGCTATTCAGGTCATCTGGTGAAAATTCCTATATTTTTAATATCGCAATATATATCGCTGGGTTGAAAAAAATCGCAATGTTGGTTTTTTCCAATATCGTGCAGCCTTACTCTTTTGCTTTGTGCCTGGTTCAGTAAACTGCACGTGCAATTTCAGCAAGGTATTACATCACTTGCTTACTGGCTTGACTTGTCAATCAAATCAGACCTCTTAGCCTACTCGACACATGAAAATAACCGAGATATCCTGATGTTGAAAACTGTCAGGCGGCAGACTGAGGAGAAAGTTGTAGCAGCAGCTAAACATGTCGGCTTCAAAACCGACAAGGTTGGACTCGAACCTATGACCTCAGGAATCACAGTCAGTGTTCTTATCCTCTGAGCCACTTGGACACACAGGATTATACCACTTGTTTCCTCTTTCAATTTCCTGTCTAGACACTAGACTTCAAAATTCACCTTGTCCCAAAAAAGGCTCGAACACACCACCTCAGGAGTCCCAGTCAGTCTCCTTATCCTGTGAGCCATGTGGACACACAAGAGAATTGGGTTCTTTTTTCACATATCGCTGTCCTTTGTGGACTCCAGACTTTAAAATTCTCCTAGAACTGGACAGGGTGAGACTTGAACCTACGATCTCAGGAGTACCAGTGAGTCTCCTTATCCCCTGAGCCATGTGGACACAGAAGACCATCATGTTTTTTTTCATATATCACTGTACTCCGTGGACACTAGATTTCAAAATTCACTTAGAACTGGGCAAGGTTGGACTCGAACCTATGACCTCAGGAATCCCAGTCAGTGTTCTTATCCTCTGAGCCACTTGGAGACACAGGATTATACTATTTGTTTCCTCTTTCAATTTCTTGTCTAGACACTAGACTTCAAAATTCACCTTGTCCCGAAAAAGGCTCGAACACACCGCCTCATAGTAGGGTCTGTTAACTTGAAAAAATGGCCAAATTGTTATGCGGTGGATAAAAGCACCAAATTTGGTACACACATTCTTCAGGGTGTATCTCATCATCTCAGAAGGGGTGCCTAAAAATGCATGAGTGAAAATGGCTCAAATGGAGGTCGTATACCTGACCCAGTACAAAAGTCTCCGGTTGATTTATTTAGCAGGAAAAAGGGAGTCGATCTCTGCTGCTCTGAAACCACATCTGAGTCCAAAAACAAAGACAAAGAATAACTTCATACTGCAAAACCAAGTGTGACGCCTGTCAGGAAACCTTATAAATCACAGCATGAAGATGGCGGGGGGTTATTATTATATGCCATAATAAGGTGTTGGTGTCTCTGCAGGTGTAGGTTACTGCCGGTGTCAGAAACATGGTGCTCGTCAGAGCTCGACTCCCTCTGGATCACAAATGTTGATCATCATCAGTTTGATTGTTTCTTCAGAAACCACAAAATCTCTCTGAATGACCCGCTGATACATCCACAAATAACCCTGCAGATGACCAGCTTCAGTCGTTTTGTAAATTTTGACTTTCAGTGAGAAAAGCTGCTGATCTTTCAGGATTTAGGATTTCAAACTCGCCCCTGAGATGAAGACGATGATGAAGATGATGATCTCTAAAAGAAGAAGAAAGAGGGCGGAGTCTGGATTGAGGAGTACTTGGGTAAAAACTTTATTAACAAAACAGAAGAAGGCGAAGCTCAAGCTCACAGCACAGCAGCCTACGTTAGCCTTCAGTCGATCACTAAAAGTGCCACGAGAAGAATCATCAATATTATTATTATTATTAATTATTATTATTGATCACATCCATGTTCGATAAAGTTAAATAGATCACACAGCCACTTGGATATATATATATATACTGCATATTACATTTATTATATTAACTCTATAGACCTTTGCAACAGGAACAGCATCTACAGACGGAGGGCAGCCGCAGTCATGCTCATTCTTTGAAATGTAGCGCCACCTAGTGCCGACTCAGCACAGTTACAGCAGTAGTACCAGGATAACACAGCAGCCCCATGATGGGGGGGGGGGGGGGGGACCATTACAATCTTCTGTTAATGACGGTTACCAAGGCAGTCAGGTTATGAAGGGGGATTTAAAGGGACATTACACCCATTTAAAGAATTCAATACAATCTGTTTTTAACCCCTTCAGGTCCGTTAGTGAATCCTGACAGACGACGACGACAACAATCAGAGTAAATAAAACACTGTGACCACATCAGGCTGTTAGTATTGCTGAAGAGAAGAGGGGTGTACGTTCACAGAGGGTCTGCAGACTCTCTGGATGCTTCTGTAAATCCTGAACGGTCCCTAATTAGTTTTTCATCGACTGAGAAACAGTTGAAGATTTTTTTTCTGAACTTATTTTCTTTTTTTAGCCTCTCAGGTTGTTTATTTTTCTTCCCTTTAGAGTCTAATTAAAAAATAAGAATCACATTTATGGAGTAAAATAACGGCTGATTCTAACACTGACGTCCCCGGTGTGTGAAATACTTGATTATTATTTTGAAATGTTAAATAAGATGGACTCAGACTCGACGCTCCTCCTTCGTTAAAGGGGCTGAAGAAGATAAATACAGAGTTCAGGCACGGTCAGGACTGACGCTAAAGCCGCAGCTTCACTGTGAGGAGGTCACCAGCCGAGCCGGGGTTCGATTTTCTCTACATTCTATCACAAACAGCAGGACAGGAGGTTTCTATGACAGCAGAGAGGGTGGCGTCTGTGTTCGACTCAGATTTCCAGTAGGCACGGAGGAGTGAGACTGCCCCCTGCTGGCAGGAAGACAGAACAGTGAGAGGTGACGGTGTCAGAGAGGAGGCTGGTCCCTGTCTGTGAGGATCGAAGACGGTTGCCTAGGCAACCACCCACTGCAGGATGCTGGTGTCTTTCCCGCCAGTGGAGATCATGTGACTGTCGTCGTGCAGGAAGGCAACGTTGGTCACGTGACTGCTGTGGCCACCGTACTCGTGGCTCGGAGCCTGAAAACGGGAAACAGGAAATGGTTAAAAAGAGTTACATCAGGTCTAATTGAAGGTTAATTTAATTAAAACATATTTAACAGTTCCTTTTTTAGATGTGGACTCTCTCTTTTATAAGTTATCGACAGAAAAATGTTTAAAAAAGTGAAAAAAACTTTGAAATGTTTTTAAAAAATAAAGAAAACTGCTGAAAAGAACTTCTGTCTGACACTTAACCTCAATTTCCACCGCATCAGAACGGCAACGCTGCGAAACGGCGGCAATTTTCACCGTCCGCCAAATACCGGAAAGTTTGTGAGGTGAATTTTGTGGCGAGAACTCACGAGAACCCGCAAATTCACACGCAATCATGCAATAACGAGTTGTCTCTATAAAGACAGACACATAGACATATAAGCAGTAGATTGTGTCCTTCCAGAGGAGGAAATCTACTTCTAGACTTCTAGAATCAGCATCTCCTCATCCATGGTGTCATCGGGGTGAAATGACGTCTAAAAACCTTTCACTTGTTCGTCTCCGCCCGTTTGCATGGTGTGAAATACGATCCTCCTGAAACACGGAGTGTTTTATTTTGAAAAGAAGCCGGATGTTTTATTTTGAAAAGGTGTAAATTGACACGTTAACTTGAATGGTTACGATCAGCTACGATTGGTGCTGACGCCATTTTTGCTGCCGTTCCAGATGCGGTGGAAATTTGGGGTTACAGACGAAAGCTAGGACAAAGTCTCCCTGCTTTTATTCGTCTTTCTTATTGTCCCTGGATGATTTTTAATCCATTTGTTTACGGTCTAAAATAACGAAATTTAAGTCGAACAAAGTCAGTGTTTGCAGACGGCATCACAAACACTGAAAGACGAACTTTTACAGAAGGATTTAAGATTTCTTTAGTCAGACCTCGAATCAATCAGCAACATTAGACTAAATTCAACCTTGATTATCTGAAAATGAGTCAAACTAAACAAAGTTTCTTGTTAGGATAAAGAGCTCGATGGTTTCAGGTCTTAAAAAACAAAAACAAACTTGTAGAAAGTTTTCAGCTCTGCACACGAACGCCCTGATGATGGAGGATCAGAGAGTTCCTGTGTGAGTCTCACTGACCCTTGGTTGAGAACAGGGGAAGGAGAACAAGTGCACTTTGCCAAAGTCGTCAGCAGAGGCCAGCAGGGAGCCGTCATGTGACCTGCACACCGCATTGATGTCGGTGCCGTCCGCGCCGTCCGGCCAAATTCCTGAGAGAGAGAGAGAGAGACACAGAGAGAGAGACATTAAGATTCATGTTCAGGCTGCAGTGAAAAGCTGAGCTGTCATTTTAAAATAAATCCTCGAGCTGCAAATCTAAAATTAATCAGTCAAATTTTATTATTCTGCAGAATCCTCCAAACTAACGAATGAAAAACTCAGAGTTTGTTAAAACGACTAAAAAAAAGAAAAGAGACAAAAACATAAAAAAGGAGTCAGAGAAGACGACAGCAGACCAACACCAACGAGATAAAAAATCATGTTATTAAAATTATAAAGTTTAAAAAAGTTCATCAGCAGAAATAAAAGTCTGGAAAAATAAAACAACTATAAAAATAACAGCAGATATTTGAGGAGACACCTGCTGAAGCTCAGAGAAACCTCTCAGGTAGAAGATCTCAGGTGAGTCTTCACAGACCTACCGAAGGTGCTGAAGCTCAGAGTGCAGGTGTAGGTGGACCACTCCAGGTTCCTCACCGAGTCCATGTTGGTCACATGTTTCCCTGTGGACGCCTCCCCTGAAGGAAACAAAGACAGATACTCGTTTTTTAAGGTCCATCAATATTTCAGGAGGAGCGATGATGTTCATAATTAAAGTGAGGAGGACCTACAGAAGAGGATCTCGTAGTCTCCTGAGTTGGTGACCAGGAACTGGCTGTCTGAGGACCAGTCCAGGTGGGTGACGAAGCTGGAGTGACCCTGAAAAAGGAGTTCTGGTTGTTAGGAGAAAAACCTGGACCCTGACTGAAGTTAAAGGGTTAACGAAGTCCGGACTCACGGAGCATTTCCCCACTCGGCTGTATTTGCGTCCGTTCTCCGTCACGGCGTAGATGTAAACAAAGTTATCGTGGGAGGCGACGGCCAGGAAGTTTCCATCTGAGGAGGAAAAAGAGGATTTAACCCACAAGAGCGGTCTCTGGAGGATCTGAAGGACCAGAACCTGATCCGGTTCTGACTCACCTGGAGAGTATTTCACATTAGAGATGATCTCGTTCCCATCAGTGTGCATAGAGACCAGATCCCGGGTGTCGGTGTCCAGCACCAACCACCTACAGCGAAAACCACAGACCCTTAAAACAGTCCTGATCCAGACCAGACTAAAGACCCTGTTTATTCAGTCTAAGTGACAGTCTTTGTGGATGGTCTCGTGTTTATCAGCTGAAGTCCATATCACAAAGTTGACCCAGTAATTTTACGTCAGTTAAAGAGGCAGAAATGCTCTTTAGATTCAACAAAACTGAAGTTGTTCATGATTTCTAAACTGTTTGGTTTGTTAAAAACCTCTAAAATGGAAACATGAGGCAGAAATTTATATAGAAAATAAATATTTATATATGTTATTGTTAATATGTTATTATAGTTATCCCTTTAATAGAAATATTACCGATATAACAAACATGGAATGATGTCGATCTCCATTGGCTAACAGAGTACGTAAGACATCTAGCCTTTATAAATACATATCTATGGTGAGACCGACCTTCCAGTCATGGTCCCAACGGCCAGAACCGACCCGCTGGGATGGAAACCTGCAGACCTGCCCGGGTCCTGGAGAAGAACAAAGACCAGAGTCTCATTAGGGTTCAAGGTTCAAGGTGACCAGAGGACAGATGAGGACAACAGGAGACCAGATAAAGAGATCGAGAACCCTCAAAACCCAGAAAAGGATCCCATAAAAACCAGGAACCAACAACAACCAGACAATGAGGTCCACCAGAGTCCAGGAAGAATCAAACTAAATCCAGCTCCTGGTCTCCTGAGATGTTTACCTCGATGGTCTTGCTCCACAGGGGCTGATGGGAGTTGGTGTCCCACAGGTGGACCTGTCTGTCCTGAGAGCAGGTGACAAACTGCTCCATGGAGGGGTGAACGTCCAGACCCCAGAGCTCATCCGTGTGACCCTGAAGACACGAGACCACCATAAGGCTGAACACCTGAGCGTGTGTGTGTGTGTGTGTGCGTGTGTGTGTGTGTGTGTACCTGGACTATAGGCGTCATGGTTTCAGGGAAGGCCGCTCTGATGATGGCGTTCTTGGTGGTCCCCACAAACAGTTCTCCAGTTTTACCTTCAGCCAGAGCTCGGACCGGACCGAAGGACTCTCCGACCTGAGGAACCAGAGACAGAAGAAACGGTGGACCACAGGGACCAAAACAGTTCCTACAGAGAAGAACCAGAACCAGAAGTTCTTTAGGTGGATCAGCTCCTGCGGTTCCTCTCACCTCCATCTCCGCCTGTTTCCTGTAGTCGTGGTTCCACAGGACCACCTTACGGTCCTTTCCTCCTCCGGACACCATGGTGCCGTCCTTCAGGACACACACAGAGAAGATCCCGCCCTCATGGGCGCCTGACACCTGATGAGTGATGCGGTTACCACCTGTCAATCAAACACAGGAAATCAGACGCCGTGTTTTAACGGACCAAATCTGGACTACAGGATCCGCTGTGACCCACCTTTGGCCCAGACGTAGATGTTTCCACTGGAGTCCCCGGTGATGGCGTCTCCGTTCTCGGCAAACGCCACGCACAACACGTACTTTGGTTTCTCGTGTTTCTACAGAGAGAGGAGAGGAGGAGGGTTACGGACCGGGACTTCAGTCATTCAGGAGAAAACAAAATGGTCTCCAGGAGGGTAGGGGGCGGGGTCTGCACCTCGAACAGGCCCTGCCTCTTGGACAGCGTGTTCCCCTCCATGGTCCAGAAGTTCAGGTGAGATTTCCCGCAGGTGACGATCAGGTTGGCGTCCATGGGATGAAAGACGGCGGCCAAGACCGAGTCGTTGGAGCACTGTGGGGACCAGGGACACGGTTAAAACCTGGTTCTGGACCAGGTCCAGTCTGCTGGGACCTCACTGTCTGTCGGCTATAGAGAAAAAAAAACTGTTCAGGAGGTCAAAGGTCAGGAGTACCTTCACGTCAGCCACTTGTTTTTCCTTCTGCCAGTTCCAGACCGACAGGATGTGGTCGTTGGCGTCGTCCACGGCGCAGAGGAAGGTCCCGCCATTCTGTCAGAAACAGGAAGTGAGGTAATCACGGCGCAGACAGACGGTCTGACGGTGTGTTTGTTGTTTTTTTTTAACCACTTACCGACTTGGAGAACGCCACACAGGTGACGGCACGGTCGAACACGCCCATCCCCAGAACGTGGAGCGTGTTCAGGCTGACGGAGTCCCAAACACGGACGTGAGGAGCGAGGAGCTGACCGCAAAAGAGAGAGAGAGAGAGAGAGGAGGTTCAGAGACCACGACTCAAACATCAGGGGCTCTATTTTTGTGCCGACCGCTGGCGGCGCCGCGGAGAGTGGCGCACCCTGCGCAGTGGTATTTTTTGTCTGCCAGTGGCGAATTTAAAGGTGAGGAGAGGAGCTGATGTGATTGGTGAAAACAGAACTCGGCTGTGTTAAATCCACTCCACGCCTTCTCCCCTCCCTCTCTGCTATGTACACCACTGGGAGGAGCTGAGTCAGAGAAGGGGGATACTTACGTTGGGCTGCGCCGCTCACCAAAATACCAAAGTGCGCTTGGGCACGCCTCATCGATACGGCGGATCTGACTTATGCTGCGCCCGCGCCACGCTGCCGGCAAGGCACGAAAAAGAGCCCCTGGACTCAGACTGAAAACAACGGATTCTGTTTCTGCCAGATTTAGAAACTCTTAATTTTCGTGAGGATGAAAACTTCTTAAAACTGGTCGCTCTCATCCTCGATGGTCTCATTCAGTCTGTTTCATAAACAAATAAAAAACTCCTGACTGGAGCTTTAAAGAAGTCTGTAATCCTGATCTGATTGGACCTCAAAGATCTCACACTAACTCTCGCCAACGTGTTTTTCTTCTTACCTTTCCATCTTTGGAGTTTCCAGCCACCTGTCCAGTTGCTATGGTAACCATGTCAGGATGCACGCTCAGGCTGGGAACAGAAATAAATAAACTCTTTTACTTCATTCAGATTATTTTAACAAACAGGATTCTTCACACTCATGACCACAGAGAGCGCTGACTCAGCTGATTTTCTTCATAAAATCCTGTTTCTTTGTCACGACAGTTTTTGTATTTTCAAAGATGGAAGCAGAAGAGACGTCATTCTAAGAGATTTCCCAGCATGCCTCTGTGGACTGAGTTTGTTTACAGAATAAAGTAAACGCCGTACATGAGGTCAGCTGTGTGAGTCTGTCAGTGACGATCAGGAGGTCAATATTGGAGTTTGAGGATCATCGTCATGGAAACAGAAGCTGACAGACGACAGTTTGATGAGTTTAAAACTTTCAACAAACTAAAACGATGAAAACTCGCTTCTCTCTTCAAACCAGTTTCTCTGACTGACGTGTTTACACGCCGCAGGAAAAGGTCAGGCGCCTCTCATCTCTCACCATTTCACGTCGTCGTTGTGACCCAGGTAGTGTCGCTGCTGCTGCTCCTCGGTGTTGTAGAGGACGACCACGGAGGCGTTGAAGTAGACGATCTCACCTGTGGGCAGCAGGTAGAGGTTGGAGCGGCAGTCCCGCCCACGGTAGCCGTACCTGATCCACGCTGGAGTTCAGGAACGAACTTTGTTTGACTGGAAATATCTCACTATCTAGATCTATATATCTACACTATCTTGATCTATATATCTTCACTATCTAGATCTATATATCTACACTATCTTGATCTATATATCTTCACTATCTTGATCTATATATCTTCACTATCTAGATCTATATATCTACACTATCTAGATCTATATATTTTCACTATCTAGATCTATATATCCACACTGTTTATCAGTTATTGTGAAAACCTGCAGCTGAACTCTCAGATTTATTTTCTGACATTTCATCAGATTTTCACCCGCTAAGAGTTTAATCTGATAACTGTGACGTCTCAGACGGAGAATCTTTTCAGTCTAACTCTGAATGTTGATCACGCTGAAGGTCAAAGGTTCGACTCTCTGAAGGATACACCCACTGCAGTTTGAGCTTGTGGTCAGGCAGCGCCACCTTCTGGTCCAGGCTGTAGCTGTCCCTCTGCTGGTCAGGGATGTGCATGGTGACCGGACGACCTCGGAGAAACATTCGCACGTAGCCGTCCTCTGGAGAGACGGGGAGAGAGAGAGAGAGAAAGAGAGAGAGAGATAGAGAGAGAGGGGAAAAAGAGAGAGAGAAAGAGAGAGAGCGTAGATTAAACTGATTCTGAAAAGTTTCATGTTTGAAAACGTTTTCATTCATGAGTTTGACTTTAAACAGTCGACACGTCAGCAGAGGAGTGAAGGAATGATCTTCTTCTTCTTCTTCTTCTTCTTTAGTTTAGAGGAAGTTGAAACTCCTTCATGACTTTGTTGAAACTTTGTTTGTCTGACTGAAGCTGAAGCTGCTCTGTCATTACTTTAATTTCTAACAGCTGCTCAAAGTTTCTGCAGGATTGTTGGTGAGCGACTCGCTGCAGAAACAAACAACGCAGAGGGTTCGGGTCTAAAGTTGACTCTTCAGAGACATTTATGGTTCTGGATCCTCCACAAATCAAGTCTGAAGTTTCTCTTTCAGAACATTGAATTACCTACAAATGTGGTCCAGCTGTTTCTCTGACTAAAAAGGAGGAATATTTGATACCAGCAGCTGAACTAAACCTCTCAGGTGTGATTAGAGTCTATTCTCTGAGTTTTTACTGAGAGAATAGAAACTCCTGCGGTCTGAAACACAAACATCAAACCTGAACTTTGTCTCTGACAGCTGCTCATATTTGTTGTTTTCAGGTTCCTCTCATGTTAAATCTGTTTGGTTTGGATTAGACGCTAAAAGCTCTTTGTTGATTTTGGGAAGAGCGCCATGAACACGTCATAAAACCATAAATCTAACTGTAACTGTGTCTCAGCTCTGTGCTGCAGAGACTTCCTCCTTTAGACGTCTCAGGAGGTTCTATGTTTCTGATTCTGCTGCAGAAAACCTGGTTCTTCTCCTGTATAGCTCCAGAGTGAATGTGGTGAAGGTCATGCTGCTATCTAACAGTTTTTAGGAAGTTCATGTAAGCGTGCTCACCTGCGTTGAGGGTACATTCTTTGGATTTGCTGAAACGATAAGAAAAGAGAAACACTAAATTATTCAAATGTGACAAACTGAGAAGAACGAGGGCGTGACTGTGGACCACGATGGAACAAAAGGCGGGCTGAGGTGTTGTCTTGCACCAACAAACAGAAGGTCTCTGAAACTGTATCCATGACATCATGCCTCCCTATAAGATCCTGCATTATTTATCCTTTTCTTTACAGGCGGCTCCCTCCTCCTCCTCCTCTTCATCACTCACAGCAGCACCGTCTGAGAGAGAGCTGCAGCGCTCCGTCAGCAGAAACACAAACAACATGCATCATCTAATCAGGACAGTTTTTATTGGAGACGACAGAGTCCAGAGAGCAGATCCAGATCTCTGCAGCTGCTCGGAGAAAAGGTCCTTTTTCTAACCGTCTCTCATGCAAACAGAGAGAGAGAGACTGAAGAGGGAGATCTTTTCATAGAGCCGAGGTGTGAAATAAAAAATAATCTCTGTCATCAAGATCTGAGAGGCTGCAGGAGAGCTTCAGTCCCATGAGCCTCGGCGGCTGCAGGATATCAGAGCGGTTTGTAGTCGTTTAATTCATCCCACCAATAAAGTGAATTAAAGTTCTCATCAGGGAAATTAGAGTTCATTCACTCAAACAGTTCGAGTGTTTTTAATCGAGTCCAAATCAAGTTAAATCTGGAGTTTTTCCCTTCAGACGGTGAAAACATGATCAGTATTAATTCTAATTTTTCAACCTCTTGAATGATGTTAGTTAAACTCCTGCTCTGAGTGTGAAAGAGGAGATTTAAACCTTAAACTCTTGAACACACAGACAGGCGGGCGAAGAGTGAGTCAGCAAACACTGAGGTGTGATGATCTGTGTGTCCTGACAGCTCGTCAAACAGAGTTCATGTTCACACACACATGACAAAGACACACAAACACACACATGACAAAGACACACAAACACACATGACAAAGACACACAAACACACACATGACAAAGACACACAGTCTCACAGAAGAGCTGAGGATGAGAAAACAACGCTGGATGAGACCTCAGGGGTCCGCCTCCTCTGACCTGTCAATCAAACCTGCAGCCGCCTCATCAGCTGCTCCTGAATCAGCCACCTGTCAACCAATCAGAACCCCTGCTGCGTGCTGACCGCTTAAACCATCCTGACACTGTCATCCAATCAAGAGGTGAACGGCTGCCTCAGCTGACAGGTGGACGTCACCACGGCAACAGTGTGAGGTTTGATGGCATGAGTGTCTGTGTCTCAATGTTCAGCAGTTTGTGTCCGGCAACGTTAGAGTTCTACGGTGGTCGAGAACCGCCACTGCTGCAAATAAAAAAAATAAATAAAAGTTACTTACTGCGAAAATAGCAGCTCACTTCTGTTGTGGCTTTTTTTATTTGCATCCTTTTATTTTTGCAGTAAGTAACTTTTTTTTTTGTTGCTTTGTTCACTTCTGTTGTGGCTTTTTTTATTTGCAACCTTTTATTTTTGCAGTAAGTAACTTTTTTTTTTGTTGCTTTGTTCACTTCTGTTGTGGCTTTTTTTTAATCTGCACTGTTCCTTTTTTGTCTTGCATCAGTAACTTCCATTGTGTTTCCATATTTTATTGCATTCTGTTTTTTATTTGCAGCAGTGGCGGTTCTCGGCCGCCGTAGAGTTCAGATTAAAGAAAGTGAAAAAAAAAAACAGTCACAGTTTTAAAAACTGAAACAGACGTGACGAAAATATTAAAATGTGACTTTATTTCTGTGAACCCGGAGGAGTTTTGGCCTCACTGATGATTCACAGACGACTGATCGATTATAAACACATGTGACTGCAGACCCACAGGCTGCAGATTTAGGACCTCATTTCTGAGGCAACAACAGCACCTCCCAGGACTCTGCAGCATCTAAAGGACCAGTAAGAGGACCTCTGAGTGAAGCCGCCTCTGTCTCATATTTGTTCGACTTCATTCAGATTATTCGACTGAAACTGAAAGTAAACTAAAGTTGTTTGTTTAGAAAAAATCCTTCCAGCTCCAGGATGAACGAGCGTGTCCTGACATTTGTTTTAGAGGGAGTCACCTGTGAGCAGATTCACAGGAAGTCTCCTTTATCCTCCTGATTCTCCCTGATCCTAAAAGGTCAGAGCGCTCTCTCTCTCTCTCTCTCTGTGTTTGAATAAAAGACGACCGAAAACCAGAGCAAACAGGAGCGGATCAGAGGACCCGACTCTGCTGGAGGCGACCGGACTCTTTTAAAGCAGCCACATAAAGGCCTGTTTGTCTCCTCAGCTGTGTGTGTGTCTGTGTTTGTACATGTGCGTGTGTGTGTGTGTGTGTCTGCAGGGGGAGATGAGGTGTGGTCGAGTTTTAGCCAATGAGCAAACAGGAGAGTTTCAGGCTCAGTAATTACAGCCAAACAGGGCGCATAACTGTGCATGTTCAGCCCGTGTGGCTGCAGTCCTGGTCGCCGGGGAGAGGAGCGCACAAACAGAGCGCGCTCATTAGCATGCGGCTCTGACGGGAATGTTGACGTTTTCGCTGCCTACGCTCAAAATCACAATGAGGACTAATGAGCAGAAAAAAGAGGCTCCAGAGCTCCAGACTCTCCCTCCCTGAAGTTTCTGACCTTTTCAGTCTGAATAAAACTCCTCTCTGCAGAAGCTGAACAGACTCTCCTCTGAGCTGAGGTGATGGGGACAGGAGCAGCAGACACTCTAATGTGCTCAGCAGGGGTCAGGATCTGGTCCAGGTCTTTAAACTGGACTGACAGAGCTGCTGATCTGCAAACTGTCAGTTTAACAAAATCACTTCATGAAGCCGAGGTCAGATAAACGTGAGCAGAGAGAGAGAGAGAGAGAGAGAGAGAGAGAGAGAGAGAGAGAGAGAGAGAGAGAGAGAGAGAGAGAGAGAGAGAGAGAGAGAGAGAGAGAGAGAGAGAGAGAGAGAGAGAGAGAGAGAGAGAGAGAGAGAGAGAGAGAGAGAGAGAGAGAGAGAGAGGGCGTCCAGAGGTTCATGAATAAACTCTGAACTTATAGATGTTGTTTTTATTATCAGCACAGATCAGTTTACTGTTCTACATTTAATCCAATTAACCGTTAAAAAACCAGGACGGCCTCTGAAGGACTTTAATTCTTCTTCTGTTGTTTAATTTTCACTCCACACTCTTAAATCTGCAAACATGATCTGTTGAATTTGCAGTTTAAACCATTAAGGAGACTTTGTTAAAATCTAAATCTCGTGTTTCTGTAGCAGAAATCTTGAGTCTGACTCGGTCCCACTCGTGTGTAAAGTGATGCAGGCGTGGAGGAGATGGGCGGGTTGTGTGGGAGCTGTGGGAATTATGGTCAAGAGTGCGTCCATTTCCTGCTCCATTATGACTGCGGCACTGCGGCGGCGGCGGCGGGTCAGTTAATGGACTGAAAACATGAAGAGACTGGAAACTGTTTGACAAGACGAACATGAGGCTGTGATGGTGAAACACCACAAAGAGAGAGAGAGAGAGGGAGGGAGAGAGACAGAGAGACAGAGAGAGAGAGAGATGGAGAGAGTTGGGAAGGTTGAGAAAATGTTTTAACCTTATTTGGTTTATTAAGAAACTGTTTGAGACAAAATCTTATATAAATGAGTTTCTATCTAAACTAAAGTCCATGAAACAGAAACAGAAACAGAGACAGAGTGACCATGAAGTCTTTTCTTCTTCTTTGCATAAATTCAGAGCTTCAACTCAGATCTTCTTCATGTTCGGGGTCATAATCTTCTCTACTAACTCTTCTCTTAGTTTCTTCTCTTTTTTTATAACTTCATCTTCGTGCTGCATAAATGCGTCCCTCCCTCCCTCCTCCATCCTGCAGAGCGGCGGTCGTTATGTTTGATGCATGTAAAGCAGGACCTCGGATCAATGTGGTCAGAGAATCTGCAGGCGGAGCAGAATCTCTGACGGTTTCATGAGTCCCTGCTGCTGCTGCTGCTGCACCGGCCTCTCTGGGAACAGTTTGTTCCACATGACCATCTCTGTGATCCTCCTGATACTGCAGTCAGATCAGATCTATACGATTGATCCATCAGCTGAGCGCAGAGTCACACCTGAGTCCTGATACTTCGGGTTTGATCGTCTCTAATCTGACAGTTTTCTTTACTTTCATCATTTTTAAGATGAAAAGTCAGAAACGAGGTTAAAGGATCAGGAATGAGAAATAAAAACAGTCTGAGAGAATCTAAAGAGAGACATGAACACTTCATCAGAGTTTGAATTAAAGTTTTTTCTTCACATATTAAAGTCCGGCCCACTCCTCTCTCCTTCTCTGTTTGTTTAAAACTTTAAAAACTTTTAAACTTTTTTCTGATCTAAACTCTATAAATTTGAGTTTCTGTGTTTTCATCTGATCCTCTAACCTCTCTGGTGTGTTCATGTAACCATGCAGCAGCAGCAGCAGCAGCGGCTCTGTTGACAAGGAAACACACACACACACACACACACACACACACACACACACACACACACACACACACACACACACACACACACACACTTCAAACAGCTCGCGTGACGACAGACTTTCATAAACCAGCAGAGAAGTCCTGTGGCTGTCTGCAGCTGGACCTCAAAGACTGATCCTGATCATCATTATGGTTCAGGAAGTAAAGACAGGAGAGACGGGGAAGTCTGGACGTGTTTAACACCAAACCACAGACGGTTTCATTATGAAACTTTAACCTACTTATAAATCTGACCGTTTCGAGCAGAAAACCTCCTCCTCATCTTTGAAACCAGCTGACACCAACAAATCAAACTCCGACTGAAACAAAACATGCAAACATGGAAACACAGGAAAAACACACAAACTCCTCCTGCTCACAAACACACACAAACACACACACCAGCCTGTTTCTGCCTCTGAGCTCCTCCTCTGGTCTAAAGTCTCTCATATGTAGAAGTTGATCAGATGTTTACCTGGAGGATCTCTTCATGGCTGCAGGTTTCCGTTAGAGTAACAGTCAACAGAGAGGAGCAGAGAGGAGCAGAGAGGAGCAGTCTGAGCGGATCTGACCCGTCTGACAGACACAGCAACACACCCACTTCCTCCTTCACTCTGCAAACTTTTAACTCAGCCTGAGGACGCACACAGCCAATCAGAGCACACTTCCTTACCGGGAAACCCCTCCCCTCTGCTAGGCAACCACACACCCCCTTCACAACCACACTCCCTTTACAACCACACCCCCTTTACAAACCACACCCCCTTTTACTGAGTAGGACTGAAAATGTAGTCAGTCAGCAGGAAGACATGAGAGAGAGAGGTGAGGAAGGAAGGAGGAGGAAAGGAAAGGAAAGGAGGGGAAGGAAGGGGAAAGGAAAGAAAAGTAAATGAAGGAAAAAAGAGGGAAGGGAGAGGAAAGAAAGGAAAGGAAAGGAAAAGGAAAAGAAATGAGTGGAAGGAAAGGAAAGGAAAGGAAAGAGAAGAAGGAAAAGGAAAGGAGGGAAGGAAGAGGAAAGGAAAGGAAAGGAAAGGAAAGGAAAGGAAGGAAGGAAGAAGAAAGGAAAGGAGGGGAGGGAAGAAAGAAAAAGAGGGAGGGGAAGGAAAGAAAAGAAAGGAAAGGAGATAAGGAACATTGTTAAAGAAAAAAACAAAGGAAAACAAAAGAAAGAGGGAGTTAAATCTAGAGAAGGAAAAGATGGAGAGAATGAGGAAAATAAAGGAAGTAAAGTTAAATACTGAATCATTTTTTACTAATTGTGAATTTATTAGGAGTGTGTTCAGTTCAGTGACCTCTAGTGGTGAGATCATAGAAGGCAGCCAACATCCTCCACTTTACTCCTCCTGATACCAGAGACCCTCCTCAGACCGTCCTCAGACCCTGATCTGTCCTTCAGCAGAGACAGTAAAAAAGGACAAACTGATCCGCTCAGAGGACACGTGTGTCTCTCTCCCTCTCTGTCTGTCTCTCTCTGTCTCTCTCTGTCTCTCTCTCTCTCTCTCTCTGTCTCTCTCTCTCTCTCTCTCTCTCTGTCTCTCTCTCTCTCTCTCTCTCTCTCTCTGTGTCTCTCTGTCTCTCTCTCTCTGACCGTCACGGTGAGTTCAGACTCAGTTCCATCCACCAGAGTCAGCAGAAAGCGTTAACCGCTCATTATAACCGTCCACAGTGACCCACTGAACTCCCCTCGAACCCTGACCCCCTCCTCAAATCTCTCTGCTGAGCTCCTTACAGACAAAACGAGGAGGACAGGAAACAGTTTCACCGTCACTCTGGACGTCCTCTCACCTTTTCCCTCCAGAGGAGCTGCTGGACGAGGTGGTTCGACTCCGACTCTCCGCTCCCATCTCCCTCCTCACCAGGGTGAGGCGCTCTGTGGACATGCTCTTCCTACAGAGGACGAGACCATGAGGACAAACCTGTGTGTGTGTGTGTGTGTGTGTGTGTGTGTTCAGGTGTTTCTACTTCATTTTCCAAGAAGACAAACTTTTAATTCAGAACTTTAATAAATTCATATTTCCAACATTTATTCTTAGTCTTAAATATTCGTCTCCATCATCACCGCTCAGTCCCCGTGGCTTAAAGAGAAAATAAAAACAACTTCTCAGAGTCTGTTTGTTGTTTCTGTTTGTTTTCGTACCTCTTGATGGACTGCAGCACCTCCTTCTTCGGAGACGAGGGGGAGGAGAGGAGGCGTTTCTGTTGGATGTAGCCGTTACTCAGAGGTCTGGAGGGAAGAGCCTGCAGGAGCTGACGGACTGGAGGAGAGAAGAATCAGGAAAAGAGGAGGTTAGAGATCATCATGAACGATTGAACTGTTTCTGTTCCAACAGAGTTTTCCTCCTCGCTCACCTTTAGTGGGAGGAGCTGAAGCTGTGGAGGCCAGAGATCTCCTCCCTGCAGCGTGAGCGCCTCCTGGTGTCGTCCCCAGGCTGTGCTCCTCGCAGTATCCCAGTCTGCGCAGGGCGTCGGCCAGAGCGGCCTTCAGCAGCTGGATCTCGTCCTCCTGCAGCTGCAGCTTCTGCTCCAGGTGGGAGACTCGGTCCTCCATGTCCATGTTACTGCTGGCCGACACCGTGTCATCTGGACAGGAGAGGAGGAGGAGACGGTGAGGATGGAGACGGAGGTGCAGGAAACACAAACGACCTTCTAAAGATGTTCATCATGGATGTGGGGACAGCAGCAGCAGGAGTCAATTCAACACAGTTTTACTCGGTTTCATCATAATTATCTGTGTTTTTGTGAAACTTTCAGACTGGTGGCGGTGTGGGCGGACATCTTTTTTTACCCTGGCAGCCAACACAGAGCATGCTGGGACTCCTCCCACCACTGATATGGTCTGTAGCGCCTCTTTTATTCTGAGCTTCCCTCCATCATTGAGACAAAATCCTTAAAATCAAACCGTGGTGTGATGTTCAGTTTATTCACACTGTTGGTTTTTACTGAAAAGACTAAAATTTAAGGAAACTGACGACGCGGCCGAAGTGAGCGGGCGTTTCTCTGCGTTCTAGGGCTGCACGATAAATCGATTTTAAATCATAATCAGATTATTTCATTATGACGATGTTAAAATTGATTTTCCTCTCTATCATGTCTCACGCCTCCAGGCCACCGTAGGCTCCTCCCCCTTCCTCCAGTTCCCACACACACCAGTGTAAACAAACATGGCGTTTCCTAAAGAAGGCGATAATTTCGTGGTTAAATAGGACAAGAGCGAGTCAGTCGTGTTGAATTGGTACGACTTCACAGTTTCAGATGAAGAGTAAACCACTCCCCGCTGTAAAGTCTGTCTGAAGGCGGGATCAACCCGTCACCATGGAAACAAATTCAGGAGGAATTTTTTTGGAAGTTTTTTGTCGTATCGGCGTTTCAGGTGACTGTAAACGGTACTTTTTGAAAACAGGTCAGTAACGACCATTTCATCTCCGTGTGGATGTCTATCTGGATCTCTGGAAACGATCATGTGACACACAGAGTAACTCTTTTATGGCGCCAAAACAAAACAACCTTTATACACATGCTCTGTACTCTTCTTCGTTGTTACAGCGCCACTTACTGACTTGGCATATGCACTACATTGTTTTGAGAGAAGATAGAAAAAAATACATATTTTATAGTGAAGTTTGATGAAGTTATCACTGAATAAAAAATAAAAAAATCGAGTTTTCAGAGAAAAAAATCAGGATTATATCTTTGGCCAAAATCGTGCAGCTCTACTGCGTCCTTTTAAAATCTGGATGTTCACGTCCTTCCTGAAGAAATCATCTGAGTGATTGATTTTTTATGGTGCAGAAGAAAACGTCAGGAGGAGGATTACACCGTCTCAGAGAAATCTCAGCGACGCGCTTCGAGACGTTTTAAGACGGATTTTAAAAGACGAACATGAATGAACAACGAATCAGATAAACCTCAGCTCATCAGCTGATCCTGATCTTAACATCAGGAACATCTCTGGAAAAATGAGGAAAAGTCCTGATTTTGGCAGCAGGATGAAAACTGCAATGACTGCTGGGTAATAGTAAGAGCATGACTGTGACGAGGTCAAGGAACAGGAGAGCGGCGTGGAAAATGAAACCATGAGGACCCGTTGACACGATAGATGAACCGTTTGTCTTCATTAATGGAGACCCAAACACAAACAGCTGTTCAGGTGTGTGAGTCACTGACACCTTTGTGAGGAGGCGGTTTAGAGTTTCTCAGTAAACTCGACCGACTGAATAATTCAGACTCTGGGTCCTCAGAGCAGCTGTGAGGAGGTTTTCTCTGTCCTGACGATAAAGACGCAGAGTTCTTCTCGTCTTTACGCTCTTCATCACGTTTATTTTGGTTTCACTCCAGCCCCCTCACATCCCTCCATCCTCACCTCCTCTCCTCTCATCCTTCACCCTTTCACCATCCAGGATCCTCCCCCTCACTTTGGTGAGTTTGACTGAAGCTCACAGCATCATCATCATCGGAGGCGAACTGCCCAGAGCGGATCTCTAATCTGTGTCACGTGGCGAAGAAGATTACACTCTGATTAAATGAAACTGAAGTTTGTGACTCAAAAGAACATCTTGAGTTTTCTCTCATGAAGCCTCAGCTGTTTCCTCTTCATCACTCTGTTCACATTCACACTTTAAAGATCTGAGTTAGTTCCAGTTTTTAGGAGAAATCTTGAATGTAAACTCTACCCCTCCCAACCAGTTTTCCCCTCAGCTCCTCCCCTCAAGCCCCGCCCACAAACAGACGCTCCTGCTCGCTCGTATCGTTCCAATTAAATTCAGATATAATGCAGATAAATCCTTCAGATCATTACAAATGGGGCCCAGTCAAGGTGAAAGTCAAAAGCATTGGTGCTACTGTAGATGCCAACAGACTACCAGCAAACACAATGTTTGCAGGACTTCTACAACGAGGATAAAGTGACATAGTCCAGGACCCGAGGGAGGACAGTTTAGCGATGGCGCTACAACACGCTACAGCAGGTCCGTTTGACAAGAAACACTTCTGTTACAGACACTTGTCTTACTTTGTTAAAGCGGTTTACCTGTCCAGCAGAAAGGTTACAGGGTCACCAAGATCCCCAAGCGTCCCCCATGGTTGATGTTGACCCGGCTTTTTAGCTCTTGTCCGGTCTACCTCCGTTTTAAGCGCCCGTTATTCCTCCAGAGTCTCCGGTATTTACTTTGTTTTCTTGCTTGTGTCGGCAGTCGTGGCCAAAGGAGGATTCAGACAATTTTCCGAACTTTCTGGTTGGTTTCTACTGTCCGATATTGTAGCACGCTAACTTTGTTTGGGCTCCTGAACGACACGGGGGAGCAGCGTTTTCTTGTCGACTGTTTTCTTGTTGACTGTTTTCTTTTTGACCGGTTTGGTGTTGACTGTTTATAGTTGACTGTTTTCTTGTTGACTGATTATAGTTGACTGTTTTCTTGCTGACTGTTTTTTGTTGACTGTTTTGGTGTTGACTGTTTTCTTTTTGACCGGTTTGGTGTTGACTGTTTATGGTTGACTGTTTTCTTGCTGACTGTTTTGGTGTTGACTGTTTATAGTTGACTGTTTTCTTGTTGACTGATTATAGTTGACTGTTTTCTTGCTGACTGTTTTTTGTTGACTGTTTTGGTGTTGACTGTTTTCTTGCTGACTGTTTTGGTGTTGACTGTTTGTGGTTGACTGTTTTCTTGTTGACTGTTATCTTGTTGACTGTTTTCTTGCTGACTGTTTTCTTGTTTACTGTTATCTTGTTGACTGTTTTCTTGTTGACTGTTTTTTGTTGACTGTTTTGGTGTTGACTGTTTATGGTTGACTGTTTTCTTGTTGACTGATTTCTTGCTGACTGTTTTTTGTTGACTGTTTTGGTGTTGACCGGTTTGGTGTTGACTGTTTTCTTGCTGACTGTTTTGGTGTTGACTGTTTGTGGTTGACTGTTTTCTTGTTGACTGTTTTTTGTTGACTGTTTTGGTGTTGACTGTTTATGGTTGACTGTTTTCTTGCTGACTGTTTTTTGTTGACTGTTTTGGTATTGACCGTTTTCCTGATGACCGGTTTGGTGTTGACTGTTTTCTTGCTGACTGTTTTCTTGTTGACTGTTTTGGTGTTGACTGTTTTGGTGTTGACTGTTTTCTTGTTGACTGTTTTCTTGCTGACTGTTTTCTTGCTGACTGTTTATGTTTGAGTGTTTTCTTGCTTGTGTCGGCAGTCATGGCCAAAGGAGGATTCAGACAATTTTCCGAACTTTCTGGTTGGTTTCTACTGTCCGATATTGTAGCACGCTAACTTTGTTTGGGCTCCTGAACGACACGGGGGAGCAGCGTCTGCCTCACAACCAATCAGGTTAGAGGAGGTGGAGAACGGCTTTGTTTACAGTCAGAAAGAGCGGACCGCTCAAAAATGTTCAAATGTTGACGACACAGACATAAGAGAACACAGAGATATCGATATATTACCAAATGTCATCAATAACTAATAACTATTGACTGATATTTAAAGAGTTTTTGTTTATATAATCACAAAATAAAAAGATGCTTCTTTAACGGGTTCCTGTCTACTTCACCTTTAAGTCAAGATACAGTTAAAGCTCTGTTAGACGATTTTACTGGACTGCTGAGCTTGTCCCGGTTTACAAGAACCGAATCATAGACAGAATAAACATGTCTGCCTCGGCTTCGACTGTCTGCTTCATCTATTACAGGTCAAAACAATCAGCAAAATGGATCTGCATGTCCATCGAACCTTAACATCTGCAGCTCTGTGCTGTTTGTTTGTACCTCGTCATTTTTGATTTCGTGTTAGTCCGACTGAAAATGACGATCAGTAAAAATCAAACAGGTCAGCACCTTTCCTCCGTCACCCAGGTTCTGGTCTAAACCGGCAGTGAGAGATCACAGTGTTTTTCTAAAGGGCCACTAACTGATCCACTTCTCCCAGCATGCATCAGTGCATTGCTGTAAGCTGAGCCGGACACACAGGCAGAACTGTTACTGTTACTGTATCATCACATCCTTCAGTCAAATGAGACAGGAAGCTGCTGCAGGGAAACAGGACCAGGATTTACATGCAGGAAAACAGCGGAGGGAGGATTTGCATGAAGAAGAGAGACGACGTCACCGTCACTAAACGTCCAGAACTGATTCTGGTTCCTCTGAATAAAAAACACTTCAACAAATCTCCAAAAACTGACATGAAACCGAAGTACTGAGGGAACTGGTCCTGCTCTTCTAAACCCGACACTGAACCCTGGAAAAGAGGACCAGGTCCTCAGTCAGCTGTTGGACCTGGTTCACTCAAAGTACATCTACATCACAGAGCAGGGTCTGGAGGTGAAGGTGTTCAGATTTCAGTAACAGTTAAATAAAGTCCTAAAACTCTGAGAATAACAGAGTGAAGAGCAGAGAGAGAGAGAGAAACTGAGCTGATGAAGAGTCACTGAGTGAAGAAGAGGAGGAGGACAGACTGTGGGTGGGAGGAGAAGAAGAAGAAGGAGAGTGATTAATGTTTAACTGGAAACAGCTCGAACGTTGTTTATCTAGACGGCTGAGAACATGAGGAGCAGCGCTGAAGTCAAACAGAGAGAGACGAGGAAAGAGGAAATGACTCTGTTATCATCCAGAGACCACGGCGATGGTGTGGGTTTACACCGAACTCTGATTATGATCCCAGTGAGGACTGATCTTTGTACATCTTCACGTCCATCTATCTGAACGTTTAGTAAACCCTGAAGTTTGATGTTCCAGTTTCTGATGTTTCCCGTTTAAAGAGGAGCTTTGGTTTCCTCATGTGTCTGTTTCTGTGCCTGACTGGAGGGAAGAACCGTTTCTGAAACTGGTCCAGGTTTGAGGGAGAGCGGAACAGCTGCCAACCGAGCTCAAACGTAGTTTGACCGGGCGCATCGTCAAACGGCATCCTCTACAGAAGCTTCATGGAGCTTTAGGCACCAAGAGGTCCGACTCATCGAATTATTGACGTGAACGTGTCCTTCTCCCCAACACTAGGGGGCGATATGGGTCTTTTCAGCTGCGTGTCTACAACTGCTGCTGGGCATTTTGGAGAAACAAGAAGATGGAGCATCGTACAGCGTTGTTTTTGTCCGACATGATGGACGCGCTACTTTTTCTAAAGAGGAGACCAACGCTACTCCTCTACTCTGGGGGTTTTGTTACAGGGTTACGGGGCGTGGCTCACGCACACATGCAATGTCCGATTATACTCCGACTACGCTGGTTACACGGTAGAGAAAATCGAATTCCAATCGTATTATCTGGGTGTCTTAATCAGAGTTCTCAAACTCTGATTATAGTCGGACTGAAGTGTTTACATGCACTTCAGTTGTCCGGTTTTAATCGGAATAAGGCGATAATTCGGCTTTCTGGAGTGTCATGGAAACGGACTGTCTTCTGGTGTCTCTCAGTCACGTGTCCGGCACCAGAGGAAGGTCAGGAAAAAGGTCAGAACCCTCGCCGTTCTGTTCTCTGGACTTGTAATAACGACCCGAGTCTGTCAGCGGTGAAATCAAACACATGTGGTGGACACGGTTTGACGATACACAGCTGCTCAGTCAAACAGAGTTTTAGCTCGTTTCATTAGGCTCCGCCTCCCAAAGTTCCTGGGCCGTAGGAAAGTCCTCGGACCTCAGAGCAGGAACTCTTTAAGAGATGGGACTACATTTAGACCCTCGTTTAATAAAAAACAATAAATAAGGACATGGTACAAAAAACAAAAGTGAAATAGACGTGTGCTTAAAGATAAATATGTTAAGATTTAGTGTTATTAGAAGAGAAAGAAGAAGAAGAAGAGAAAAAGAGAGAGAGAGAGAGAGAGAGAGAGAGAGAGAGAGAGCAAACAAAGATGGAGGGATCAACAAGGTTCACCTTCATCTGCTGTCAGGTACACACCTGTTTAAAACACTGCAGCGCCGGCTACTTTTCAATTCGCCCTTGAATTATCACACACACACACACGGATGCATGCACGCACGCACACGCACACACACGCACACACACACACACACAGATCACAGGCTAACTTCCCTCTCTACACGTCGCTGATCTGAGAGCTGATGAAGGAAACAGAAAACTGATTAAAAACAGGAAGGAGGATGAAGAGGATGAAGAGGAGGAAGACACAAAGGAGGAAGAAACAAAGGAGGAAGAGTGGGGGGGGCAGAGGGAAGGATGATGACATACAGGAGGGGGGGTTAGATGGAGAGATGGATGCTGGGAGGTCGACGCGGGGCAATAAGGCTGCTTCAATATATTCATGAATCAGTGATGAAGATGATGAAGATGATGAAGATGATGAAGATGGAGGAGCTCGTCTTGCCTACCTGCCATCATGCCCCCCCCCCTCAAGAGCCCGGTCCCTCCTCCTGTCAATCAACCTGAGTGAGTCAGTCCACAGACGGAGACTCAGGCGGGTCGTCCACTCTCACTCTCACTCCTCTGGACTCAGACTCACTCACTCCCCCCTCCTCTCTCTCTCTCTCTCTCTCTCTCTCTTTCTCGGACACACACTCACCTACACACACTCATTTCCCATCTTCCCCTACTAAACCCCGCCCCCCGCTCTCCTCCTCACTTCCTGAACCCCTCCCTCTTCCTCCAATCCTCCCCTCCCCCTTTTACCATCCCTCCTCCTCCCTCACTTCCATCCTCGCCTCCTCCGGTCTCGTTAGCTGGAGGCAGAGAGGATGAAGGCGGAGGGGGTGGAGCCTGGCACAGGTCCAAACACACACACACACACACACACACACACACACACACACAGACTGCACCAACATCAGTTTCTGAACAGCCAGGCACCACCAGGGAGAGATGCTGCAGAGCCTGACTCCAGGATCAATGACACACACACACACACACACACACACACACACACACACACACACACACACACACACACACACACACACACACACACACACACACACACACAGTAAAGTGACACAGCGCATGTGACTCTGCTGCTTTCACACTAAGATAACAGTAACAGTCAGATTAACTTTTTCATTATGAAGATTATTAAACTAATCAATATTTTACGATCAGCGCTGTGTAGAAGTGAGGTGAGCACTCGAACCCTTTTCCAGCAGAGTGGTCCTGGTCCTGGTTCTGGTTCAGGTCTGGTTCTAAAGGCCGTAATAAAACCATGTCTCTAAATATCAGTGAATTTGTTTCTTTTTTTAAAGTGAATTTCTGCAGATTTATAAACACAAATTTACACCTCAAAGGTCTGAATCACATACTGTGAATATATACTGTATATTAGGGCTGGGCGATAAAACGATAACGATTTACATCAAAAATTAATTTCCCTCTATATCGATATAAAACATGGTCAATATGATTTTTGATAGTCGGTATTCCGTCATGAGTTTCTCCGGGTCTGAACCAATCATGTTCTGAATTAGAACCAAGTATCAACCAACTGCAGCGTCGTAGCAGACAGCAGCTCCACCCAACCATAGCACTTTAACAGGTGAAGCCGACAGCACTATTGGTGAGAAACAAAGAAAATGAGTGCTACCCCCGACAGAAATGACCATGAAGGCTCAACAGATGACCACATCAATGTCAACCACAACACTGGCGTTAGGAAAACGTCGGTGGTGTGGAGGTATTTTGGTTTTTGGAGGTCGGACATGAAGCAGGTCAATTCTGATTTACGCGTTCATCCGACCTATACGTCATCAATATGCGACAAACGTCACCATTGTTCAACAACACAAACAGGCGCGGAGAGCAATTTGTGCTTTGTTCGCATGCGGGTCACTTCACGGACGCGTTCCATTAACATTAGATGTTGCATTTGTTGTTGTAATGTGAGCGACCGCACAAAAAGATCGGATTTAACAAAAAATCTGAATTGTGCATCAGAACCTGCAGTGTGAACGCAGACTTAGAGTAACAGGAAACATTTAAGATTGACAAGTGATTTTTTAATGTTGTGATATGACTGATATAAATCGACTGATATGAAAAAAATATATCATGATAAACTTTTTCCCATGTCGCACAGCCCTACAGTATATATACACATATAAATTTATATATATATAAAACCTGATCATGTTGTATTCAGGGTCTTAAAGTGGACACAGTCAGGAACCCGGTTTTTGACTCTAATCACATTTAGTTGACCGGGACAGAAAAGAGGTCCTGATCTCCGTCATGTTTGCTCTTCAGCAGGTCATCACCTGTTTCAAAAAGGTGAGTCTTGTACCAGCAGAGACGAGGATGAACTATCAGTCCTCCCAAAAACTGATCAGGATGAAGTCTGATCTTCTCTGTCCTTCTCTGAAGGACAGGGACGAGGACTGGGATCTGCTCAAAGATGAGAACGGGGATGTTGGAAAGGTGAGGATGAGGAACGTCTTTCTCTGTCTCTTAGGAGGTGATTTATAAAAGTACAGACTGATAAATAGAGACAGACTTTTCTCTCTCTCTCTCCTTTAAAATTGACCCGATAAAAGCAAATATTTCCTCCCTCTCTCTCAGATGCCAAGTGTTCCTCTTTTCATCAAAGCAAACAGTCTGTCCTCAGCCCTGCAGAGCGCTGTGTGCAGAAACTCTGGATCTGTCAGGACTGAGGCTGCCCCCGTCAACTCCATCTAAAAGAACAAAGTGTACTCTGCACCTCTGAGAGGCTCCTGAACACACGGACCGGACCGTCCAGACTGCAGATATGCCACCATGCATAACGCACCCTCACAGGAACATCTCATCCTCTCCACCCAAATTAAATTCTGAATGTGAGCATGAGTAGGAGAGCTCCTCCTCATCCTCCTCTTCCTCCGCCCGCTGCTGCTGCTGATTGCATTAAATCTGAGAGTGAAATCCAAAACTGCAGAGAGGGACGGAGGCTGAAACCTGCAGGAGCAGAGAGCAGGTCTGAGTGATGCTCACAGAGGTTTAATAATGTGTTTCCCCCCCTCTGCCATCTGGGGCTGCTGGTGTTCAACTAAAACATGCAGCAGATTGAAGTCCTTTAAGTGATTACAAGAGTATTAGCTTAAGCTGCAGGAACTTTCCCCAGAGACGAGCAGATTCTGTAAAGAGCTGCGTGTGTTTTTAATCACAGAAATCAGGCCTTTAATAACCTCTTAGAAACGTCCGTCTCTCTCTGGACTTAACGGGGCGAGCCTTTCAGAGCTGGAGAAACAGGGTAATATCCCTTTAAAGAGGCTCTGACTTCTGCTGGAAATATAACTTTACTATTTACAGATGATTTCAGTGCACCTCTGCAGGATCATTACGGTAAACCCATAACTGAGCGATTATTTGACGATCTCCACCCACACCACATCAGATAACACCGACAGGAGCGAGGCGAGGTGTGTTCGGCTGGAGACGTGAGCAGGTGTCTGAGGAGGTCGGCGCTAATGATCACAGTATGGAGGGTCTCTGGTTACAGACAGAGAGCAGACGGGGAACACTGACAGAGACAAAGAAGAGGAGGAAGAACGACTGAAATATCGACTCAGAGAAAGATCTCAGTGTCAAAACTTACAATAATTCGAGTTTTTATGTGAATGTTTTCAGTTTTTCTGCAGAAAATTAAGATTGGAGTGAATTTAGCTCTGCATAAAAGAGGAAAAATACTGAATTAATGTGCAAAAACATATAACACAACCTCTTTTACCATATTAATCAGACTTTCTATCTCTAGGAGAGGATTTAGAGGTCATAAATACATCTGTAAAGTCTCCAGTTTAAACATGGAGTCTTAGTTAATTTAAGGTTGAACAAGAACCTCCACATTAAACAAGAAGTGACAGCAGGTCAACAGCTGACCCCTCACCACAGGACCATCTGTCACTCTCTAAACTACCTGCAGCTGACGTTTTCTCCTGTATTTTCTCCTTTTTCGGTCAAATTCGAGCAGAGTCTGTTGGCTCTTCTTTCACTTTATCTGAAGGAGCTGCAGGAGCTCTTGGACCACAAATGGGTTTAAGAGGCACATGTTACATCCTGGAAAACAAACACCACAGCTCTGATCATTACCCATGACCCCTTGCTGTCTCTGCACCTGCTGCTCAATATGGCCGTCTGTGAAGTTTAGTAGACCGCAGGGACAACGAGCCGATCCCCGCACAGCTAACTCCTGGACAACAACATCACTTCACATGTATTTAACTGGTTAAGATAATTATTTTAGTGGTTTAGAGCCACCGGGTGAAACACCAGAGACACAGTCCCTCATTGTCCCCTCAGATATGATCTGACCCGCAGAGATATTTGCATCCAATTTGTAAAGTAGGGTGTGACGGATACAGACATCAGTCAGCAGAGAGACGACATCATGTATTCAAATAAAGAAATATTAACGCTGCAACACTGCCACCATAAAACAAGACTCTGTTTCCTGATGACAAACGGCATCCTCTCAGTCAGACAGTGTTTTAGACATACACAATATAAAAACGTGAGACTGCAATAACTAGGGGTGCACTATGATAACAACATCATGTTGTTATCTGCAGATAATAGTTTAAATAATGAATTATTGGTATCAACACACGCCTGCCTCCTCCTGCTCCTCTCCCTGCTCTCCTCTCTCTGTTTCACAACATCTCAAAGATTCAGTGGTTCTCCATTAAAGGGATATTCCGGCATAAAATTAATTTAGGGTCAAACACACTGTAACACAGAGTTAGACCCCCCCTCTTGAGATAAATGTTGCTCCGACCGCTTGCTTCTCTAGTTATACCAACTTTAGTAACGACCGCAGATAGCAATACACAGAGTGCTCAACCAAAACGCCACTCTATAGCCACAAATAATGCTCAGAACAGCACCTAACTTCATCAACAGACGTTTGTTTGTAGTGAGACCTCAGGCCAGTCCATTAGGGACTACAGCGGGGTGACGCAGCTCAAGGAAGAACATTTATGATCATTTCTTCATGGAAATACAATCAGACAGAGACACTAAGGCAGAAGAACTACCGCGTCTGAAAAATGATTAATATGGTGATTATTTATTCAGTGTATTGGACATAAGGGGGGCTACTGTATGTCGTACACCCTCAATCTTAGTAAGTCTTGATTATCACATTTTTTCCAATTAGGGGGCAACAACCATTCCAATAAGACTGCAAATTTTAAATAATTAAATTTGATTGTGATTAAGTGAACCTTTGGTGATGTGTTTGTTGCAGATGCTTTTTTGATAAATTTGGGACTGCAGCCCTACATACAACTTTGGACAAGGCTTAAGACTGCACACTAAACCTGCAAAAGAACAGGAAAACAGGTATCTTCTCCAACTGTTGGTCCATCTATGTTTATTATTATTCACTGAAAATGTACTATCAGAATAGGACTCCACAAATTTAACAATTGAGCAATATAAAAATGAACACAACAACTATAACAAGGGAGTGGTTACAACCCAACTCAGCGACACCGGAAGACAAGGAACTGTCCAGGAAATTTACATTATGGAGAGACTAACATTCGCTCTGAGATGACAGTCAGAGACATTTAAGAGACGTTGGTGGAAATAGATCAGATATACAAGAGCACTGAGACCTGAACTGCTCTAAATACCTCAGACTATTAAACTACTACGACAACAGAAAACTGATATTGGTAGATCTTGTGGAAAATGAAAGGGAGGGTAATAGACTGGAGAATATGTTAGTCTAATTGGGCATGCTTGTTTGCACAAATGTGCAATTGTGATTTGACTAATTTTGTATGTTTCTCCCTAATAAAAAATAAAATAATCTAAAAAATGATCACAACAAGCCCAGGAGTGGCCTTGAAACCGTATCTAACATAAACCTTTAGTACATTTATGCCATTCATCTATAATTCATCCAGTCAAGCTCGTTTGCGCAGCCACAAAACACGAGTATCCGGGAATTATACCGGTCTAATCGATGGATGTGATTGAAAACATCAGTTCATGTCACATTTCTAATTTCAGGAAATTTCGCCTTCTCTCATAAAACCCAGTGTGTTTTTTTCTTTTTTCTGTGGTGTCATCTGAGGTGAGTGTGTAGCTGCTGCTCACCGTTGTTGTTGCAGTACTGTAGCAGCAGGTTGCTGCTGTCATACAGGCTCCCACACGAAGCTATCCGCTCAGACATCATCCCTTCTCTCCTTTTTCCTTCCTTTCTTCCAGCTCTTCCTCTTCTCATCCGCTTCGTCGTCCTCCTTTTACCCCTCTCCTTCTCTTCTTCACGCCGTCACCCCCTGTCTCCCCCCACATTCATAAACAGACACACACCTTTACCTGCCCCAGCTCCCCTCCACTCTCCCGCTAAAGCGCTCTGCCGGCGTCAAGGTGCACACCGTTCAATGGTTCACACTTCCGCTTTCAAAATAAGAGCCCGAGACAACATGTAAAGTACAGTACGAAGCTACGTTTTATAAAAGAGATAACAAAAATGATCTTTTTAGCTTTTGTTATACTTGTACTCTTTTCTTAATTAACCTTTTAGGCTTTTATTATTTATTGCTGATTTCTGTTGCTCTATTTTATCATTACTATTATTATCAATATTACCTGTTATCATTTTATTATCATTGTTGATATTGCTTTTTATATTTACTATTCTTTTTCCAATTTCGTCCTCCCTTTTAATTGAATTTTCCTTTTTTATCCACTATTTCATGTTTTTATATTTCATGGTCTCATTTTAACTTGCATGGTTCTTGTATTGTCTGTGTTCCTTGTGACATGAAAATGACCTTCAATTCTGTTTTAAATGAGCTTTTTGTTTTTGTCTTTTTCCATGTGGTACAATGTTTTTACTGAAGCACATCAGGTTACAAACTCTAATACATGGAGGGAATTCAAATGGAAAATAATAATTAGATATTCCAGAACACCAGAGATAGTGCTCAAGATGAGTCCACAATATCCCAGTTCATGTTGGAGAAACTGTGGAGCCCAAATAGTAAATCACACCCACATATTTTCGCTCCGCCCTAAATTAAGAGTGTTTTGGATGGAGGTTTTTAACTCCCTGAAAGAGGTTTTTAAAATGAATATCCCGCAAGACTTCAAGGTTGCAATACTGGGAGTAATCCCTGAAGGTTTGGACAGGAGGTCAGGAAAATAAAACATTTTATACATCTTATTGAGACTATAACCATCAGAACCTCCTCATACAATATATGGATTTAAAAAGTCTGGGATATTTATCAAAATGGAGCAGATCACTTTTTCACTAAAGCTTCAGAGGGCCTCCTTTATTGAAAGATTAGAACTTGTGGAACCTTTATTGATGCAATAACAGTTTATGTTCATGGTGTAAGAACTTCCTATCATATTAAAACACTGTCATCCTGCCTCTGACTGGAATCTGTGCCTATAAATTTGTATTTTAGAGGGGACATTCTTCATTTGTGATGATTAGTATGACTATTCTCTTTGATTTAATCCTACATTATCTGTGGATGTTTTAAAAAAATACACATACAGATGGAGAAGGGAAAAGAAATGGATTGTATTAAGATGTATACACCATATAATTGTGGTTAAAAATGTAATAAAAATTAAGTTGAAAAAATGATTGTCAGACTTTAAAGCAAACGTTTCATGATTTTATTTTGAAGGGAGTGCCGTTCGTTTCCGAAATTATCCTATTTAATAGTCGCGAACTTACCAGAACCCGAACGTATCTTTCTACCGCTGTTACTATAGCAACAGCCTCTCCGCCTGCTGATAATTGGAGGCGGTGTGGACACGGAGCCAAACGTAATTCTTTAACCTGCAGCCCTCATGTAATTTACACCAGAAAACGCTTAAAATACTCACTGACAACACGCGGTTTGTCTGACTGAGGGGTTCGTTTCTGAGCAGAGAAACTGGATCCTCGTGTTTTTTGCTTCTTAATAATTGATGAAGATCAGCAACAAGGCGCTGATCATGTCTCTGTTAAAGTCTGGAAAGTTAGAAACACTCAAATGAGACAAAATATTAGCCTAAAGAGACAAATTCTGAGATTAATTTCAGAGATTCGGGGAGAAAAATAAAAAGCTGTATATTTTACGTCATTTTATGATGTTTCCTTCCTGTTTTTCTGCTCATTCTACGAGATTTTTTTTAGAAAATAAAGGGGACACTTAAATAATACATCCAAGAGCCCAGAGAAAGAAATATTATAATAACTCCGATTATAATGGTGTGTATACGGTGAGATAAACTGGAGCGTTTTAAATGTTTTTTTGTAGGATGGTTCGCCTCTGATTGGCAAGAAGTGCTGGTCTCCGATTGGTTATTCCTTACGGCTATGAAACGTCATCGTCCGTCGGGTTAGGGTTCAGAGATTCAGAATCGCGATAACATTCTATAATGTTCTGTAATGTTTTGTTCGATGTACAGAACCGACAACCCGCGTTTGGCTTGAGCGTGCAATGACGTTTCACAGCCAATCAGAGGCGAAAGAAGACATCGCCTCCGGTACAGCAGAGGGCAGGGTGCAGTAAAAACACCTACAACGAAGAAGAAATAAGATTCCCCACTGCGCCTGCGCTTGAAGCGTAGCTTTGTTATGATCACGTGACTACTTACTCATCGCCAGCTGCTGTTACCAGGTAGGAAAAATACTACTCTGTTTATGCCAAAGGAAATAACACAGTAGTTGAATTTTTTAAAATGTCATAATAATCACAAGAGCTAAAGATTATTAATAAAGTTTAAAAAAGTAACAGAATGATGTCACCCACCGGAACCCGGAAGCGGACCGTACTGTTTATTCTGTACCGCGGGTAGAAGTTTCCAGTACCTGCTCGAAATGATGAAACACGAAGACATAAACTCAGCTGACGTGTGTTTGCGGTTTTAAAAGTGAGGACAGTTTGCGTGATTAACATCATTTACCGAGGAGGTAAACAGACACAGCAGGAAGTTCAGAGGTAAACAAACATCTGCAGGAACCACACCTGTATACCTGCGAGGGTTTTTACCGATTATTACTCATGTTTAACTTCAACTTAAACTCGCTGCTTTCAGGAAAACTTTATGCAAATTTATGCAAACTCTAACACAGGCAGCCTCAGAACTAGTCTACAGGACTTTGAGACTAACAAGTCTGATTCACTGAACCTGACTCAGCTTTGACATACGTTTAGATGCTCTGTAAAAGTGTGATATTATTTTTATTTTTTTTAGTCTCCATCAGTGTTGGATCTAAACTGTAAAGCGCCAACCTCCACCTTCAGTCTCCACCTTTGAGATCTTTAAAGTAAGTTTTCTGGTGATCAGAGTAACATCCACTTTTCTAATTTCACACAGCTTAAATAAACACCACTGTGGACTCTTTCCAGGCTGTGTTCAGTATGCGGACCCGTCAGAGGGGATCCCACCTGGGCCTGCTGCTCCTGGCCTCCCAGCTGTTCCAGGTGGGTCTGGACAACATCCCCCCAGTCACCCTGGCTGTCCTGGGACTCAACGTGTACCTGTACCTGTTCCCTGCAGCTCCTCTGATGAAGGTAACGGACTGATGGTACAACCCCAAGTCTATAGGAGTTTGGACGTTGCATGAAGTGTTGATGGTTTGCAAATCATTCAAAACTTCTTGTAGGAGCCAAAATATATTTGTTTAGGATATGATTACGAGGTACGTCACTTCCAGGGATCGTCACTGAGGGGTGTGGTTTTGGAATGTTTGGCGGGTGGTTTAAATCTCAGAGGTGTAGTCAGACATGTGTCGTGCCATTTCAGCATATCACCTTTTCATTTGAAGGCAAAGTTTCGGACCTGGCTTAGTGTGTTTTTTCTTTTTTGAACAATAAATCACTTTTTAACACTCAAACTGGACTGGTAATTTAACACGTCACAGATGCAAGCGAACCTAAACCCCAGCTGCCTTTTTTTTCTTAAGGAAAACAGTTACTACACATATATTTAATTGAAAATAGTAAAAGACAACATAACTGATAGGAAAATACAATTTGAAGTTTACTGTGCTCTTGATTACCTGCAAAATGTCATTTGGCTTCCCTGAAAAATGCATCACCTGCATGTCTGCCCGTGTCGCTCCAAAACCTCTTTCTGCATCATCCCCACACCATCAGGGTTGTAATCTGAATCCTACTCTTTGGTTCCTTCTAGACCTGTGTGAGTGTCCAACAGGCGTACTGGTATGGTGACTGGCGCCGCCTCCTGCTGTCCCCGCTGCATCACGCTGATGATTGGCACCTCTACTTCAACATGGTGTCCTTCCTCTGGAAAGGGATGAGGCTGGAACGACGGCTGGGTGGACCCTGGTTCCTCTACTTGCTGTCAACCTTCTCACTGCTCACTGGATTGGTTTACCTGGCGTTGGAGGCGGGGCTTACGGAGCTGACTGACAACCAGTCCTACAGCATGACCTGTGCTGTCGGCTTTTCAGGTATGGATCAGTCTGCAAAACTCCAGTAATCCAAGGACTACTCTGTGGTCCAGGTACTTGAATATCCTGTAACTCCTTCACTCTTTGATTTAATTAACATTTCTCTGTGTGCAGGCGTCCTGTTTGCTCTAAAGGTGCTCAGTAACCATTATCACCCCGGGGGAGTGACCTATGTGATGGGACTTCCTGTGTCCAATCGCTATGCCAGCTGGGTGGAGCTTGTGCTGATCCACATTACTTCACCTGGGTTAGTACGACGTTTGAAATCTTTTTCTGGTCATCACCTGATCGAACAGAACAAACATGGAGAGCAGGAAAAACATCTCCAACGCTGGTCCTGTTGTTACTTACTGTCTCTTTGTGTTGTGGTAAAGTGTCCACCAGATGGCAGTGATTCCTAAAGTAGAGAAACTTTGTTCTCTTCTCCTTCAGGACGTCTTTTGTGGGTCACCTGGCAGGTATCCTGGTGGGTCTGCTCTACACGGCTGGACCGCTGAAGGCGATTATGAAGAAATGTGCAGGTCTGACCTTATAGTCCTGTGTGACTCTGTATGTAAATTTACTTTAATGACCTCAATGTGACTGTGTGTTTCCCCTCATTAAATACTAGGACAGGTTGTTTCAGTCAAACAAGAGTGATAATAATAAAACAGTTTAGACTCTAAATGGACTTTAAAACAACATTTTTTAAAACTTTGTATGTTTTTATAAACCCAGAGATCGTGACATCGAGCGGATACAACTCCCAGCCTGGAGCGTACTACAACTCCTCCGGCTCTTCAGGTACTGAGTCTTCACAAACAGTTGCTGCACACCTCTCTGTAGTTTGACAACCACTAAAGCACATTAGAGGATCATTTAGTTTACACTTGGAGGGTGTAGAAGAAATAAGACAATGTTCGCCTGCCTCCCCTCCTTTCCTTTAGGCTACAGTGGCTCTGCTGGAAGACACTCAGGATACAACCAGTATTCACTAGATCCTGCATCATCTTACACTGGAGGACTGACGGAGGAGGAGCAGCTAGAAGAAGCCATCAGAAACAGCCTGAATGATGGAGGTGGGGGCGAATAAGAGGTCAAAGTGACACTGAATCTTTCAGGCTGTTTTTCAATCTGGTGATATTTTCTTCTAGGACGAACCAACCACAACAGAGCTTCTCCTCCTCCTTATGGTTTCCACGTCCCTCAGGAAGGCAGCGCTGAGGACATCAGGATGAGGAGGCTGAGGAGGTTTGACAGCTGATCAGAGAAGGACAGACTCAGGTGACTGAACAGAGGAGAAGAAAGACTCTCTGAAACTCTGGAGGAACTGCTCCATCAGGATGAGGGGGAGCAGTCTGAAGGAGGAGGTCACACCACGGAGTCTTGACATTTACTGTGTGAAGTTATCTTACTGTCAAAGAGTTCATGTTAGCCATGGAGCGCTGCTGTAACGTCTGACACAGTAACCACAAAGACTAAAGGCTGATGTGAAGGTGGAGATAATTTGCAGCTCCTGTTTTTAGGATTAAACAAATTTATATTTTTATATCTCAATATTTAGTATTTGCTGACTGTCTGTTGTAATGTCCTGTACTTTGCAGTTCATTAAAAAGTTCTTTGAAAAACACTTTTGAGAATCACTCTGTGCATCCTGTTCAGGTTAATATAATTTTATATGTCAAACTGGGACTCGGTCACCATGAAAATATTGGTAAAGTTAAATCAGGTTCAGATGTTTCAGTTTTTGACCTTAAAAGATGAAAAAGTCCAAAAGTCTGTTTGATTTTTTTAGGTCAGGAGGGAGAAAAAGCTTTTAACCAGAATCTTCCTGTCCTCAAAAGTTGTAAATACTTTTAAACAGTTCACCAAACAACAACATCAGGACGGAGAGATGCTGTGGGTATCAACCTTCATGTCCCACTCCTGGTCAGGGGAAAAGGGTCTTGGTGTTGTTCTTGGCCTGGTGTATCTTCCTTCCCCATCTTCTGTGAAAAAGCTGGATGTGGTTCTTTAGAGGTGGTGAGTTTTTGTTGTCCTGTTGACACCTCTCCAGCACCAACTAGCTTTCTTAGGACCCGGTCATGGCGCCATCTGTGGCGCCCCTTAGAGAGCGCGGTCTTACAGCCTGACAGGATGTGCTGGAGGCTTGTGTTTTGAAAATTGTAGAGGCAACAGCGTTCCTCGTTCACTGGTGAAACACTAGTGTAGGTTACAAAGACAGGGAAGCATGTTGTAGGTCGCACAAATGAGGAAGCTAACCCCAAATTTCCACCGCATCCGGAAGGCTCAGATCCAGAACAGCTGCGATTTTCGTCGTCTACCCATTCCTGCTGCATTCGTTTGTGAGGCGAATTTTGTGATGGATTACGGACAGCAGGAATTGCAAGAATTTACAAGAACCCGCAGATTCATGTGTCTTTCGCGGAAAAAGAGTTGTCTCTATTAAGACAGCCACATAGACATATAAGCAGTAGATTCTGTTCTCCCAGAGGAGGAAATCTACTTCCAGACTTTCAGAATCAGCATCTCCTCATCCATGGTGTCATCAGGGTGAAATGACGTCTAAAAACCTTTCACTTGTTCGTCTCCGCCCGTTTGCATGGTGTGAAATATGATCAGCCTGAAACACGGAGTGTTTTATTTTAAAAAGAAGCCGGTTGTTTAAATTTGTGTCTGTGCCCGACTTCCTTTCCAGCACGGGTTAATCTGTGCTGAATTTATCCGCCATGCTCCGGCGTCCAGAAAAATAGTACTCTTGCGATCAGCTGAGGAGTCCGGCGATCCGCAGAGGAACGGAAAGAAGTCGGTGGAAATTGACAAATTAACTCAAATGGTTACAATCCGCTACAATCGGTGGATACAGCCTTTTCGTAGTCATTACGGATGTGGTAGAAATGGTGGTAAGCCTTGCCTGTGGAATCCTCCTTGGGTCTGACCAGGTGAGGTTCACGTTGACAACTCCCTCCCAGGTTGTCCAGCTTCCTTGTCCGCTCTGTGACACAGCCTTGATATTGTTGCGCTCTTCCTCCATCCTAGTCAACTCCTATCCTAGTCCTGCTCTTCCTGCCTAGACTCTGCCAACAATCTCCTTATGTTGCAGCTCTGTTGAGCCTTCCACTTTTGGCCCATCAGAACCTTGGTGTTTGTGTTCCTTACTGACTGATCAGTGGACTATCTCGAGAGCCAGCCTGGAGTTCTCTTGCATACAGCCCTGCCAAACAGACTGCAGTGGCAGTTGTAATATGTTCTCGTTTCATGAGAGAAAGGATGAGTGGATTTCATCATCTACAGTTCATAATGTCACTAAGAGATTCAGAGGGTCTGGAGAAAGGACGAGGACCAAAACCAAGACTGGATGGTCCTGATTTTCAGGTCCTCAGGCAGCACTAACGTTAAAGCAGAAAGGACTCAGTAGTGGTAATCACCACATCCGCTCTACACATTAAAACTAGAGCAACATATGCTGCCTTTCAGACGATGGATCTCTTTCATGAAACTGTGAACAGAACCGTCCTTCATCAACATTTGCTCAGATTTGTTTATAGTTACTCTCAAAAATCACCTGCTGCATCTGCTCCTGATCACGAGTCGCACGTCCACACTTCCTTATATGGAGTTGTTTGTCTATTCATGGGTGAAGATTAATGCTGATAAGTGGCAATCACTTAATGATTGACTGGAATTCATGGACTTAGGCACGTGCCAACAATCAAATCTGGGTTTTCCCATCCTTCATGAATCTAGAACAGTTTTTTAGAACAGATGACGTGTATGTGCAAATCTACACTCACCATTTATTAGGTACACCATGCTAGTAACGGGTTGGACCCCCTTTTGCCTTCAGAACTGCCTCAATTCTTCGTGGCATAGATTCAACAAGGTGCTGGAAGCATTCCTCAGAGAGCTTGGTCCATATTGACATGATGGCATCACACAGTTGCCGCAGATTTGTCGGCTGCACATCCATGATGCGAATCTCCCGTTCCACCACATCCCAAAGATGCTCTATTGGATTGAGATCTGGTGACTGTGGAGGCCATTTGAGTACAGTGAACTCATTGTCATGTTCAAGAAACCAGTCTGAGATGATTCCAGCTTTATGACATGGTGCATTATCCTGCTGAAAGTAGCCATCAGAAGTTGGGTACATTGTGGTCATAAAGGGATGGACATGGTCAGCAACAATACTCAGGTAGGCTGTGGCGTTGCAATGATGCTCAATTGGTACCAAGGGGCCCAAAGAGTGCCAAGAAAATATTCCCCACACCATGACACCACCACCACCAGCCTGAACCATTGATACAAGGCAGGATGGATCCATGCTTTCATGTTGTTGACGCCAAATTCTGACCCTACCATCCGAATGTCGCAGCAGAAATCGAGACTCATCAGACCAGGCAACGTTTTTCCAATCTTCTATTGTCCAATTTCGATGAGCTTGTGCAAATTGTAGCCTCAGTTTCCTGTTCTTAGCTGAAAGGAGTGGCACCCGGCGTGGTCTTCTGCTGCTGTAACCCATCTGCCTCAAAGTTCGACGTACTGTGCGTTCAGAGATGCTCTTCTGCCTACCTTGGTTGTAACGGGTGGTTATTTGAGTCACTGTTGCCTTTCTATCAGCTCGAACCAGTCTGGCCATTCTCCTCTGACCTCTGGCATCAACAAGGCATTTCCGCCCACAGAACTGCCGCTCACTGGATATTTTTTCTTTTTCGGACCATTCTCTGTAAACCCTAGAGATGGTTGTGCGTGAAAATCCCAGTAGATCAGCAGTTTCTGAAATACTCAGACCAGCCCTTCTGGCACCAACAACCATGCCACGTTCAAAGTCACTCAAATCACCTTTCTTCCCCATACTGATGCTCGGTTTGAACTGCAGGAGATTGTCTTGACCATGTCTACATGCCTAAATGCACTAAGTTGCTGTCATGTGATTGGCTGATTAGAAATTAAGTGTTAACGAGCAGTTGGACAGGTGTACCTAATAAAGTGGCCGGTGAGTGTACATGTACATTTATTAAATTTACTGAGACCCAGGGAGTTTTCAGGGGAGACCTTCATCTTTCAGCAAGACAATGACAGACCACATTCTGACAACAGGGACTACAACAACATGGAGCACAGCAGGACTACAACAGCACAGAAGACATGACGACCTTGGAATTAAGGTTGCATGACCATTGCTGATCCGGTATGTCAATGGTATGTCAATCACTCACACCTAAAGTCTTGCACACACCCACTCAAAAGACCTGACCTGAGATCAATCTGCGATAAGTGCTCACGTGCAAATTAAATCAGGCCAGGATCAAAGGTCAGAATCAAATGAGTCTGCGATAACCAGAAGCTCCGCCCCCTCCAAGCTGAACACCTGAGCTCCAGGTGTGTGTATATAAAGAGCATCAGTGCAGCTGTCAACTCAGAATTACCTGACAGGTAAGACGTCTGCTGAGCTCCTGAAGATCACATCTACAAAGAACCAGCTGACCATCACCATGACGACAACCCTGATCCTCTGCTTCCTGCTCTGTGCTGCTGCAGTTACTACAGGTCAGACACACACACACACACACACACACACACACACACACACACACACACACACACACACACACACAGCCTCTAACAGTGTGTCTCTCTGCAGCTCCAGCTGAAGAGAAGAAGGAACTTGCAGGTCAGTACTGAGGGCATCAAAACTCACATGCACACACACACACACACACACACACACTCAGGTGTGACACCTGTCTCCCTTTAACTCTTCTTTTCTCACCAGCAGTAGAGGAGAACCTGCCTGTCGATGTTCCAGGTAAATATATAATTAAATATATATGTAGGCAAAGTCAGTTCCACCTCAGTTCTCAGAGGTCATCTTACAAAGACCCCAACCCCCTATTAAAGTTCTCCCTGTATTCCTCAATTTCTCTGGTGTTTCTAGATCAATATTTGTTTTTGCAATGATTGACTATTGACTATCTACTATCTGACTATTGATTATTTTGGTAAGAAATAGTCTCAACTCAGCTGATCGTGGTTCTGGTGTTTCAGAGTCAGACAAAGAGATGATGACCAAAGAAGAGAAAGACTTGGCGCCTCTTGATGCTGTTGATGAAGCTGAAGACGGTAATGAGAGGAAACATGTCTCAGTGTTAGTCTTTATCTGTGTGTCACAGCATGACCTCTGACCCCTGTTTCTGTCTGTGTCAGCAGCAGCTGTGTTCAATGCGGCTGCTAAACCTGAAGGTAAGACCTCACCTTTATATCCTGTCTTTGTAGAGGGGACACCTGCACTTCCTCCTATTCTAACATGTGGCCCAAATCAGAGCGGCGAGGCTCAGCTCTCTGTAAAGTCCCTCTCCATGGACAGGTGGATGTTTTTAGGCTGACTGCTAATGAGAAGAGGGTCGGCTCTAAGCATTAAAGGACACAGTCCATTTAAAATGTGTTTACTGGAGCAAATGTCCTCTGTGTCTCTGCAGCTCGATTCAATCTCTGTCCTCAAGGCTGGTTAGGACACAACTCACGCTGCTACCTGGTCACAACATCCGCGAGGACTTGGCATAGTGCAGAGGTATGACGCCATGATATGACGCCATGATATGACGCCATGATATGACGCCATGATATGACATCATGATATGACGCCATGATATGACATCATGATATGACGTCATGATATGACGCCATTATATAACGTTGTTTGCAGTCAACACATCCTATTATTCATGCAGTTGAGCTGCAGAGCAGTTTGTCAAACAGTGGCACCTGTGCCCCCTAGAGGCAGTTTGAGTATCTGCAGGTTTTGTTAAACTGTTACTTTGTTAGACTGTGACCTATTTACGCCCCCTTCTGTTCAACAGGAGTTCTGCAACAACCTGGACGCCCAGCTGGCCTCAGCCACAGACCCCCAGGAGTATAAATTCCTGCAGGTGCTCACACGGACAGCGGGTCAGAGCACCGCCTGGCTGGGAGGATTCTACCTGCAGGTCAGTCTGGGCTCAGGTGTAAACCAGAACCTGGTCCAAAGGGATCCAAATTTCTATCTGATACTTTGTAATCCCTCAAACTCCTGCCGTCTGTGTCTCTTAGGGGAGGTGGATGTGGATCAACAGGGATGGATTTTATTACCAAAACTGGTATGTCACCTACAGCCAACCCAGCAACCCCTGCCTGTACCTGAACTCAAACGGTAAGTGTCCACACCTGTCTGCTCCACCTACAGACTTTTCTAAGCTCCCTGTCTGAGCTCATCTGTTCACTCAGATGGACTCCTTCAAGGTTTTAGTCCTGACCAGAGTTAGTCTTGGTTTGAATGAGCTGTTTCTGCTGTAAAAGCTCTAGTTTAGATCTCCGTGACGGTGTCATACACTCAGTCTAAATGATAGTATTTACTTGTTACCATGGCTCTCTGATGAACACAAGTCCTGATCTGCCTGGATCAGATAAATGTTCATGTTCTTCTATTTGTCTGATTTTCAGTTGGTTGGTCAAACTCTGGCTGTGGGAGCGGTCGCCCCTTCATCTGCTCCAGGAACCTTTTTGGCTGTTAAAGGACTGGAGGAAGATTTCTGCTGTTGAATTCTGATCCTTGTTGTGAGCCTGATTAAACTGTCTCTCCCTCTCTCTCTCTCTCTCTGTATTTGAAAATATGAAGTGATGGTTTATTGTTGTTGGATCAGTGTGTTTTTCTGTCTCCTGTTAAGTTTTGATGTAAAAATTGTGCAGTCTTTGTTAAAGTGTATTTTAAATAAAAAGTTATGACTCAATGCTGAACAGCTTGTCCATCTGGTTTTTCACAGTAGAAATTGAACTACATTCAGATATAACAGTTTACTATGACTGAACAACAAAAACAGCTTCAATCATTTATAATAATTATCATTCATAATATTTAAATCATAGATAAACTTACACATCACAAACAGGGAAGAAAAGGGTTTATATCCTATTTTTACTCAGGAATCTCCTGACTCATTAGATGGGACCAAAACGCAAGTGAAAACAGGACTTTGAGGGCAGTCTGACTCATTACAGGTCATTAAAAACTCAATATAACCTCATCCACAGAACATACTATAACCCTGAAAGGCTAAACCAGAAGAGGTCTGAACGACCCCACTTCTACCTGAGGTATAAAACAGGAACTGGAGAACTGGCATGTTTGGGTCGAACCACTCCTGGATTCATACAGGACATTTTTGCTGAGTTTGCTAAATAACATCACCGACACATGGATTTCTGGAGACACATCTCAAAATACATTCAAGCAATTCTATTCCAACTATTCCAGTTTTAGCAGGAGAAAAGCACAACAGATCACATGACCAAGGGGCAACAAACAAACTGAAGACAGCAGTGGTCCCAGGACTGACTCCTGGGGTACCCCACTGGATGAACAAAGACCACATGGCTGTGAGTTTCCAGTGGAAATGCTAAAAGACCTCCCAGTTAAATCAGACTAAATCCATTTCAAAGCTGAACCTCAGACACAGGCCCAGAGCCTAAGACATTGCAGTAAAATTAAATGGTCACCAGTATCAAATTAAATATCAAATGCAGCTCTTAGGTCTAAAATAACTCACATAAAAGATTTCCCACCATCCCCAGCCATCAGAAAATCATTCATTACTCTGAGCAGAGCGATCTCAGTGCTGTGGTCAGACCTAAAGCCAGACTGAAGAGTCTCAAAGAGTGAATAACTGCTCAAGTCTGTTGACGGATTTGCAACCACTTTTCCCAGAACCTTGGAGAGGAATGACAGTTTGGAAATGGGTCTAAAATTTTCTAAAAGATCAGGGTGTAGAGATGTTTTTTGTTGTTGTTGCTGAAGTGGTTAAATTAATGCAAATATGAAAGCAGATTAAACAGAACCAGAATATATGGACTGACAGATCCACCTATGTCATTCCGGACTCTTGGAGGTAGGATATCAAGTAAACACGAAGAAGGTTATTATCTCAATGAGAGTGTTAACTGTAATTGTGTGAACTGATTCTCATATATTCTTTTTTAAAGCTTTTTTAAAGAGTCAGTTATCCATTGGAGAACAGTTTAAAGAGCGTTTCTGTTTCAATGGAGCTATTTGGTTCAATGTAATCTGACTCTTTCATCTGAGGCAGTGATACGGTTATCAGTTGTTTACAGGTCAATTTGATGATCCATGGAGTTCTGAGGAATAATAGAGGTCAAGGTAAACTCTATTAACTTCTTATCAGCTGGTTTATAATCAGTCAGAGTTCATCAGTTCATCTCTCTGTGTTGATTAATCTACGCCGCAGGATTAAGAATCAACATCAAACCCTCACGTGCTTGATAATCAGTGATACACACATACACACACACACACACACACACACACACACACACACACACACACACACACACACACACACACACACACACACACACACACATCAGATCATCCAGGTGTGTTTAAAAAGAGCAACACTGCATCTCTCAGCCACACTGACCCAACAGGTAAGACAAGGAGACACCTGCTAAGTGACTCAAAGATACAACCAGCTGATCATCACCATGACAACGGCTCTCTTCTACTGCATCCTTCTGTGTGCTACTGCAGGTTAGACACACACACAAACAAAGACACAGACAGACAGACAGACAGACAGACAGACAGACAGACAGACAGACAGACAGACAGACAGACAGACAGACACACACACACATTAGAAACCTTAAGCAGAAACCCAGACCCTCAGTCAACTCATGTTCATCGATGCTGTAAATGTGAACGTGTGAGTATTGAAGTTTGGACCTGAGATTCTCAGAGGTGGAGTCAGAACTTTTGGACGACAAACTAGGGCAACAACTGTCCCTTCAATCCACTGACCTCTCCTTTCTGATCATAAACATTTTAACTACAAACATTTCGGTATCATATTAATATTTCATTTCTGTGTCAAGTTTTTTTTTGCTTTAACCTTTAAGGACCTTTAAGAAATTTTATCCAGTCACAAGTTTACCTACAAACAAAGACAAACAAGCAGCCTGTTGTGTTGATTAAAACATATGTCCCGCCTCTAAAAGGGCAAATCAGCCAATCATGGTTTAGGATTTTGGGGCAGCCATCCACTGACACTCACCAAGTGTTGTTTGCCGTCTCCTGGTGGGCCTTGAAGGAACTGCAAGTGGAACACTGACTGACTAACTTACATACATACTTATTTATTTTGGTCACAACAGTTCAGGAGTCCAAAACCTGTCTGCAGCCAGCAAGCACAACCACCCGGCAGCCTGTAATAACAACCAGCGAGACACCTGAATCCACAACGAGCAAGACGCCACAATCCACAACCAGCAAGAAACCAGCAACATCCACCACCTCCAGGAGCAGCTCCACCACGACTCCAGGTCTGACCTCACCCTGCATGGTTGAACCCACTCTCAGCAGGGCGCACTAGCAGACAGATTCTGTGTACAGGCTAAAGTTGTAGTTTCAGTGTGACAGAATCTAATCTGCATAAACACCTCATCAATATAAACTAGATGTATAGAAATAAGCAGGAACACACCATATTTAACAGAGTCTTACAATGCCTTTTCCTGAGGTAGATGAAGAGTTGGTAAAGTTACAGGATGACATGGATGTCAAGTTGTTTCTCCTCTGTCTCTAAAGTTGGTCGCCTCTGTCCTCGGGGATGGCTGGGGTTCCGCTCTCACTGCTTCAGGTTCATCAGTGATCCTGTGAGCTGGTTTCAAGCTGAGGTACTGCTGCCGTCATCCACCAACATCACACTCGAAGGTTCACACACACTGACCGGGTCTGACAGGATGTTTCTAGAGTCACGTCACCTGCTGGTTTCCTGACTGTGACTGTGGAGCCTTGACTTCAGTGTTTAGTTCCTACCATGGTGTCTGAGTTTGCATCAGTTTGCACTGATATCCACTCTGCTCATGGTTCATGAATGAGACTCGATGAGTTCGTTCATTTTAGTAAAGTCACGCACAATTCTGCATGTTGGTGTTCTGGACCTGGAAGTAATCGTATCCTAAACAAAGACCAGACCTTTACCAGGATCCACCTGATCCCCTTCTTGAACAGGTTCTTATCCAGGTCCTGGTGCTCTTTGACCAACATGCTTGTAAAATCTAATCTGAAGATATCAAACTGAAAAACCTGCACACAACCAACCTACCTGATGTTCCAGTAAGTACCGAACAGTATTTTTCATTGTGCTCCCCCTTCTGTCCAACAGGAGCACTGCAACAAACTCGGGGGCCACCTGGCTGCGGTCACCAGCCATCAGGAGTACATTTTCCTGCAGAGGAACACCAGGAAGATCGGTCAGAGCAGAATGTGGCTGGGAGGCTTCAACCTGCAGGTTTGGATTCATCTTTACCTGACGCTCTTTCCTGAAACGCCTCAGTTTTAAGAGACAACATGACTTCCTGTTTCATTTAGTGGTAACGCCCCTGCAGTCATTTCAAATCCAGGGCAGGGTCTCGAGACTTTGAGTCCTGTGTTAGTCCTGAAACCATGTGATCCAGACCCAACCATGAAGCTTGAACATCTCTGCGGACCTCTGTGTGTCCTGATGTCTGGTCTGGTCTGTGTTTGGCAGATTAAAGACAGTCATCTCCATAATGATCAGGATTTACCAAAAAACAAACACTTAACCCTCACCCTAATCTGAACGCAGTATTAAAGCCACATGACGGAGGTTTTATTTTGAAGTATCCTCATACTGTGATGACTTTAATATGAATTCATCCCATTTTTAAACCAAAACTAAGTAAATTTAATTCTCGTAATATAATGACTTTAAATGTACGAATGAATGACTTTTGCTCCCATGTTGAAATGATTTTTTTTAATCTAATAAATTTTTTGTACTAATTATATAGTTGAACCTCATAACATAACATGTTTTTTATTAAATGATTTTTATCTATAATATAAAGCTTGTAATCTCAGGCTAAAATCTCATTTAATGACTCAAATCTAATTTAATTAAGACTTTTAATCTCTTACTGTCACTCAAATCTGTTTTTATAATGATTTAATTCCTGTAAAATTAAATGACTTATAACTCATAATATAATGACTCTGATCCTGTAATTTAAGGACTTTTTTTTCCATACTTAAGTAATTTTTAACTTCCTTATTTTACCACAATAATCTTATTATTTAACCACTTTAATGTTGTTAAACTAAAACTGTTGATCTGGTGACATTAATCCGGCTTTCTAATGATTTTTATTCATTTAAAATGACTCTATTCTAAGACTCCATCACTGCTGCTCTCTGTTGGTCAGGGCCGCTGGATGTGGACCGACCGTAAAGGTTTCTATTACAGCAACTGGCACCGCCCCCTCGTCCTCCCTCACACCAACCCCTGCCTCTACCTGTACACCAACAGTGAGTCACCTGATTATAGAGGCCTTCTGTGTTTCAGCCACTTTTTAACCTCCTGACATGCAGAAGAATTAGATTTGGATAATTCAAAGCTAACGAGGTCACACCATATCTGATGTTTTTAAATTTTACAGCTAAGTCACCTGTATGAGCTCACGGTACAGGCTTGTTGTGCTTCATCAGGTCCCCGCGTGGGAAAACTGAAAATGGACACATGCAGCGAGTTTGTTGCCTTGTACTTTTTAAAAGAAGCTGTCTCTTCTGGAGCTCTTTGGAAAATACTGACTTTCTTTTTGACACGACAACGAGCCGACCTCTGCAAAAGCAAATGATCAGCTCGGATTAGGTTTAACTTCCCAGTCAGGTCGTGTTGTACACGCACAGGGCGGTGCTTTGGTGCCCAACATGAGGAGCAATTATATCAGCATCTTTCAGCGTCATGAACACCATGATTGCAGACATCTTGGTGTCAAAAGTCTGTGATAATTTCCCCTGACTAAACCTTCGATCACAACAGTGTCTGACAGACAGAACACCCTGAATGAGTGAAGGCGTGAACCCTCAGGGGTCTTCAAAAAAGACCAGTACAAGCAGGACCAGAGGGTGGCGTACTAAGTTTCTGATGCAGAAGTACAAACATGACAGTAAAACGACACACCTGAGAGAGGAAACCATCACACACAAACATTTCAAAGAGACAGGAGCTCCATTACATTGTGATGCTTTTTACACATTTCATCCCTTTAAATATCAGATTAACAGGCCTGTGTCAGTGTTTTACCTCTCATCGTTTTAAGATAGGTTTAGTCAGTTCAAAGAAAGCAGCACATTTTGGCCACTTTTAACTATCTCAATTCAACAATCAATCAGAAATTGGTATCAAGGTTGTACTGAGCATTTAAATCTGCAGTTTTTACTGTCAGATTACTTAAATTAACTCAAATTTACAGTAATCTGTACGACAGTAAACTCTGTGATGATAATATTTAGACGCTCTCTGTGTCACAGATTTATTTCCTGCTGCAGAAAAATGTGCTGTTTTTGTTTCTCCTTATCAAAGTTATTAACTGAATCTAATAAAGTGAAGTATTGTATGTTTAGGTGAAATATTATTTAAAGTTTATTTCACACATTAACATCTTCCTCTGGTCTTTTTTTGACTCCAAATCTCAGGCGGCTGGAGTAACACTCGGTGTGGCTTCAAGTTCCCCTTCATCTGCTCCAGGAACCCGTTCGGATGTTAAAACCTAAAGGACGGAGGTCTGAAGATGGATCAGATTCATTATTCTGGGTTTAAAGTTGCATTTTACAGTTACATTGATGTATATGAATTGTTGTTGTTTCATTTTTACTCTTCAAATTTCATATCAATCAAGTTTTTGTCTTATGGCACCTTTTGCTCAAATCAAACACACATAAAGTGCTTTACAGTAACTGAAACAAATAAAGCAAAAATAATAGAGACAACCATGAGATGTAATGAAGTATAGACTAGTTTGCACCGATAATTGTAAAATACATGTATTCTAATGTGATTGCTTTAGGTGTACACAATGTTTTTTATATATATGAAACCGTTGTTTTCTACTTGAAGTAATTTTTAAAGCACAATAATAATCTGTTATCCTACAAATCTTACTGTCTGTTGAAAAATCACAGTAAGTAAAAATGCTAAATGACTTGTAACTGTGTAGATCCATGAGCTACAGCAGCTGGGGAGTACAAGGTCAGAGTCCTATATGTCCTATGTTTTATATGTTGAATAGTCATAAAATAAAAGCTAAAGTCTAATTTAAGTGATTAAAAAGATCAACCCCTCTAATTTTTATAATACAGAGTAAAAACACTTTAATATGAGTGAAATCTGTGTTTTTATTTAGAGAGTGATGCATGGTCCCTTTCAACAGCGGTTTATATGACTTTTTTATTACCAGTTGGACAGACGGGCTTTGGTAAGTAAAAAAGAGTCAAAACTGTTTATTTTCCTCTCACTGTGTTTTTCTCAGAATTAAGAGGTTTTAAGTTAAATTTGTTAAAGTTATTCACAACCTCCTCCCTCCTCATCCTTAATATAAGACTTCTACATAAGACCAACACTGACTGTTAGTAACTTTCCTAATACAGAAATGTTGAAAAAGTAATTCACTGGCTCTGATTTTCCTAAAGCCCTGAGGCATGATGGGAAGTAGGGCATCACATATTAGAGTTAAGAGAGCCAGCGAGCCAGCAAGCCATCTCTCCACGTGGTTTGAAAGGCGGCTGTATTAGATTTGATCTCACTGCAGCACCTCCAGCAGGAAGAAAAGGGTTGTGTGTTAATCACTTGGACTCAGAGTGACAGTAGGTGGACGTGGAGCTGTTCTGACATCAGATGGATGTGACAGGCTGCATGGTTTGATGCAGCATACTGCTGGGGGGAGCATGGGAGCTGAGTGGAGCTCAGGACTCTGGCAGGACATCAACGGGGGAGTTTGGGGAGTGACAGGGGTATGACAGGATGGGGACGAGGATGATACAAACCCAACAGTTGATACTGCTGTACGACAAGGGCTGTACTAGCAGTTTGCTCCTGGCTCTATTCATATGGATGAAATAATTTTTCATCTCCTGATTGATCTCTTTAATCAGATCAGACTGATGGACTCTGTGAAGGACTCCACCTGCTGGTGTTGGTTAGTAAGCAGAGGTGAATCATTTCCCTGAACCAAACACAACACTCTCCATCCTCAGTGTTTTCTGGAAGTTTCTTCACTCAGTGAAGTAGTTCATGAAATTGGGTTGAGCTCACAGCGCAGATGTTCAGCAGCTGCATGAAAGTGGGCTCACCCTCGAGGACGGTTCTCAGAATAAGTTTCAGCCCAGATATCTGGATAAGAGAAGACTCCTTAGTTGATCTGTTAGCAACCGCATAAAGATGCAACTGGCTCTATATCACTGGTTCCCATTCGTCTGGATGTAATAATAATTATAATAATAATAATGTCAGACTTTATAGCGCTTTTTTACCAGTGACCGCAAAGCTCTTTACATCGCTCACACAGTCACACCCTGGTGGTGGTAAACTACCATAGTAGTTACAGCTGACAAAAACATGGCTGCCGATTAACGCCTACGGCCTCTCCGACCACCACCAAACATAACTCACAATCATGCAGTGCCTTTAGCCTGATCGGAGGAACACACTAGGACACCTTCAATCTCTCTAGGTTCGGAGAGCTGCAAATAGTTATCCAAACACGATAGCATGAAGTTAACAGTTGACAGTTATTGCTACAGGCGAGAAATATTTTGCAGAGTAGGAAAATTAAAGATACAGAAAATAAAAAACGAGAGCTCTTTCAAAAGGGTGAAAAATAATAAAATCAAATAAAGTTCAAAAGCAAATGTCCCTCTTTCTTTGTAGTGAGTCAGAGTTCAGTTCAGTTCTGTGTTTTATGTGTGTAGTGTTCTGTTCATATGGTTGCAGGTAGATTTTTGTGTTTTGTTCTTATCTGTATCACAAGTGAAGTGAGATGATGTCTGAAGTTCCTCGGAGTGGATCCCACAGTTGGCCAGACCATGCCCCGCTCCGCCTGAGTCGCTCGTCCTTTTTGGCTTGCCACCGAACCCCCTCAGTTTGGAATCTGAATCAGTCAACCAAAAAAAAACAGTCTACACATAGAGTGCAGAACAAATAACCATTGCTATCTTTTCAAATCATTACATCTTTCTACTTTCACTCTCCACTCTATAACTTCCATATCTAGATGCAAGCATTCAAAGCATTGTCAATTATACTACATTAAAGTTACCTCAGAAGTCCGAGCTGAAAATGACATCACACCGGAGTTCCCAGCGTTTCAGTTACCAAGTGGGAAAAAAGCAAAATCGAAAGTGAAAACAAGATGACTACATCTACGAAAGTTATTTTAGCGCTTGCCTTGTCCTTGCTTATATTTAGACAAGGCAAGCACTAGAATATCTTACGTAGATGTAGCCACCTTGTTTCAGGCCCCCAATTTTGCTTTTTTCAGACTTGGTAACTGAAACGCTGGGAACTCCGGTGTGACGTCGTTTTCAGCTCGGACATCTGACTTCCGAGATAACTCGAACTCGGCATTAGTCTGTATATTTTTACATTACAGGATAAGTATTTCACCATGACATTTACTAATCTTGAACTTAGTTTTTAACATAAATGCACTTTAAATCAGAACATCAATATTTATATTTTTAACCACAGATTATGTCTCTTTTTCACTCTTTTAACCGTGACTTGACAGTATTTAACTATTCTTTTTAACCAGCATGAACATTTAAACAACTTCAGTGCAGAAAAACACATTATGCACCTTACTTTAATCAAAATACACTTTTTCTATTACAATTGACATCATATTAACATAAATAATCATCACCTGTAATCTCTTCACCTCTCATATCCTCCAGTAGCGGCAATTTAGCTTAACCAGCTTCACCGTTAGCATTCCGATTACAGGTAATACCTGAATTAGCGTAGCAGCGCTAGCCGCGATTAGCATTAGCTTCGCACGAGCTCGCTAACGATCTTTTAAAAGCTATTTTCCAAAGTTCACAAAGCTACGGCAGGTACCACGGTAGATTTAAAACACTAGGAAACATATCAGAGACTCCAACTGGTTTTATGTACAAACTGCAATTACAGAAATTTTCTCACATCACGGTAATATCAACAGCTAACCTCGAAGCCTAGCCCCTTAGCATGTAGCATTTCTCTTACCTGAGTTCACACAGAGGCCTACGACGGTGAAACCGGCTCCTCTCTCTCTCTCATGCACACTCACGGGACTTTCCCTTATAAACAGAAGGTTTATCAAGACACTGCCCGAGGATAAATCATTAAATTACGTGGTTTTTATCATATTATATAGCCCGGTTCCTCAGCTCGTTTACGCGCGGGTATTATGGTCAGTAGCTCCACTCTGAAGAAGATGGCGCTCGCACAGACTGAAATCATGTTCAATAATCATGACAGCGACAGTCCAGCAGCCAAGTACACATTTCAGTCAGAGTCGATTAGTTGGTGACAAAAGCTTGAAAATTGGTATGAACTTTCTCCATGGGCCACTTTACAAGAAAGTGTCACAGCCATTTAAAATTTCAAGATGGCGACCATTTTTTAAAGATGGCGGCCACCTAAGTGGAACAATTAGATGAAGTTTGTTAAATTGGTGATATAGCCATGAAAATGGATATTAAACGTCGTCATGAGTCACTTTACAAGAAATTGCCCCAAGATGCTTGAAATTTCCAGATGGGGGCTACTTCAAAGATGGCCACCATCTCATTAGAGCAGTCAGATAATGTAAAGTTGGTAATATAAACTTAAAAAATAGTAACCATTCTCCATGAGTAACTTAACAAGAAAATGCCGCAAGCTGCTTGAAATTTCAAGCAGGGACAAGGGGGAAGAGTGATTGAAGATAATGTATGAGTATAATAATCTAAAAAAATACAAGAGAGTATAAGGGCCATATTAAGAAAAAAATATATAATTGAGACTTAGTGAGACTTAAGTGATTACTTATAAGAATAAAGTCATTAATTTATGAGAATAAAGTAGTAAAGTTACCTGTTGCGGAGGAGAGTTGTTCAAATGAGGGCTGTGGAGCATTTAGATGAATTGTACTTAAGTATAGGTTTCACAAACATGGAGATACTTATTCCTTTGGTACATGAGCATTACATTGTCATAAGTATTATAACTTTAAAAAAATTATATGAGAAATGCATCAAATCCGTCAATGCAGCTGTTAATAGCAATAGCATAGGGCTTTAGTCCATCATACGAGTCTATATACCATGAGGTGTTGAGGCATCTGCAAGTGTAGGTTACTGACTTACTGTAATCATTGAGTATTTTTTGTGCTTATGAAACCTGCTTCATTTTGAGGAATGTCCGTCTTCAAAATCTACCTGGATACAGCAATGTTACTTTTCGATTGGCTGTTCGATACATATACTTTATTTGATAAGCTTGTGCGTGGCACATGGTGGACGTCACCGTGGTTATTTAAATGTATGAGAAATACAATGTGTGGCGTGTGAGCTTGTGGGAATGTGTGTGTCACACGCCAAATGCGTGAAACTTGGGAGCTCCAGTGGAGAACACACACTGGGAGCACTGTGGGTTAAGTGTCTTGCCCAAGGACACAATGGACAAACTTGGCATAAGGTGGGGATCGAACCGTCAACCTTCAAGTTAGGCCTACTAGACAACCATTCTACCTAGGAATGTCTCGTCTTGTCTTATTCCATGAATACAGTCAATGGCTGACAATGATGCTCAGACGTTAATATTGGGAGTCCATCAAGCACAAAACAGAATCAACTACTAAGAGCTTATCTGTAGGTGAAAAGAATCATGTTAAGAGTGAAGACTCTGGATGTAGATTTGTGAGATCACAGCGGACTCCCTCAGGACCGATAAATGTGCCATCATCACATCAAGAGAAACCAACTCTTGGCAAAAGATAAAGCCAGAGTTTGGATCAGAGTTTCATTTGCTGCCCACAGTGTTGTGATTAACTTCATCAAATCCTGCTCAGCAGCTCCTAAAGTCTGGAGGAAACCGGGTTTAAAGTGTGCTGAGGTGTAAGCCGGGGCTCACTTTTATCACTCGTGTGATGAAAAAAGAAACTCGCTGTACTATTTATAGGAGAATCTCCTGAAATCCCCACATCTCTCCATAACCGCCCTCACCCTCCGCTCCTAATTATCCTGTTGGCTGTCTGCCCCCGCCCCTCCCTGTCACATAGAGGAACTTCCTGCTCCACCATCAAAGGCCCCGTAGACTTCATGTCGATTAGACTCTGCCAGAATAACATAACAAACTACAACCAGAGCAGAGACAGAGGAGGGAGAGGATCCTTTAACGAGCCAGCACTGAGGGCGTGTTTGATCAAACAGTTTTCCATTTTTTCACAGTGTATTGTTCTTGGTATATAATCTTTAATTGTCAGTATACAGCCACAGTCCTGGTTGGCAGGTTTGCTGCAGTGATCTGGATTTTGGAGATGATACCAGACTGATAGACCCACTTTGGTCTCACTTTGATGAATGAACGTCCTTGTGCTGAGCAGAGTTACATTTTAGTGGACTACCACTTTTCTGTTTTTACCCCTGTCTTTCTTTTTTACTTTAACTTTAATTCGGACAAAGAAGAAGGGTTTTTGTGTTTCAGTGAGTGGGGTGAGAGACTATGGAACAGGTTTTCCATGGAGTTAAAGCGATGTTCAAACATACACAATTTAAAAAGAGGTCTAAAGACACGACTTTGAGGAGGTACAGGGATGAGGAAGGTGTTGGGTAGCACTAAGTATTATGAGGTTATCGTTTGTTTTGGTTCTTTCTTGTTTTATTTTGTGTTGTTGTTTTTATGTGTGAGCTGTATTAAGCGGATGTAGATTTTGTTTTGTAATACAAAGTCATGAACATACTTTATTTATCATAATTATCAGGTACATCTAAACAAGCTGTAAGGAAGCTTGGTGTGAGTACTTATGATTTAAAGGGAAGGGGTTGGAGTTCATAAGTTATTCTTCTTCTCACTCCTATTCAAACATGTATTCCTATGTTTTATGTTTAGCCTTATTTTTTGTTTTGTTTTATTTGTTATATTTTTGGTTTGCATATTCAAAATAAACTTCAAACTAACTCCAACTAAACTACGTCTCTTCATGTTGACCCTTCCACAGAGCAGATTCAGGTTTGCATTTTCCTTCACAGACTGTAAACCTGAACACTGATACACCCTGATGTGGTCCACTGCAGTGACGCCTCACCTGAGGGGACTCTTGAGACCAGGAACCTCCTTCAGCCGAGCGTCAGTCTCAAAGCTGCTGTCTGTTTTCACTCTCTTTCTCTTTCCCCTGCTTTAGGATTGTTGTCTCTTTGTCTTGTGATTCCTCCTCTCTCTTCCCTGCTCCTCTAACGCTCCTCTCTGTTTCCTCATTTCCTTCCTCAATCTTGCAGCAGTTTTGATCTTGCTATACCTCTTTCCTCTCCTCCCCTCTCCTCTCCTCCCCTCTCCTCCTGCCTACAGATCAGAGCTGGCGTGTCTCTCAAAGAGCTGAAGTGATAGCGAGCTCTTCCATTCATCACATCTATGTGGGTGACCCATTTCTGCTCAAACTCACACATTTCATGGAGCGAAATGAAGCACTGGAGTGTTTTTAACAAGAGGTCTTTGATGCCACATCGTTTCATTTCACCTCCATGGATCAACTAAAAAGGAAACATTGGTGCACCATAAATAAAAGATGCTCTGACTCCCTGTTAAAACATAATTTCATGTTTATTTCAGAGTTTTATCCCTTTTTTCTGGGATTGAATGTTCTTCCACTGTTTTGAGAGTATTTCCCCCTGTGGTCACCTCTGTGCTGCTGAGGGGAATCAGGACATATTTCCAGTTTATTAGAAATGAGACAGCTGTGCACTTTTCCCTTTTATTATCTGGTGGTATTATGTCGACACTCCGCCCACCCTCTCATCCGAGCATCCCCCCTCCTCACCCCGCCATACATGCGCCGTATCCAGTCCACGTTTTTCCCCTTGCCCTCTCTGAGGGTTGTGCGGGTTTTAGGGAGAAATAGAGGAAATAACATGCCAACAAACAAGAGGGGCGGGCTGAATAACAGGAAAACGGTGGTATGTGTTCTCTCGGAGGAGAAAATGTGAGGGAAATCCGAGATATCAGGAGGTTTTTCTTTGTGGCTGCAGCTGCTGCTGCGATCCCGGAGCATCCGCACCTCCATCAGCGGAGGATGCAGCATCTCTCCCGGCTCTCAGTCTGCGCGGTTTCCTCACCCCAGCGTGGATATCTCAACGTCTGATGGCTGGAGGACGATGTGGGATCATGCTTTCGAGGAACCGAAAGGTAAACTGGACTCATCGGAGGTTTTAGATGATTGGGTTATTTCACACGCATTTTTCCTCAGTGTGAGAGACACGGGAGGGAGAGAGGGAGAGAGAGAGAGAGAGAGAGAGAGAGAGAGAGAGGAGTGATCTGCTCACAGTTTAAAGCTCCTGTGAGGAGTTTTAGCTGATTATGAAGAACACTCACATTAATGATCATCAGTTTGTTTCTAAATCAAAATGATAAATGGACTGTGATTATAAAGCAGTTTATTAAAGTAGAGACAGTGGGGTCAGGTGTCTTACCTGAGGACAACCCTGGGATCAAACCTCTGGGCCCGTAACTGGGAAACGACCAACTGAATCACTGAGGCCCCAAGCTGGAGCGCCATATACCTCCATATTTGGGGCTTCAACTTGTAGGACTCAACGATCACTTCCTGTCTGACACATCTGACCTGTTGACATGAGCTCTTCAGTGTAGATCATTCCTCCTGTCAGTGGTCATGGTGTTAAAGGGATGTTCTGGCGTAAAATTAATTTAGGGTCAAACACACCGTAACACCGAGTTAGACCCCCCCTTCAGAGATGAATGTTGTCGACCGCTTTCTTCTCTAGTTATACCAACTTTAGTAACGACCGCAGGATAGAAATACAGAGAGCCATGCGCTCAACCAAAACGCCACTCTATAGCCACAAATAATGCTCAGAACAGCACCTAACTTCATCAACAGGACATATAGGGTCACAGACATAGTACTAGACACCAAACATCTTTTTAACTTTGACTCATTTCTTTAACAAAGAGACTAAACACAACTCACCTACTCTCTTCCAGCAGACGCTTGTTTGTAGTGAGACCTCAGGCCAGTCCATAATGGACTACAGCGGGCTGTTATGACAGTTTATCGTTTAAACTGTATTAATTATTGTATTGTTTAGCGTTTTATGGTGTAGAGGAGAGTTTTGTTTCTTCCCTCCTCTCTTTCTCTGCTTCTCTGGGCTGTACTGCAGGGGTGATGCGTCCGGATTGGACTGCAGCGTGGAGACGAACCAGACGCACATTGGAGGACTGCTGTGGAGTGGAGGCGCGTGATTGGCGTAGAGCTGATGGGCGGCATTTTTAAACTCGGCTGCAGGCGTAGGGACACCGACTCACCTTCGTCACTCCCAACATCTCGCCAGAACACAGCGTTTTTTGAGTTATCATTGAGTTGAGTTATATTGTGTGATTTTGGAGTATATTGTAAAAGTAGTAGGTAAATGTAGGGGAGAGTAAGCCCTTGTTTTCTCCTGCTTTTGGGTAGGGAGTCAAATTTAGGTTTGTATATGTTTTATTGTAGATGTCAGCAGTGGCGGTTCTAGACTACTACTCCCCCGGGCGAACAGATAGTTTTGTATTATTATGATTACAACAACAAAAATAAAATATTTCTCTATTGCAGAAATCCTTCAGTAGAAAAAAAACACAATCCTGAGGTTTGTTGAGGTTTACAAAAAAGCTGCTATCTCGGCCTCTGTAGTAGATAGAAACAAAATTCAAAAAGTATTTGAGAGCTTATACGTGTGGCTTTCAAGAAAGCTCTCTTTTAGTCTTGTGAACCTTCATCACATTTTTGAAAACCTTGAACAAACAAACTTAAATGAAATAAAGCTGCTGTATAAATAAAAGTAAAGGCTCTGCACTGGAGAATGTCAAACAGTTTACTTTCTGTAAAACAAATGGCAGTCATGATAAAGTGTCTATTCAGTACAAATGTAAATATAGAAAATAAGGTGTTGAAAGGGTAAACAGCTGCCCCAGTATAGTGCCAGTACAAAAGCAGCTCTAAAAACTAGAATACGTGGCTGACAGTGTGTTCATCTCTGTTCTCTCCCAAAGTCATGCAACACTCAGAAATTGCGACAGTGTGAGCCAAAGAACTCCATATGAAGAGTTTGTTCACACTGCTGGATAATTCTCCTCTGAAGCTGCTCTCTGCGTCCGTCATTGTTTACTCGTGTGTTTAAGTACTTTACTCTTGTTTAAGCGCTCGTGCCACCCCCCATGAGTCATGACACAAATGCTGCCCTGTTCGCCCGTGCCTAGAACCGCTACTGGATGTCAGGTAAGGTATTTTGATTTATAAGAGTGTTTTTTTTTGTAACTGCTTGTTTTGCTTCCTCTCCCTGAGGTATTCCTCGAGTTATTTGTAAATAAAAAAAAAAGGAAAAAGACAATAAAAACTGATCGTTTTAGACTGCAAATCCTGTTTACGGTGGTTTTTATGCTGTGTCATCTTAAGAGTGACGGAGGAGTGGTCAAACTTTTTATGTGACCTCCAGTATCCCCCACGCTGGTCGTTACAGGGGTGATGCAGCTCAAGGATGATCATTACCTTGAAGTAATAATCACCATATTAATCATTTTTCACTGCAGACGCGGTAGTTCTTCTGCCTCAGTAACTCTGACTGATTGTATTTCCATGAAGAGAAGAAATGGAAGAGAGTAGGTGAGTTGTGTTTAGTCTCTTTGCTAAAGAAATGAGTCAAAGTTAAAAAGATGTTTGGTGTCTAGTACTATGTCTGTGACCCTATATGTCCTGTTGATGAAGTTAGGTGCTGTTCTGAGCATTATTTGTGGCTATAGAGTGGCGTTTTGGTTGAGCGCGAGGCTCTCTGTACTTCTATCCTGCGGTCGTTACTAAAGTTGGTATAACTAGAGAAGCAAGCGGTCGACAACATTCATCTCTGGAGGGGGGGTCTGACTCAGTGTTACGGTGGGTTTGACCCTAAGTTGATTTTACGCCGGAATATCCCTTTAAAGCTGATGGATGGAAATTCGACATATTTAGACACAGATAAATCCACTCTGTTAGAACCTGAGGTTGCAGTGTGAGTCTAAAGGTAAACTCTTTGACTTATATTTAATGAGGTTTGCCTTCCCCCGTCTGGTAATTGTAGTCTTAGATGTGTCTCTTATTTGCTTGGATGGCGGATGTCTCTGAATAAAAGGTGGGGCCACCTGTTGTTATACATCTGCTGCTTTTTACCTTTCTTTAGTAAGACTTCACCTGGCGGCAGAGACATCCCTGCAGAGCAGACAAGGGGAGCCCTGAATCCGTGACACTTCTCTCCCATCCTCCCACCTGTCATAACACCTCCTGCAGCCTGGACTTTTAATGGCTTTTCTGCTGAGAAGATGGAAGGTCTCACTGGTGCTGAATGTGATTGCGGTTGCCGGGTTCATCACTTACTGGGCCAGGTGCAACACACACAGTCCCCAGGCCTCTGGTCTGGTGACTGCAGCTGACGAAAAGACGCCCCGGAGCAACAGGATGGCACAGGGGCCCAACATCAGCCACGAGGTTCTGCTGAAGAGGCTCAGCTCCCTGGAGGACGTGGTCTACAGGCAGCTGAACGGTAAAGAGCAGTGGGTTAGACTGTTTGGTACCTGATAGATCCTGTAGGTCTGAAGGAGAGATCTCATTTCAGTGAGCAAAACCGGTCTGACTGTTTCAAACCACCATCAGTCAGATTTTACACCGTCTGCTCAATCTGAACCCTTCAAATGAAATACAAAGATCCCTCATCGCTGCTTTTATTTATTCTCATCTGAAGAGATTAGATTCAAAATGAAGTCTGTAATCATGATGTTAATATTTAGTTTTGGGTGTCACATGTTTAGTGTTAATTTGCAGAGTAAGAAGACAAGATTCCTCTTCATACGAGGAGAGATAAATCAGGATTTGTTGTGATTCATTGACTGAAATGATATTGACAAATGCCAAGAAGCGACTTTTTCTCAGCAAGATTTCTCTTCAGGTCTGTCCAAATCTCTGGGCCTAATCGAAGGCTTTGGGGGTCGAGGTGAAGGTGGTCTGCCCGCCACATTGTCTCCGTCTGAGGAGAGCATCGCTAAGAAACTGATGGAGCGATACGGCTACAACGCCTACCTCAGCAACAAAGTCTCTCTGGACCGCAGCATACCAGACTTCAGGCCCAACAGGTGAGTTCATGTCAGGACGATCACTCTGCCTTTGACTTTGGTGTCGGTACGGCTGCACGATTTCACCGAAAATAAAATCCAGATTTTTTTCTCTTAAAACTCAATTTTTGATTTTTTATTCAGTAACAACTTCACCAAACTTCACTTTGAAAATAAAAGTTTTTCTATCATCTCTCCAAACGAAACCACTGAAAACGATGTAGTTCATATGCCAAGCCTGTAGTGGCGCTGTAACGCTGCACAGGAAATGCACCAAAGACAAAAGAAGAGTACAGAGTGTGTGTTTAAAGGTTGTTTTGGCGCCATAAAAGAGTTCCTCTGTGTGTCACATGATCGTTTCCAGAGATGCAGATAGACATCCACACGGAGATGAAATGGTCGTCGTTTACAGATTTATTCACTCTCCGACCCGTTTTTAAAAAGTACCGTTTACAGTCACCTGAAACGCCGATACGACAAAAAACTTTTGTGTTTCCTCCTGAATTCTCCCACAGGAAGGGGGAGGAGCCTATGGTGGCCTGGGGGAGCGAGGCATGATCGAGAGGAATGAATTAAAATCGATGAACCGTGCAGCACTAGTGGACACTCAGGGAACTGCAGGTTTTAGCTCCTCTGAGTCTGGGGTTACGATTTGATGTGATTTCAGAATTTGGCGTTACCTTGAATATGACAAAAATAACATTCCAACATATAAGACGAATGCGAGCGCTGCGTCCTGATCCCCTTCCAACACACACTCATGGACTAGTATTGGGGTTACAAGTACTCGGGTGTGTACATGAGAGTGTGTGTTTTTGGTGAGGGTGGAGGAGCGAGCTGCACAGCGCTCTCGTTTGTCACCGGGGGGTCTTTTATGTTGGCGGGATCAAAGTGGCGTGTGAAGCGTGTTGGGGTGTGATATTTACAGGCTTAGCGGCAGCAGTGTGTAAGCCGGAGTCTGAGGAGTCCGCCATGTTTGGCTGAAGAGCCACAGGCAGTCCCCGAAAAAGAGCGAGGGGGGCGGAGGGATAAGGAGGACATATCGGGTGGAGGAGGAGGAGAACTGGAGTGAATCTCACTCACCGGTGGTGGGCATCCCATCATGCATTGCGTCATGCCATGTAGTGTCCGAAACCTCCGGTAATTAAGTTCACTTCATAGTCAGGTATATAGTAAAACCCCATATGGGGGTTAGGGGTTAAGTGATTCATTTCGGACACAGCCAAGGAATCAACTCCTACAAAATAAAACAGGAAATAAACACTAAAAACTGATCTAAAGAATAAAACACAGAGAACGTGAGGGAAACAGGGTCAAAGACAAACTGAAAACTACAGGGGAACAGGAACACCAATGAAAATACACTAAAATAACAAAACCAGGAGAAAACTACATTTACCAGAACATACCACGACAGGATGACGCTGGACTGGTAATTTGGCGCCTTCCCACTTCCACACCTCCGATCATTACCAGCTCTGTCCTCCTATTTACACCGTCTCTCTGCCTCCTGCTGCTCCTCCCCTCTCTCTGTCTCTCCTCATTAGCGCTGTGATATCTCTAACCTCATCAATAATGTTTAAACTGTATAATTTACATTTACATACGTCTTAAATTAGTTTAAATATGCAGTAATCAGACATTAATACAACAGTATTTCTTTTTATTTCACATTAAATGTCAATGAAAAGTTTGAAAAAGTCATCATTGTAACCTGGGGGTGTCATGAAGAGGAGGAGGAGGAAGAAGAGAGAGGGAGAAAGGGGAAAAAAGACGTAATTTCCTGATTATTCACAGTAACTGAAAAAACGTAAAAAAAAAACCAAACCTGCGTGAAGCTGACGGATTGAGTTTGTCGCCCACTATCCTGTTATCTTAAACCAAAATGACTTAAAAACACAGAAAACTAAAATTGTCTGTGATAATAACAATAACTGACCTAAAAGAAAGCAGAATATTTTATTATTATTGGGATTATTTAGGAGTTCTTTGTAGCTCTTCATTTGAGGGTCTTGTTTGAGGTGCCCCCTCCCCTCCGACACGAGCGCTGTAGTTTATTCTACCATCGTGTTTGAAGAATCAATAATTCAAGTTTTTCTCTTTGTTATCCCCAAACCTCCGGGCTTCCTGACGAATAATTCAAGAGAAAATGTAAATAAGCTCATTTTAAATCCATTAAAGACACACTGTGTGACAGAGTTTAGATCAGGAGGTCATTTATAAGACCAGTCACACCAACAGTCTTTCCTCTCCTGGTCTCCTCTGATCCGCGGCCGTCCTCTTTCTTCCTTTAGACGTTATTTAACAGAAGAGTCTTAAAAACAGCAGACACGCTCTGAACACACAGCCTCACGTGTTTTTAGAGGTTCGAGGAGTGAAGTCTGTGAACTCTCCCTCTGAAGGTGTGATGGTCTGTTTTTGTGTCTGTCTGCAGATGCACAAAGATCAGCTACTCCAGAGACCTCCCCCAGCTCTCCCTCGTCATCATCTTCGTGAACGAGGCGCTGTCGGTGATCCTGCGCTCCGTCCACTCAGCAGTCAATCACACGCCGGCTCACCTGCTCAAAGAAATCATCCTGGTGGACGACCAAAGTGACGACGGTGAGTAGAAGTGAATCTGAAAAACCTCATCTCCCAGCTGCTCTGGGTTTTATTCTCCAGTATCTTCAACATTATTTGATATTTACAGTTTTTTTATTTTGTTGTGGATTAAATGTTTTAATCCTTTAAAAGAGGCGTGCGGTTTCAGACCGCTCAGTGTTGACTGTAGCAGCAGATAGTTGTTTGGTTTTGGGATTACAGGTTTGTTCTGAAGAGCAGAAATTACAGCTTGTCCTCAATGATCAAGTTTAAGGAGAAGGAACTGTAAATCTGTCAACTTCAATATTTGTCCGTTTGGAAGGATGCAACCGTCCGTCGTGTTCAGTGTGCACACAGCACAGCTGACTCTCTCAGTTCTTGTATTTAGGACGAAATGTTTGTGGTTGTTTGTTTTCCTTTGTTTGACCCATTTAGCAGAGCGAGCAGAAATGAAATGATCATCTGTATTTTTAAACAGATATAAAATAGAGATGATCATAAACTTTGAGAATAATAGTGTAGGGCTGGGCGATATAGCCTCAAATCAATATCACGATATATTGAGATATTCTTCAGCCACTCCAACTTTCTCTCCGTCCTCCATCTCCTCACCTGTCTGTCCCTCTTTGTTATGGACTGGATGGGGCGGAGTCACGTCTCTGATGTAGGACAGCGTCTTAAAGGGACATGAGACCATAGCCTACCTACACACATCCAAAACCAACTTTGATTTATTGATTTATTTGACACTGAATATACTGATTTGATATTTACAGTTTTTTTTATTTTGCTGTGGATTAAATTTTTTAATCCTTTAAAATGTTGGTGTTGTTTTATAAAGAGGCGTGCGGTTTCAGACCGCTCAGTGTTGACTGTAGCAGCAGATAGTTGTTTGGTTTTGGGATCACAGGTTTGTTCTGAAGAGCAGAAAGTACAGCTTGTCCTCAATGATCGAGTTTAAGGAGAAGGAACTGGAAATCTGTCAACTTCAATATTTGTCCGTTTGGATGGATGCATACGTCCGTGGTGTTCAGTGTGTACACAATGACGTTGGCTATTGTCGTAAAGTATGGTATCGGTATATTTTCGGTTTATCGCCCAGCCCTACAACAGTGTCACAATAATCCAATATGGACTAAAACTCTGCTGCAGAAAGTTTTTGTTGCCTTTGTGTTGATGGAGATTTTTGAAAGTGAGGATCTTGAACTCTGGTTCATCTCAGGAGCTTTTTGTCCTCTGTGTTCTCACTGAAGGAGGTCCAGAATCGAGCTGCTGGATCCATTTCTCTGCACTGAACCGTCAAACAAAGTTCAAATCAGAGTCTGAACCATCTGTACTTAAATGAAATATCAGTGTGAAGCAGATATATAATCTTGAAGCTGCTCAGAGTTTGAATTGTTGGATCGCAGATAACCGAAGTAAAAGCTCATTTTTCTGTGAGATTGGTCTTTCAGGGGTACGGCGGCAGCGTCTCGGTGAAACTTAGAACGACTTCTCACCGCTGTCTCTAAGGTTGACATGAGGACAGCAGCTGGTTTCTCTGTCATCTCAAAGACCACAAACAACAGGGGCCAGCTGGACTGAGTCAGACCAGAGACCAGAACTAGGACTGAGACCCTTTTCTCAACATGCAGACAGAGGTGTTTAACTTTGACGGCCTCTCTTTGACGAAGCCTGTAGAGGAGCAGCGTTATCTGAGGTGACTGACAGAGTAAAGGAGAAAAAATAAATGTGTGTGAATGAAGGAGGATAAAAGGAGGAAACGAGGGAGAAAGACGAGAACAAAAGGAGAAGCTTACCGAGCTTTTAGGGAGAATGAGGGAAAAGATGGAGGCCAACACTGACGAGAGAGAAAGAGAGAGAGAGAGAGAGAGAGAGAGAGAGAGCAGAGGTACGAACAAATGAGGAGTGTTCGGGGAGGGAGATCTGAGATCGAGGATTTAAGGGATAAAGACGAGATCATTTTAACTCCTCAAAACAACATTTACCTGAAACCTGAAACTGTGTTCACTGTTCCTCAGAGAGACCTCCGCTCCTCCTCCTCCTCCTTCTCAGGATTTGATAAGGTCTGTTCAGGACTGTGGAGGTCTGTGCTGCTCCTCCTTTTCACCTCCTCTCTGTTTCATGAGAAAAACCAGATCAGGAGGAGCAGCAGCACAGATCTCTGAGCTCCAGGACAGGGAACTTCTTTCTTCTTCTTACAACACCAACATCATGATGGTTGAAGTTAAACACCTCTGTCTGCACGTTGACAGAAGGGTTTCATATCTACACCAAACATCTTTTTAACTTTGACTCATTTCTTTAGCAAAGAGACTAAACACAACTCACCTACTCTCTTCCAGCAGACGCTTGTTTGTAGTGAGACCTCAGGCCAGTCCATTACAGACTACAGAGGGGTGCCGCAGCTCAAGGAAGAACATTTATGATCATTGTCATCATAACTCAATGTTACCGTTGTTTTGACCATAAATTAATTTAGCGCCTGAATATCCCTTTAAGTGAAAACCCTCAGGTCCAATCCAAGTCCAGGTTAGACGCCTCTTACCGATGACCTCTCAGCTGTTGTTCTGTTTGATTTTGTTGACGGTCCACAGAGCAGCTCAAAGGACCGCTGGAGGAATACGTGAACAAGCGTTACCCCGGTCTGATCAAGATCGTCAGAAACCAGAAGAGAGAAGGACTCATCCGAGCCAGGATCGAGGGCTGGAAGGTCGCCACTGCAGAGGTGACAGGGTTTTTCGACGCCCACGTGGAGTTCACCCCGTTCTGGTGAGTAACAACATTCATCATCATCATCATCATCATCATCATCATCACGGCTGTTTTTAGTCGGGCTCAGATCCTTTTCAGGTCAGTGTTGAGTTCAGAGGATGAAACCACCGCGGCGTGCTCAGCAGGAACAGACACGCCCCCCAGAGTTGCGCCGAGCTCCATCAAACAGAATGAGGAACAAAGTGGAAACGACCCGAGGGACGTGATCAGGGACAGACGGGACCCAGAGAGTCCAGATCTGACAGGAAGTCCTCTGTGTTTCTCAGGGCCGAGCCGGTTCTGACCCGGATCAAAGAGGACCACAAGAGGATCATCCTGCCCTCCATCGACAACATCAAGTACGAAACGCTGGAGCTGGAGCCCTACGGCAACTCGGCCCACGGCTACAGCTGGGAGCTGTGGTGCATGTACATCTCTCCACCCAAACAGTGGCACGAGGAGGGGGACGACTCCGCCCCCATCAGGTAAGACGACTCCGCCCCCACCAGGTAAGACCACCTCGGCCTCTGATGGGACTGTAACCAGGGCCTGAAATCTGGTTTATTTTATCTCTATAAAAAATGATAAAATGGTAAAAACGGGGTCACTAAAATATCGTTGGTGCAAAGGATATTGGGTCGTATTTCCTTGTTTCCTTTCCTAAAGGATGGTTCAGTGTATCCCAAGGAGGAAGGAAACAATGACGCTCCTTTCCTGTTTTCTTTATTATTATTTCATACTCTCATAAAAAAGAGTTTTTTTCTTATTATTAGATTAAATTAAACTTTATTATCGTTACACTTGTTCAGAACAACGCAGTGAAACGTAGTTTAGCATCGAACCAGAAGGACAAACGCGGTTTCAGATAATATTGACAACACAAATAAGAGACGGTATGAAGTCACTATTGTCAATATTAACATTAATTACATTATATAACATTTAAGTAAGTGCCATCAGCGTTAGTGGTGGGCAAAACCGGTCATTTCAGTGAACCGGATCATTCCGGGTCGGTCAGTAAAAAGACCCGTTCTTTTCGTTCTTTTCGGTCATTTCGATCATTTGTCAGCCCCCTCCCTCACCATGTTCAGAGCCCTAACACAGAGAGCGCCTGTTCTGGAGGTTCTCGAGGGCAGTGAGCGGAGCGCTGGGCTGTCTTCACCCCCCGCCGTAGTGACTGACGCTCCGCCACAGAACAGTTCCCAAACCAGGTCGTGATGCAGTTTGTTAAAATACTTTCTAACACAGAGCGATAGAAGTGCATCATCACGACACGCTGGTGTAACTTCTCCATGAGGCTGGAGGTGCTGATGGTCCAGGACAGATCCTCAGATATGTGGGTTCCTGGGAGTTTGAAGCGGAGAACCTGCTCGACTGGTTTCTCCTTCTCTGCTCCTCCTGAAGTTCACGATTAGTTCTTTGGTTTCGCTGGTGTTGAGGTGGAGGTTGTTCTCAGTAGACCAAGTGGATCGATGGTGGATCTCCTCTCTGTGGGCTGTTTCATCGTTGTTGTGGGTGAGGTCTGTCAGTGTGGGGATGGACTTAGTGAGGGACACTGGTCTGAGAAAGGGGCTTAGAACACGACCCTGTGGGACTCCGGTGTTGATTTGAACTCTGGTTCTTATCACAGTTCTGTAAACGCTCCGGGTTAAACCATCAGGTGGGTCAACTATGAAGCAGGATTTGAGGTTATGACTCCAGTCTTTGTGGGACCACTTCCTGTGATCTCCTCCTCAGATCTAGTAAAACCACATACCTGACTCCATCGTACAGATTTCTGCTCTGAACCACACATTCAGGTCCTCCTTCTCCTCCTTCTCCTCCTCCTCCTCCTCAGGTCTCCCGCCATGATCGGCTGCTCCTTCGTCGCCAACCGCGAGTACTTTGGCGAGCTCGGCCTGCTGGACCCGGGCATGGAGGTGTGGGGAGGAGAGAACATCGAACTGGGCATCAAGGTTTGAGTTTGATTCTCTTCCTTCTGTTACGTCTTCCCTCCTCACAGCTGCAGGGGGTGCCATCGCCGTCACTGCTGATGAATGTGGTCCCGTTAGGAGTCCAGGGGGACCGGACTGTGGAGATAAAGAGGTCACCCAGAGCGGGGAGGCTGGACAGGATGTATCTGAGTGTACCGTAATGACCCTAATATAGGTCCGCCCTGAAAATAGGAGGGTGAAAAAACAGACTTTAAAGGAACAGGTCGTGTTTTTATTAATGGATATAAAAACGAGGTAGAGTTGACGAAGGTAGACCTTAAACAAAGCCGTCTCTGGTCTCTCTGGGTCACAGTCTCGGGTCTCTCTGGGTCACGGTCTTGGGTCTCTCTGCAGGCCTGGTTGTGTGGCGGCAGTATGGAGGTCCTGCCGTGCTCCAGGGTGGCTCACATGGCTCGCAGGAAGAAACCGTACTACAGCGACATCGGCACTCAGATGCGGCGTAACGCTCTGCGTGTGGCCGAGGTCTGGATGGACGAGTACAAGTCATTCGTCTACCAGGCCTGGAACATCCCCATGGAGGTGAGAAAGGGGCTGTTTCTATGGCAACAAGTCTGCAGGGTCTCACACAGAAAGAGCGATGACGTGAAAAACAAACTTCTGACTCCTGCAGAATCACGGTATCGATTATGGCGACATCTCTGAGAGGGTGGCGCTGAGGAAACGTCTGAAGTGTAAGAAGTTCAAGTGGTACCTGGACAACGTTTACCCGGAGATGAGGAGGTACACAAACACGCTCTTCTACGGACAGGTGAGTCTTTCTCCTGACCCTGGAACTCGCTGGTCTAACCTGACCCTCACAGACCCTTTTCTTCGTTCCAGATCCGCAGCTCTAACGTCAACCACCTGTGTATGGATCAGGGCGAGAAGGGGAACCACACGGCCATCGTGCACCCCTGCCACGAGTGGACTCCTCAGGTACACCCACAGACACACCCACAGACAGAGTGTGTCCATCAGCTGTGTCTTTGCTCGCCTCTCTCCAAACCTCCCAGAAGTCCTCGGCGTCCTCGGCGTCCTCGCTCTGGTCTTCAGCTGTGTTTCCTCAGCTGTAATCCTCTTAGCGCAGAGTTTCGCTGCCGGGCTCCAAATGTTTCTGAGCTGCAGTTTTTTTCCTGCTGAGGTCCTGACTCGGTCCGTGTCACTTCCTCAGCCTCTCCGCCTGCAGGGTCTCTCGTTTTCAGCTCAGGATTTGGCTCCTGCGGTGAAAACTGAAAAGACGAGCGCGGCTGAAAACGTTTCCTCCGGGTCGTCGGTGAAGTACAGCGTGAAGGTTTTCATTCCAGCTCCAGTTTTTGAGTTCTCGTCCAGGGAAACAGAGATTTGGTCTTACTTCAATTTTTACATGTGACTGTTTCTGAAGAGAAGCAGCAGCAGCTTCACAGTTTTAACTCTCAGTTCCTGTTTATTTGAAGCTCCATCCAAAACAGACATGCAGATAAATGCGCATAAAATCATCATTTTTAAACAGTTTTTCTTACTTTTTTAGACTCATATTTCTTAAGAGACTTCAGCCCTGATCATTAAAAAAATAATAATTAAAAAATTAGATGTATTACCCTTTTTAGGCCAGTTTTTGTGCAACATGTCACTGTTATTTTTAATGGTAAAGAACACAAAATCTCCATATTTCCCACATAAAATGACCTAGATGATTTTTTTAAATAAAAAGAGTGTGGGTCATGTCAGTGATGAAGAGTCAAACTGATTTTGGTTCAATTAAATTCTTTTTTTCTTGCCAATTTTCCGTATTTTAAGCTCCATCCAGTCGACTTTGTCCCTAAAACAGACATGCAGATAAATGTTCATAAAATAATCATTTTTCTCCTTCGTTACCAAATCAAATTAATCAAATTCATGTGTTCATAATAAATTAATTTTATATAAAAACATATAAAATCAGAAGATATACAGTATGTAAGATGTGAATCAATTATGAGTGTTTATCCTCCTCTAACTAAAATCTGACCGTGATTACTCTGATATAAAAATAACTGCATATTTGAGACGTGATATCTTCTCCCCTGATGATCTGAAGGACCTGTTCATCCTCATGCATGTCCATCCACTCGCTCTGAAGTGAGGACAAAGTAGAAATTGTCCAAATGTCCCCCTCTCTTTGTCCCACACTGCAGAACTTGGACGTCAGATTTTCGACTGTAAAAACTCACGTCATGGACGCAGATTCTCACCCGTGCACACACGCAGGAGCACACAGACTTCTCCTTCCACACATATCCCACTCTGAGACATCCATACCTAGTGTCATGTAAAGTTTCCTTCAGTTCTGATGATGTTTAGTGGATGAATCTTCAAACTCTCTCAGTCCATGAATGAAGACTTGGGAAAGTCGAATTTAGAGCCCTGCTGATCGACTGACTGCAGAAAAAAGGTTGTTGACAGAGAACTGCAGGTGACACCGAGTTTCTTTTTTTAATATGAAGAAAAATAAGAGGTGTCACCAAATTTGACGCCCCAATCTTTAAAACTGTGACTGTCAGCATAAAATAAAGATGAAAAAAATGACAAATGTCCTCAAAACGGACAGAAGAGGAACGGAGGGTTAAACTCATGACATATTGGAGTTAAATAAGACTAAGAAGCAGCAAATCTCTTCTCGTTTTAGCAGAAGAGAGTATGAGGGTCTCCAGATAACACGGTCACCTTTTCTCCCAGAACACCTGCTGCTCTGAAATGGAAGGTCTCTGTGCTTTTTCTGCGTCTCTGTCTGTTACCAGCTCGGGCGTTACACCACAGAGGGTCAGCTGTTTCTGGGCCCTCTGGGAACCACGGGGGACGACACTCTCTGTGTGGTGGACGATCAGATCAGCTCGATTCCTCGGCTTCTGAACTGTGAGGAGGTGACCAACGTGAAGCAGAAGACGTGGGATTTCAGTCAGGTGAGCTGCAGGAGGAGAATCTGAGGATTAGGTGTGTTTTCATAAAAGAACAAAGTGTCTGCTGTTTCTGATCCTGAATTTATTCAAAGAAACAAGAGTGCAGCAAAGATTATCGGACAGGATAATACAGTACACTCTAAAAACTGTGAGAGCTCAGATTTAATGTCAACCAATAAAAACAGTCAGAAACAGATTTTATTAAAGAAAATGAGACGATCAGATCTATCAAACCTCTCCTCTCTCTGCGTCTCTGTCCTGCAGAACAAACCCTTCGTTAATCGAGCCACAGGACGCTGTCTGGAGGTGGTGCCGGTGAAGACCGGGTTCGGTTTCCAGCTGGTTTTACAGCCCGGTTCTGGGCAGACTTGGACCATCAAAAACACCATGAAGCAATAGACAAAAAGGACTGAAGACCAGACTCTGGAGGACTTTGGACTTTAGTTTCCAGGAGTGGAGACGTGTGCAGAGCGATGAGATGATGTCAGCTGATCAGCTGATTCAGTGTTTTCAGGATTGTCTTCCAATAAATGGTTTCGGTTTCTTGACGGTGCTGCAGAGAAATCTTGATTCATAATTCTCGCACATCATCTGGACACAGCCTGGCCTCAGAACGGTTTAACAGGTTCCTCCTTTGTGTCCCTCTAAAACACAGATCACAGGAGGCAGACAGGTGGCCCCACATTTAAGAGAGTCCCCTGTGATTGAGCGGAGAGTTATGGGTTCAGTCCTGCAGCAGCTCGGCCTGATAAAGTGTCCTTGAACTGCTGCTGCTGCTTCTTCAGCTAAAGGCTGAACATGTAAATGAAACAGGAGGAGTCTGCGGGGAGCACAGGGCTCTGTTTCTAGCAGAGGGTCGGGGTGGGTGGGTGGGTGGTGTCACCCTGAGGACGCAGCGTGCATGTTAACACGGGTGAAACACTCGTGGGCCTCCAGCATGACAGGATTACTGAGGTCCTCGATGAAAAAGAAGCTGCAGGATAAAGTCCAGAAAATAATGACTGAAAATAATCAACACAATAATCAATAATCAATAATCAACAGGAGTGGAAAAACTTCTGATGGTTGACTTGATCACATGTGGCTGATTTGTGCATTCACTGTCAGCCTCATGCTCTGCAGGCCCAGCGCTGCCCTCTCGTGGCCAAGTGTGGTAATCACAGAATTTGATGGTTTGCAAATAAATTAATGTCCATGTTTCATTTTTAGAAATTACGGAAGCATATTGCATTCACCAAAAAAAGGGTCTGTTTTTCAGGGTATTTTTTTTTCTTTATAGACTAATCATTATTTTCTGTTCTCTGTGATCATGATTGTATACCCTATGTTTAACTAATAACATGTTTTACTCTCATTGACCTCCGTAGTCAAAGTTATCTAACAGCAAGAGAATCGGCTGATTAATGTTGTCTGATTGTACGAGATTCTCGCAGGATTTTGAAGTATCTCATTTTGTTAGGAAAAAAAAATATTTGGAAAAACAGAAAGATGGGGGGCATAAAAGGATGAAAAACAGAATAAAAACTTGTCCAAAAAAACAAAAACAGAAGAAAAAAAATTGTACAAAAACAGAAAGACAGCAAGAAAAAAAAAGCTTAAAAAAAAAGACTTTTTTTTTGAGTGAATGAAATGCACTTCTGTACTGGGTAGCTTACACACTAGGAGGAGTATATCGTTTATTCAGAAAAAAAAAAATTTCAAAAACAAAACAAAAAAATGTCCAAAAAAAAAGAAAGAGGGAAAAAAATATTCCTACAAAAAAAAAAAAAAAAAAGAAAAAAAAATTGTTTTTCTTTCTTTTAGTAAGTGAATGCAGTATGCTTCCGTATGAAATAGTACAAACTTGATAAAGGAAATATAGAAACTGAAAACCTTTATACATTAAACCAAAAGCACTTATTTAAAATTTAATGATTGTTTTAGTAAACTTGAAACAGGGGTTTGATTCTTGGGCAGCAGAGAGGACGGTTTCTGGAGTTTTAGCGGTAAATCGATGTGATTCTCAGGATCTTCTTTCTTTCTGGTTTCCTCTTTGCAAACATGGAGGTCAGCTGTGTTCACTGATTTTGGTTTTTGGAGGCACCTTTGACTTCCACTACAGACTGATAACACCGAGCTGAGCTGTTTACAACTGAGTTTGTCCGACTGTTTGCGGATGCAGACTCAAATCTGAACTATTTTGCACAATTTTCAATTACAGGGTTTGAAGGATTAGTAATTTTTAACATTTCAAACAGCTGTTCCACTTTCTGTCGTTGGGATTAAATGTCCCGCCTCTCCTAAAATGTTTAAAAATAAGTAAATCTTTAATTATATTTATATTGTGCGTGAGTCCAGAGTGAAATAGAACAAAAAGCAGCATATTGAAAAAAAAACACAGTTTTATTGCGTCAATGCTTAATCCTTTCACCATTATACAAGTTTCCATATTTACAATTTCATAATTATTACTCCCCTAATAAATATTACAACTGAAAATCTCTCTAATCTACACCTTTAAATATTACACATGCAAACAATGTTTAGTGTGTGCTTGTCGAGTAGATATGCTTTCTTATTAGCTATGTACAAAGTTACATAACAAAAACATGTGGGATCTGATCACCATGCTACTGCCACACTGTGCCCTCCCCGCCAAAATAAAAGTCCAGTTCTGAGATGGAGACATGCAGCCGGTCTGCAGGCCCAGACGGTTTCACTTAAAGCTCCAACATATAAAAATAAAAATGTGTACAGAGAGAAAGATCACCATCACCACACGGCAGCAGTGATGAGCTTTAATTTAGTGGTTCATGTTCAGAAAAACTCGATATAACAAAAATCTGTCAGAGTGTGGATTTTAAAAACCAACATGGATTCAGTGTGAGCGACAGGTGTCAGAAATCATCTGTGAGGGGAACCTTTGAAACAGTGAATACACTGTGTCTTTAAATATAGGTGTGTGTGTGCGTGTGTGTGTGTGTACGTACAGGTGCTGCTCCATCTACCTGCTGACGGTAGATCAAACTTTACAGTAGAGATAAAAATCCTCAGATTTTAACATTGAAGACCAACATCTGTCAGACTGTGGTGATTACACTAACACTGTGAGGGTGAACAGCATGGACGGACCACTAGGGGGCACTCTTGCATGTACCTTCAGCCCCCCCCCATTGGTGTGAAACATTGACAGGAACAAACCGAATCATTCATGAGAAACACGTTTCTGCTGCTTTGATTTGGAGAGGACAGAGAGAAGCGTCTGTACAGTGTCGTCTGATTCACCTCTGCAGAGTTTTATGGCTTTGGCAGGAGGGTGTAGAGGGAGCAGAAAGGGTCTCCACCGCCTGCTGCTGCTGCTGCTGCTGCGTTTTCAGATGGAGCAGTCGTCTGGATGATCCCCCTCCCTGCACCTCTGCACCCCTGTGAGCAGAGAGCACCAACAATCATGCACATAAAGACGAGTGAAACACTTATTCAGACGTGGGATACAGTATTTACAGCAGACACTGACTTGATCGCATGCTCTTGATCACATATGTGTGTGTGTGTGTGTGTGTGTGTGTGTGTGTGTGTGTGTGTTTGTGTGTGTTTGTGGGGGGGGGGTACAGGTTCAGGTGGGTGTGCAGGAGTTCAGCAGGAGTCACAACCTTAACGTCAGTCAGCTGTGGGAAAATTTACACATCTCGTCTCCCAGTTTAAATAAGGGTCATGTTGTCATGACGATGACTTAAAGTCATGGTTGACGATTATAAAGATCGGTAATTATTATGAACCTCGTTTCTATGGCGATCATGGTCCTATACTGCGATCTCCACAAAGTGAAGAGAAAAAAGAACAGAAAAAATCTCTTCACCCTATCAGGTGCAGAGCTGCAAAAACATTGACCAATGGGAGCCATCCGTCCCGGACAGCTCCTATTGGTCAATATTAGACACACCCCTTTCCTGTAGTTCCGACTCATCCCCTCCCCCTCTCCCGGCCCTCCTCGGAGCTCTGAGCGGCTAAAAGTAGCAGCAGCTTAGCTACAGGAGCTGTGATGGAGAAGGACGGAAACACTTCTGTTCGCCACACCTCCAAAAGAGGGACAACGCAAAAGGGCGGGGTCGAGGTCATTTTTATCTCCTTTTATTGTGGCTCATGTTACATAAATAACTGATTAGTCTCTGACATGTCAACACGGTAGCTGTCCAGGCAGCTGCAGACGGCGCTCACTAGCAGAGCTGGCGTTTACCGCCGCTAGTCACTAACAATCCGACATGGTGGATCCTATTTGAAGCTAGCGTAGGATCTTCTGGAGAGAGCGATACAGGTTCAGGGGGCGGAGTTATGGTGGAGCACAGAGGGGAGAGGTTTGTGTGTGTGGGGGGGGAGGACGCTTTTTTCAGATCTGCCTCAACGGGTCAGTTTTTTTTGAAGATCATCAACCGGGACTTTAATCTAAACAATGAAAATTGACCGTCGTAAAATAAAAAGACGGAGTGAAGTCATGACTGAACTCAGAGCAAAACTATCTGCTCGTAAAAACCATCAGAGTTGTGTCTGAATTAAAAATCTTGTTTTATTTTTGGAACTTTTTTTCGATCGTTTATCGTCTATTTATTCATAAACGGGTAAATCTGGAGCTTGTTTGTTCTCCTTTTAGAAAACCTACAAAAACAATAATTCAGGTAAACGAGGAGAAAAGGTTTCGGGCCGAAAAGATGAATTAGACCTGATTCTAAAATGACTGTGTTTGTGTTTTTAATTTTACATAAAGATGATTTATGAGTCGGAGTATTGAGAGGTGTTTTTTTCCCCACAGAGACGTCTGTCTGCACTTTGAACAGAGTTCGTCCAGAAGAAGTGTCACCCAGCCAAAGTCCAAGTCTGGAGTTTTAGATCTTCTTCACTCTCCTGCTCGCTTTGTCGGACTGAAAAACTGATGCCAGCACCTCGTACCAGCCCAGAAATCCTCATTGGAGAGCTCAAGTATCGTAGCACCATGAGAGCTCCAGGAGCCGCGGCCCGACACGTACAGATCCTTCTGCTCGAGTGGCGCTGAGATCAGCCGTCGTCCTTCCAGGAAATCTAATAAGAGGACCATTGTTCCCGTCCTCGCCCTGCCTCACAGACTGCAGCCTTGGAAGCTCATCAGACTCTTGGTGGGTGACCGTTCTGCAGACTCCACGCTCACATCTCGCCGCTCTGAACTCCTGCACCCAGCTCGGGTCTTTTCTAACGTTTTTATTGCATCAGGGAAACAGACAGGACAGTTTCTAATGTGTAATGTCAGCCCTTGAGAGTCCCTGTCAGAGTAAAGGGGGAGGAGTGCGGCATGACTCCTCATGCTGGCTTCACGGTTTTCATTGGATGTCGGGTGGAGAGGTGCGAGTCATTCAGGAAACTAACGAATCTCAAAATGGTTCGGTCTCGGGGTTTTTGGGGGGTTATTCCTTGTAGTCCAGTCAGCAGGGATAGGACTTCACCCACACTGGCATGCACATGCAGGCTGGCCGGATCCCCGCTCACAGTGCGAGCAGCTACTCCATGCCGTTCCTCAGCATCTGATTGGCTGCGATGAGCATGACGCTGATGATAAACGCCATGGCGAAGGCGCAGATGAGGCTCTTCCTCACACACGTCTGACGGTTCTTCTTTGAAGGGTGAACTGAAAGAGACGAAACACAAAACGAGGAGAATCATTAACATGACGAACTTCCTGGAGCGCCACTTTGAAAGATGGAAACACGTTTGACTTTGAGTCTGTCCGCCGCAGGAAACGGAAATAATGAAGACAAACAGGAAGTAGTGACATGGAGATTTATCCTCACTGTTGGAGGTCTGACTTCGGCGAGGTCGTGAACTCTGAACCGCTCCGGGTGACTCGGTCACTGATGAATGAATGTGTACGACGTCACTAAATACTGCAAACTCACCACCCACAACCAGTGCAGCTCCATGTGCTCGCCTGGACTAGCTCCCAGGAGGTGCTGTATGAAGAACTAACAGATGTACTTGAGTTGGAGTCTTAAAGTAAATCACTTCTCTAACTCAAGTATCAAAAGTAAATGTAGTAACTGTATTCCAAGTAAAAATAAAAAGTAAGAATAGTAGTAAGTAAAAATAGTGACAGCAACACTGCCCCCTGGTGTTGCTGCATGAGTAGAGATAACATCATGGGGCTGTACACTACGGTGGCCCTGAGGCACAAAACACAACAGCAATTCAGAAAACACAACGGTTAATGCTGTTGTGTTTCCTGATATTCCGTTGTATTTTGCACCTCAGGGCCACCGTACCACCCCCCAAATAAACCAGACAGGCTGCAGTTTTCTTCATCGTGTCTCTGAGTCCATGACTGAGGAGTCTTGGACCAAACCTCACCCCCAGTTTTCTAAATCAGAGAGAAACTCTGAGGTTTCCCGAGTCTTTGTGGACGTTTCTGCCAAAGTCGTTTATTTCATGGATCCTTGAGAAAAAGTGGGTTTACAGAGCAGGACAGGAGAATATAAAAGAGAGTTTCACAGTCTGATGGAAGAACAGAAATATACTGTCTCTGCTGTTTAGACTCTCTGAGTATAAAATACTTTTTATTTCTTAACTTTGACACTCAGACTTTGAAAACTGAATCACTGGACCGTCCCTCCAACTCCAACTCCAACTCCACTAAAGGTGAGTTCTGTAAATCTGATGTCTGTAAATGTGCACAGCTGTTTAATCTGAGGCTGGATTAAACAGGGACAGGAAGCTCCAGATTAAAGGCTGAAGATACGAGAGTACAGAGTGATGACAGCATGTTGAACTGAAGGATGTTATATGGAAATCTGAGCTGACACACACATTCACACGTTCACACGTTCATACATTCACACAGCAGCACCAGTGAGATAATTTTCTGGTTCAATCAACCGCCGGCGCTCACAGGTAGCCTAACCCGGCAGCGTTTCCTCCGTGCAGCGGGGCGTCGGACTGCGGGCCGCTGAGATGATTACACCGAGCCGTGGTAATTAAGGTTGACCCACAACCGCACAGCTCACACTCTCAGTCCTGTTTTTTTACTCTCAATACAAGAAGCACTGAAGTCATCAAAAAACCTCTGCACTGCTTTTCCAGAAGAGAGAGACTCTCTGTGAAAGTAGGGCAGGAATCAGAACTTCACTATGAGAGTTTAAAAACTGCTATTCCAGAAACTCACACCGTATTAACATGAGCTGATGTGATTTTAGCTCAGAGTGAGTTCTCGCCAACTTCGGAGGTTATGTAACTTCACATGAGACAAACGCGGAGCTTCTATCTCCGTCTGCAGACAACTGAGAAGAACCTGAGTATGACCCGCATCAACATCAGCACCTTAAAGCTCCTGACAACGATCTCAGAAACATCTTTACAAAAGATTCACAAGCAGTTTCAAACTTGGGAATTCAGCCCAAAACATAGACTGTTTATACTCTGGACACTTTGGCTCCGCCTCCTGTCATTATACGAATTTGACGCCGAAAAGCTCTCGGTATTTCTGATATTTTCTCCACTTCCTGAAACCAACATTGCGCAGCAGCCTTTTACGCATTTGGCGGGGGAGTCGCCGAGAGTCGCTGTGATGATGCTCGACTCAAACAGCGTATCCCCCGGTGATCTACTCAATCTCTGTCCTCCCATTGGCTGTATCAGGTGTCAATCATAGAAAACATGAACCCCCTAATAAATTTTAAAAACGGAGCTGCACAGAAAAAAGAGGACTTGAGCACAAACCAGTCTGACAGTAACTACATGTCAACATCACAACCAGGGGGGAGAAACATTTATATTCTGTGTCATTCATTTATAAAGTTTGTCCACAGCTCCATAAGGAGGCGGGGTTTATGACCTATACTGCAGCCCGTCACCAGAGGGCGCTGTTCTCAGAGAGAGGAGGTGGACGGCGTCTATTCTAGATACAGTTTATGGTTCTGAGCCTCCGTAGAAACATAAAGATGAATGATGGCGGCCTCTGCAGAGAAGGACCCGCTCTGATGTAGACCCAAAAACAGCTGCTCTTAAAAATCTAAACATACCTGAATATTTCCTAAAGACCAGAAGTTTCTACTGAATATTAATCTGAGTGAGAGTTAAAGAAGGTGTTGATGGAGAGTCCATGTGTCGGGCCGGGTGGAGTGTTGTGGTCCAGACATGAGTTCCCGGTCCAGTCCTCAGCCTCATAAAACACCTCCTCAGCGCCCCGAGTTACGACTCCAGAGCCAAACATCTACGCGGGACTTTCTGCTCTACGGTCGTGGAGGTAATGGGTGTGGTGTGGACTGGTCTCCAGGCCGCTGTAAAGCTGTCTGAGCTCCACCTCGGCTTTTAAATTACAACCAGTACTCCAAAAAGTTCAGACGCTGAGCAAAATGTTGATGGATGCAGAGAATGTTTTTCTGATACCAACAAAGTTTCAGGGACAAAAAGAAAAAACTATAATTTAGAGAAGCCCTAACTGAATAATTAGAGTGAATCTGGAGCAGGTTACTACGACGGAGAATCAGGGACACATTAAAAAAAGAAAAAATTACTTATGAGAATAAAGTCGTAATAAAATCATTACTTACGAGGATACAGTCAAAGCTAATAGCTGTTCTAACCTGTTCATTCTCATGAGTAATTATAAAGTCTTGATTTTTTGTTTTTCTTAATGCGGCTCTAATACTCAGTCGCGGTCAGTAACAGGAGTGGGTACAGATATTTATTGGTCCAATAAGTGGGTCAAATACCTTAGAGTGATATTTCTCTTCAGGTCAAAACCAGCTGTTGATAAAATCACTTTAAAGCTGTAAAGTTTCAGTTTAGTTTATTTTTGGTTGCAAAAAAAAAAAAATATTCTAATTACACTTTTCATTTCATTTCATTTAAATCATTGGACCAAAAAAAAGGTGTAGGCTGAAGCCCATGGCTTATTGTGCCTACCCTTTCTTCACTTTTATGCCGAACGTAAAGAATAAACTTTCAAAGATAACAAACAAGAAAAGCAAAAACAAAAATGAACAGAATAAATCTGTACAAAACAGAAGCAATAAAAGATAATAAAATAAAATAAGTATATCTGGTTTTGAATTACACAACATACATACACGTGTACATACACACACCAGCATACATACATACACACACCTATCTACATATACGTATAAGTCAATAAAATAAATAATCAAAATAAAATAAATTAGTATGCGATATATTATAAAATATAGTAATACATCCAAACATATCTATATCGATATGTTTGGATGTATACAAACGACTCTTTGAGTGACCTTTGTCCTGAGATCAGGAGGTGAGGTTTGGGGACTGAGTTTGTCTCAGTAAATAAAAGATTAAGAGTTGAAATATCAAGTTTGAACTAAACTCAGTTCACGTTAAAAATCCTGATTCTCATTTATTAAAAACTGATCCTGTTAATAAATCTGTTCATCACCTGATTACCTGTAAATCCATGTACCTGCTCAGCTGCTGTGACATTCATGGATCCTCACTGATCTCCTCTCTCTCTCTCTCTCGTTCACGCCGCTGACAGCTGCGACTCCGGCCTGTTTGAACCTGATTGGTGCTTTTTGTTCAGCAGTGAATCAGCGCTTAGTGAACTCGTACAAATCTGCGGTCACGTTTCTTCCCCTGTTGTTTCTCAGCTCCACGCCGCATCGATTCCTCAGCCAGCTGATGCCGGAGGGAAATCAGGAGCCTTATATACGGCCTCATATATCAGAGAGCCGGAGCGCCGAGTACCAGAGGAGCATGTTGAATTGTGCTCAAAATGAATCTCACTGTGACAGAATATATTGATTTCACCATGACCAAGCACATTTTGGTGTCCCCACATGGCAGCTGGTACTCAGGGACCTTCAGCCAACAGATGTCAGCACTCTGTTCGACGCTGCGGCGGTCAGTCTTCATCAGAAAACCAGCAGGAACATCATGTTGGGATCACCGCACGCCGGGTTTAAGACTTTCATAATGGACGAGTCGGGGACCTCGAGGACGGGACAAAACCTCAGGGTGGAAACGTTTGAGGGGGAAGAGAGACGAGTCAACATGAAGGTGAAGATGTCTGAACTCGATTTAAAGTAAACATTCGTGACATTTGAGTTCAGAGTTCGGCCTTTTGAGCCGCGCTGCCTTCCAGTCTACCTCCGTTTACAGCCGTTCGCAGGAGCAGCTGGTCAATTACAGTCACAGTCTGCGGAACGACCTGCTGCAAAATTAACCGAGTACCACCCTATACGGGAGAAACGCCAAAAAAAAACGATCAAAGTGTCCATTTATTCATGACTGTTTTTGTTAAGAAGAGAAACCATTTTTGAATACGAACAGTAGAGCCCCCTACAGGCGGTCAGAGGAACTGCAGGTTTGAGATTTAAAAAAAACTGAGAGTATACAAACTTCTGCTTTAAATATCAGGTGAGTGAAATAACTTGTGATAAGTGTTATTATTAATAAGTGCGTTTCCATGGTTACCAATCCGATCACTGGGAATTACCAGGTAATGACTGAACTCTGATTTCTGAGTCTTAATCACAAATTCAGCTCCGAGTTTACAGAGACCTTTATTTTAATAACAGTTTGTTAATTATGTTAAAATTTAAAGTTCACATAAAAACCCAGAAAAAGATCCTTTTCCACCGTCCAAGTCTGACAAAAGGATGTAATTCAATAACATCATATGTAGGGCCGAGCGATATGGGAAAAAGTTTATCACAATATTTTTTTTTCATATCAGCAAATATTGATTAATATCACAATATTAAAAAATCACGTCAATCGCTGTTTGGTCTCATGTCTTTTCCAACACAATAATCTCCTGCATCTGTGAGGTTTTTGTGTCTCTTTGACGTTTTGTCGTAAGGCGTTGCTCTAGAGAAAGCCGACTGAATGGTCGTCTGTTTCACACTCGCTCGTGCCAGTGTTGTCCGCGATGTCGTCATCTGTTCGTCATTTCTGTCGGGGGTAGCACTCATTTTCTTTGTTTCTCACCAACAGTGCTGTCGGCTTCACCTGTTAAAGTGCTATGGTTGGGTGGAGCTGCTGTCTGCTACGACGCTGCAGTTGGTTGATACTTGGTTCTAATTCAGAACATGATTGGTTCAGACCCGGAGAAACTCCCCTTTTCATTGGCTGTTCGTATAGTCGACCAAAACATGTCAGAATGACGACTATTGAAAAGAGTATTGATCATGTTTTATATTGATATTGAGGGAAATTAATTTTTAATATATATCATTCTCGTTTTATCGCCCAGCCCTAATCTTATCCATAAAGATCTGAAAATAACGAAGGCCGTACGCTCTCTCTCCTGTTGTTATTGATCCGTTTGAACTCCGTCCTCTCCATCCTCAGTGAAGACGCTGTCTGCGGATGATTCAGGGTTAATTCACTGTTTTCAAAATCACCGTCCTGCTGCTGTTGGTCTGACGTCCTCACATACACAGAGGTGATCATGTGGGGTCTCCTCAGCCCGTTTTTAACTCTTGTAGGATTGAAGAAGTCTCTGAGAGTGTGTCAGGTCTGAATCAATAGACTCCTCTGATTAATCTTTACGATCATCGCTCCGTTTGAGACAAAGAAGCTTTCTGCTGACAGAGACAACACCAACAGGAGTCCGGGACATGTGGAGAGGTTAACCACAGAAATATGAAAATGTGCTTTTGGATGCAGAACTGATTCTTGAGCATCTGTTCTCCTACAGACAAACAGCTGCTTGTTATCACGCTGACCTTCACACGTGCTGCTGCTGATGTTACAGGAACGCTCGGATCTGAACACTGAGAGTTTGATTTCCCTGAACTGTAAATGTTTCAGAGAAAGTTCAGCAGGAGGATTTTCTTTCTGCCTCATTTATTCATCTCTCTCTCTCCTCCTCTCTCCTCCCCCTCCTCTCATCAGCTGATCACAGGAGTGTGTCGCTGAAGTCTAACTAAGCAGACTTTCCCTCATCTGAACCCGTCCTCCTCTCTGCTGATGAACACTCGGACTCTTCTCCACCCCTCATTCACTTTTAGTACCTCCAGTGTTCAGAAATCCTCTCCTCTCTCAGAGTTCAGACTCTAACAGGAGAATCTTTCACTTCTTTACTCTCACAGAAATTTACTTTTTCATTTATGTCCAACATTTCCCTCCTTCTCCATCCAAACGTCAGTTAAATCTCCCGCCTCAGTGAAACCTCACCTGCTTTATTTGCTTTATTTGCTTTATTTTCTGTTAAACGTCTTTTTAATGAAACCATGAAACTCAAACAGTCACACAAGACCGAACCTGAACACATTTTTAATTTCTGTCTGCCCTTTTATTCGACTTCTGCTCCTTCTGCATCAAAACATTAAGACATTCTGCATCTATGCAAACTAACTCTACGATAAAGCTGAAGTTTTGTATCTGACATGTAGGGCTGCACGATTAATCGATTTAAAATCTAAATTAGATTATTTGATTATGATTATATTTTACTTGCATGTTGCACATTGTACATATATATTTATTGTAGTATTTAGTAATTTTGTTTACTTATTACGTTTTTATTTTTTCTATCTGTCGTTATTTGGACTGAGGGTCCGAGAGGACTGTAATTTCATATATGCTGTATGTTGTCGTGGAGCATATTTGACAATAAAGCTGACTTTGACTTTGACTTTGATGAGGATGCTAAAAAAATGTAAATCCTCAAATTGATTTTCCTCTCTATCATGTCTCACCCCTCCAGGCCACCGTAGGCTCCTCCTTCCTCCCCAGTTCTTACACACATCAGTGTAAACAAACATGGCGTTTGTTAAAGAAGGCGATAATTTCGTGGTTAAATAGGACAAGAGCGAGTCAGTCGTGTTGAAGAGTAAACCACTCCCCGCTGTAAAGCCTGTCTGAAGGCGGTATCAACCCGTCACCATGGAAACAAATTCAGGAGGAAACGCTAAAGTTTTTTGTCGTATCAGCGTTTCAGGCGACTGTAAACGGTACTTTTTGAAAACGGGTCAGAGAGAGAATAAATCTGCATTTTACATTAATACAATCTGACAAATGAAGATATTTAATAAAATGATGAAGATTGATGAAAGAAGGAATCCTGAACTCTGCTGAGAAATAACTCGTCCACGTTTTAAAATCTCAGATGTACTTTGGTTCTAAATTATCTCATCAGACTCAGTAATAAACACGTGTTCCTGACCAGGTCAAGATGTTGCTTTAAAAAAACTCAATTGGTTTTAATTGAAGAAAACTGAAAAATGTAAGAATTTAAGAAACACGTCTCTTAAACTGAAGCAGGATTTTTTTAAGTGCACTACATGTTTTTATTTCCTTTTTACACATTACTAGAAATTCAGCTCTGACTCTCCTCTCTAACGATCATGAAATAAAACATGTTTTTGGAGTTTTGAGGTGATGTGACTCAGTTTAATGAGTCTAATGAGAGATTTTCTATTAAAAATTAGACAAAGACATGCACACTTCTGAGTTTTTGTAGTGTAGTAGATATTAACTGATGCACACATGATGGTTTAAGGACAGACTTCGGTCATTCTGGACTCTCAGGATCCCAAAAACAAAAACAGTCCAAAAAGGTTTGAACCCGGTTCAGTTCGGGGTAAAAGCCCCAGAATCCCCTCTGTGGATCTCCATAAATCTTGGATGTTAGTTTTGCAGAGTGAGTCTTTAATATTTCATCCACATCACTCCTGAACCGGCGACCAGCTGACTCTGGTCCTCGCCAACGCCAGGAATCAATAAACCAGCAGGTGTGCGGCGACTCTGAGATCATGAGGAGGACGTTCAGATTCTTCCTGACAGGACGGATTCAGTCTCCTTCACCTCACACACACACACACAGACACACACACACACACACACACTCACCTCCTTCAAACTCGGTCTGACAGTTCCCAGAGTTCTCCTTCAGGCTCTCCTCCTCGTTGATGATGATGTTCTCGATGTCCTTCATGGTCAGGTGATCACGGAAGGCGTAGAACAGGACCTGTTTGAGCTCCTCCAGCGTGATCCTCTGCATGTCGAACTGCAGGACAGGAACAGAACCGGGTTAATCCTCATCAGAATTTACTGAGCGTCTCTCCTCACAAAGACCAACGCATGTTTACTGACGTGAACAAACTCTTTGAACAAGTGTGCGAGCTCGTGACAAAGTGACGCAAGAATCAGATCCATCATCCTGTCTCCTGAAAAAAGCCGACAATAAATAAAGAGCGTTGTAAAAACACACCGAGCGGCTATAAATCATGACGCATGTTGGAGTAAATCTTTACATCCACAGACGCTCACAGACGTCACTTTAATGAATTCAGTCCAGATCCACTGATGAAAGTGAACATGTGTGGGTTTATTGTTCGGGTCAGTGAAGGAGGTTTGATGGTCTCACTGCGAGAAAAGACAAAGTGCAAAGTTTTAGTTTCTGGAGTTCAGAGAAACTCTCAGCTTCTCTGGTGAGAAAGAAATCTGCGTCTCAGCTTGAAAAGAGAAGAAGAGGTTTTATTTCTTTAAAGCAGCAGAACGATTAAAGACAACAGAAGAAGAAAGATGTTCAGAGCAGGAAACGAGGGACTGAGACACAAACCTGACGGAGGATAAATCTGAATCACACACTGACTCACTCAAACACTCGTTTCATGGAGCTGCTGATAAATGACGTTTATAAAATCAAAGCTCCTTCCACACAGAACCTCCAAGAATCAGGACCTGGACCGGGTTTTAAACCGTCAGTGTTGATGGGTCCAAACTTACAGAAGACAAACTCAAAGGTTCGAGTTGTTTTGGATGGAGACCCGTTCCTGTCGTGGTCCGGCTCCATGGTGACACAGCAGTTTTCGAAGAAGAGGAAACACAGACCATCTTCACAGCGAAGGTTGATTTGAAAGGAATATTTATGACCCTTATAAAAGGTTCAATCACGGCGCCTGAATATGGAGCGTGTCGACCTTAAACCTGATATTTCAATCTCTCTGAGCAGCTGATACAGAAGTACAGAACACGCCGGGGCACCACGACACCGCCGCCGAGCGATCCTCTTAACGTGTCCGTGCTTCCTTCGTTTATTTCACTTTGGAGATCTTCTCAGTCCGGTAACGACCTCCAAAGAAAGTTGATCAGGATCTGAAAACAGACTCTGGGAAGTCCAGACTAATATGACGGCTCCTTAAAGGTGGTCTGGACTTTAGGATATTCCTTCAGATTCTGGTTTTATGGTTTAAGATAGAAACTCCTGATCGTATCGATGCAGCCTCAGCGTTTTTACAAATCCACACGGAGAGAGAGAGAGAGAGAGAGCGGCACGATTCAGCCAAAAATAAAATCAATAATAAAAAATGTATTCAGTGCAACTTCACCAAACTTCACTTTAATAATAACATTTTTTCTATTTTCTCTCAAAACGATGTAGTTCATATGCCAAGCCAGTAAGTGGCGCTGTAACGCTGCACAGGAAATGCACCAAAGACAGAAGAAGAGTACAGAGCATGTGTATAAAGGTTGTTTTGGCGCCATAAAAGAGTTACTCTGTGTGTCACATGATCGTTTCCAGAGACGGAGATGAAATGGTCGTCGTTTACAGATTTATTCACTCTCTGACCCGTTTTCAAAAAGTACGTTTACAGTCACCTGAAACGCCGATATGACAAATACTTTAGCGTTAACTTTGATTTAGTCGACCTCAGCATGAAGACGTCCCGCACAGTGAGCGCCTTTTTGACAGGAAGTCCTAAAACAGACGTCGTCATCATGAAGTGTCAGGAGTTCAGACAGGAAGTCCATCAGCGAAGAGACGCCTTCGTCCTTCAGTCTTCAGAGTTTAAACTCGAGACGTTGACGCTGAAGACCTGCTGCTAACTTTGAAAGATAACCACCTCTGTGACCTCTGTGACCTCTGTGACCTCTGACCTCTCCATCCGCACACGCTCCTCTGATCGTTTATTTATCCCGCAGTAAAAGGTTTTTTATTTTCAGAGACAGAGATGTTGATTTTATTTCCGTCTCCGTCCCTCAGGGAGCAGAAACTCAAACACTAACGGACAGATCCACCGCCACCCGCCCTGCAGCTTCGCCATTTAAACGACCAGCTGACTCCTCCGTCACCTCGTCCCCACGGGAAGGAGGTCTGCCGCCTAATTGTGTTTAACTCGACCTTCGCGCCACCTTCCAACGACGCCATCGCTGGCGGACATCAGCAGACTGACGGCGCATCATAGTCCTGGGTAAAAAGGGGGAGGAGCCTGAGGAGAGATTCATTCACTGAGCACGACGGTGTCAGATAAGAAAAATCCTCTTTTTTCATCCTCAGACTGTATTCACTCCGAGGCGTGAAGTGACCTTTACGGAGGAGGCGGCGAAAGAAAGGGAAGAGTGACGCCTGCAGACCTGAGGTGACTCCTGTGGAAAGGTTCGGCGCCGAGTGACCCGCGGTTTTAAAGGTAACCCCGGAGAACTTGAGAAGTTCACTCTCAAGTGTAATCACACGTCTCCGGTAAAGGGCCTCTAATGGAAACTCTGGAAAACTTGGAAATGTCACCGAGCGCTCAGACCGGCGAAGGTTCGACCTCAGCGGGAGAAGAGCGAGGAAGGACCAGGACGGAGCGACACGGAGGTCCGCTTTAAAAACTTTAATGATGATGATGATGATGATGATGATGATGATGATGATGATGATGATGATGATCTGTCCGAGGAGTCAATGAAACACGAGACGAAAGTGAGAGACTTTAAAGAGGCGGTGAGTGACGTTTGAGCGACTTTAGAGATTTAAAGGTATTTATGATCAAATAACTTCAGAGGGTAAAACCTGAAAAAACCTTCATGTGGAGAATCAGATCTTTAGTCTCAGCAGACAGAGAGGAGATCTTCAGCTCTCAGACAAAGTTAATTTTCTCTCGACTTATTTGTCTGAAAAAAGTCATTTCAGTGTCAGAGCGTTCGGGGAAATTGGGTCTGATATTTACTTTGGTTCTCATGAGGAGGAGAGCGGCTCTAAATCTGCGCTGAAGTGGATCTCCTCCTCATGAATGAGACGACGCTGAGAGGAGACAAAGTGGAAAACTGAAATGAGAGATTTTAGATTTTATTTTCTGAACAGCAGAAAAACAAAAAAGAGTTTTGAAGACGTAATAAAGATTCACTCATCATCACCTGAAGAGAAAATAAAATAAACCTTTAAATCAGTGACGGAGTCTAAACAGCTTTAATGAAACGTCATCATTAGACCGAGAATAACCAACAAATTTCAACGCATCAAGAACGGCTGTGATTTTCACCGTCCGCTAATTTCTACCAGAACCCGTTTGTGAGGAGAATTTCGTGGTGGATTACGGACAGCGGGATTCACAAGAACTCACAAGAACAGATGGATTCACATTTAATCGCTCAATAACGAGTTGTCTCTATAAAGACAGACACATAGACATATAAGCAGTAGATTGTGTCCTTCCAGAGGAGGAAATCTACTTCTAGACTTCTAGAATCAGCATCTCCTCATCCATGGTGTCATCGGGGTGAAATGACGTCTAAAAACCTTTCACTTGTTCAGAGTGTTTTATTTTGAAAAGAAGCCGGATGTTTTATTTTGTGTCTGTGCCCGACTTCCTTTCCAGCACGGGTTAATCTGTGCTGAATTTATCCGCCATGCTCCGGCGTCCAGAAAAAATAGAACTCTTGTGATCAGCTGAGGAGTCCGGTGATCCACAGAGGAACGGAGAGAAGTCGGTGTAAATTGACACGTTAACTTGAATGGTTACGATCAGCTACGATCGGAGGATACGACCTTTTTGGAAATTGGGGGGTCAAGCGCTCACAGACAGATGGACTGCTTTGATTCCACCATCTGAACTTCTACTACACTTAGATCTATGTCTGGTGTTTGTGCGTCTGTGTGCGATCTTTACAATCATCTCTGGATCGATCGACTCGAACAGATCTCATTAAAATCTAATAAAACTCCTCGAACCTCGCCGCTCCATCTCAGGTTTCAACGATAAACTTTGGTGGTTCTGCTCCATCGATCGATCCGGCGCCCGATCCTCAAACTGTGTATTGATTTCAGCTGAATATAAAGAGGAGGAGAGACTCGGCCGAGAGTACGGAGCGTTTCTCTGCTCCTCAGTCATAAATGAAGCATGTTCAGCTGCTCGCACATACAGGCGGTGAGAAGGTGCCAAGAGCCAGCATCCATCCATCTGCTGAGTTCAGCCATTTGCAGCACAGCCAAATTATTCAGCGACAGATAATGCTGCTCTGCACGCAGTAGAATCCAATTATATGCATTTGCTAATCTACTGTTCGGTGTAACGGGCTGGCAGCGAGGATCGTGTCTTTAAACGGCAGAAATGTGAACGCTCTGGAAACGTGTCGCAGCGAGGGAAAAGCTCGTCCTTGAAGGTTTGTTAAATCTGAAAGAAGAGGAAACAAACGTTTCCTCTGCTCAGTGAAACACGTTTATTGTCTTAAGGTGAGGCTTACAGAGCAGTCTGACGAGAACACGGGCTGATAGAGACATCAGGTTTGAGTGAAGGATAGAGAGAGACAGAGAGAGAGAGAGAGAGAGACAGAGAGAGAGAGAGAGAGAGAGAGAGAGAGACAGAGAGAGAGAGAGAGAAAGAGAGACAGAGAGAGAGACAGAGAGAGAGAGAGTCAGTCACCTACAAATGTGTTTGAGGCAGAAATCTCTAATCTGAGCAGGAGAGAGGTCTCCACTAACATCACCTTTCTCCGTCACCACCCTAACCCTGTTTATGTTTGTTAAAGCTGTTTTAGTCTTAAAGGGATATTCTGGTGTAAAATTAATTCAGGATCAAACTCACCGTAACCCCGAGTTAGACCCCCCCTCCAGAGATGAATGTTGTCGACCGCTTGCTTCTCTAGTTATACCAACTTTAGTAACGACCACAGGATAGTGATACACAGCGGTCTGAGGAGCCGCTTGAGACCGAGGAGCACCTACTCTCTTCCAGCAGCCGCTTGTTTGTAGAGAGACCTCAGACCAGTCCATTACAAACTAAAGCGGAGTGCCGCAGCTCAAGGAAGAACATTTATGATCATTTCTCAATCATTTCATCGAAGTCGCTGTTGTTGTTGTTTTCTTCCACTTATCTGGGTCTGGGTCGCGGGGGCAGCAGCTTCAGGAGAGAAGCCCAGACGGCCTTCACCCAGCCACTTCCAGCAGCTCCTCCAAGAGGATTCCAGGCGCTCCAAGGCCAGGTAAGACATACTGTATATATATATATAATCCCTCCACCTGGTCCTGGGTCGGCCACAAGGTCTCCTCCCGGTGGGACATGTCCGGAACACCTCTAACAGGAGGCGTCCAGAAGGCGTCCTGACCAGATGCCCGCACCACCTCAGCTGACTCCTCTGGACGTGGAGGAGCAGCGGTTCTCCTCTGAGCTCCTCCTGAGTGTTCGACTTCTTCTGTCTCAGCGTCTCGGTCTGATTGTATTTCCATGAAGAATTGATCATAAATGTTCTTCTTCGAGCTGCGGCACCCCGCTGTAGTCTGTAATGGACTGGCCTGAGGTCTCTCTACAAACAAGCGTCTGCTGGAAGAGAGTAGGTGAGTTGTGTTTAGTCTCTTTGCTAAAGAAATGAGTCAAAGTTAAAAAGATGAATCTCTGAAGGAGGGTCTAACTCGGTGTTACGGTGGGTTTGACCCTAAATTAATTTTACGCCAGAATATCCCTTTAATTGTTATTATCTGTTTGTCTAAACTATTAAATGTTGAAAAATCATGAGGACACAACCTTTAAAAAACCCTGAAATCTTCCTTTAAACTCTCAGCTGACTAAAAGTGCTCGGTCAGTAAATCTGCCGGTGAAGATGACACTCACACCTCCTCCTCTTCCTCCTGCAGTCTTAAATCTGACTCCTCTTCTCCTGGACCCTGCTGGCGTCACCAGAATAAAAACCTGTCCACGGTTTTAACGAGGAGGTTTAACCCTCATCACTGTCAGGAGTGATGGAGGCTAATAAGACGAGGATCTGACAGCTGAACGGCGGTAAGCACCGTCTCCATCGGCTGCTGATGTTTCAGGAGTCGTAAAATAACGACTCATCATCATCATCATCATCATCAGAATCCAGCCGACAATCTGGGAGGTATCACTTTGAAAAACATCCTCCTCCTCCTCCTCCTGCTCCTCCTCCTCCTCAGCTTTCTGCTGCCCTCAGCTGGAAATATTTATCACCGCTACATTTATTATTTACAAACCAGTTTATACACACTCCTGCATTATTTACTATACACTATCTGAATCAGCTCCAACCTGTTCCCGTGACAACACCTCACAATCGGAGGTATTCACACGCACTCGCCTCCTGACACTCCTCTATTATGAAGACGCTGACATACAGTGTGTCAAGTTAAGCGCCGCCGCCGCCGCCATCGCCGCTCTCTGCAGAGAACTGAGCGGAGAATAAAAGAGTGTGGAGTAAATCTGTTCGAGTTTCAGTCAGAGACACAGAGGAGGACAGGTGCTGACATGAGGGGGTCCTGGACTGGGACAGACAGGTCAAAGGTCAAATCAGAGCCTGTCTGACACACTTGAACACTTATGTGTCTCTGATATAACTGATGTTGTATTTTGACGGTCTCAGACTTCCCTGACTGATCTGTGTTCCCCTCTGTAACTTAGAGGTATCTGATCCAGGAACCTGGACCTGAACCTCCCTGTCATTAGTTCCTGACCCCTAAAACTGACCCCCAGTCTCCACCTTCATCCTGATCGTCTCCTAAAAGGTCGTATCCTCCGATCGTAGCTGATCGTAACCATTCAAGTTAACGTGTCGATTTCCACCGACTTCTTTCCGTTCCTCTGCGGATCGCCGGACTCCTCAGCTGATCACAAGAGTTCTATTTTTTCTGGACGCCGGAGCATGGCGGATAAATTCAGCACAGATTAACCCGTGCTGGAAAGGAAGTCGGGCACAGACACAAAATAAAACATCCGGCTTCTTTTCAAAATAAAACACTCCATCGGAGACGAACAAGTGAAAGGTTTTTAGACGTCATTTCACCCCGATGACACCATGGATGAGGAGATGCTGATTCTAGAAGTCTAGAAGTAGATTTCCTCCTCTGGAAGGACACAATCTACTGCTTATATGTCTATGTGTCTGTCTTTATAGAGACAACTCGTTATCGTGAGACTGAACGTGAATCTGCAGGTTCTTGTGAGTTCTCTCGGATTCCTGCTGTCCGTATTCTGGACATGGTGGACGGCTAAAATCGCCGCCGTTCCAGATGCAGTGGAAACTCTGTTACCTGCTGAATCCATCGAAGACCCGACGATGGAGTTGCCCCTCTGATCAGCTTATCGATTCTGTTTGTGTCTGGTTTATTCGAGCCCCCTCCCCCCAGGACTCCTCCCCCCCGTCCTCCCCTGATAAACTGCTGAGTCATCAGAGTTTCTGGAGAAAGATCTATAAAGTCGTATAAATGTGAACAGTGTGAACCTGTGGACCTCGAGGAGCAGGTGCACATACTGAGGTCTACAGGTGAGGTCTGTAAGCCCCTCCTGGTACCATCCTCACAGTCACACCTGTGGGGGTCTCCAGGTGTGCAGGTCTCTGTTTGGGGACCAGGCAGTGTTGGGATCTCTGCCCATTAGTGGGACCGGGGCCGCTGCAGGTACCAAGACCAGACCTGACCAACACGGTGTATTAATTACGCTCCCTCTGCTTGGCCTCATGCTCGGCCTCCTGTTCCCTGTTTAAATGAATACTCAGCATCTTTATTGATCTCTGCCTCTCTCTCTCTCTCCTTAAAAGGCCCACAGCCATCAGGAGAAATTTATGTCTCCATTACCGCCGTGTTATCCAGCCGTCAAAGGCCAGAAGATTAATGGAGAAAAGAGGGAAACCGAACACGCGCCACGAGAGTCACAACAGGCGGGGAAATGAATCAGGGCTCATATCTGTGTTCAGTGACACAAACATCGGCCTGGTGGGACGCTCATAAAACCAGACTCCCCCTCAGAGGTTAACCCTGTTAGGTCTCGAACCCGACGCCGCCCTCCGATCCAAACAATGCAGAACAAGACGACGGCGTTGAGAAATGACGCTCCGACTTCAGACAGAAGAAAAGTCTGATGGAAACGCTCTGATGGAGTATTTCACAGTCTCTGAACTCCGCGGGGAAATCTTCGTGAATGTCAGCGCAGAGAGCAGTACTCCGCCGTCAGGAGCTTCAATCACTTTACATTCACTTTTCATTTACTGCCGGTCCTGTGACAGAACGCCGGCGCCTGCAGCCAGGCGAAAAGACAGCAGACAGAAGACGGTTTAACTCGGAGAGAAAGAGCGAGGAGAAGGAGCGCCTGAAACTACAGACAGAGTTATCAATAGTCAATTACAGTTAAAGTCATTCATCAAAGAGAAAATTACGCCGTTAACATCGCAGCAGAGCGACCCCGGGGTCACATGACCTCATTAGCAGGATTCAGTGGATCTATAAGTCCTGCCTCACGTTTGTCTTCCCCTTAAAAACGAGACGATAATTAGACGCCGAGGAGAGGAACCCAAATTCATTTAACCAGTTCTACTCTGAGGTCCGACTCCTGACGAAAGAGCCAATCACAGCGCAGCGTTTCGAAATGGAGCAGCGAAGCCTGGAGGTTACAGAACGCCTAAACTGATGTCACTCCGGTTCAGACTAAAGCTGATGGGAGCTGAATCCAATCATAGAGAACCAGAACCTGAACCAGAACCAGAACCAGATCCAGATCCAGATTAGTTTGGAGAGCAGGATGGATGTTTGAGACCCTCTCTGAATAATCCTGATCTCAGTCCAGGAGCCAAAACACAGAAAAACTTTATCAAACAATTTATTTCTTCAAATCAAATAAAAACAAGAAAAAAAACTGAAGAGTTTCTGTTTTTATTTTCTCCTTTTGTTCAGATTCTCGTTAATTTAAACTCATTTTAAAACACAGACCGGTGACCAGCTGTGGTTTTATTTTTGTTTTCTTTTAAAAAATATATTTTTTTTTTGTTTCTTCCTTTTTTATTCTTCATATGTGAAATAACAGAAATCAAAATAAAACTTTTATTTTGTTATTTTTTAAGACTTTTGTTTTTCATTAAACTAAAAAGGAGGAAATGAAAAAAGCAGAGTCCACGTCTGTTTTCTTATTTTTGGTTAAAACTGGAAAAAGAAAAAACAAACATCATTTTCTGGTTTTTGATCATAAGTCTTTTCTCGTATGAAATTATTCCTTCACACCCTGATCGGTTCACCTCTCAGCATTTAGCTGTTAAACTTTCAAAACCAGAATTAGTTTTTTCTTTTCTGTTTTTCACTGATTCATCAGACCGAACAAGTCTGCTAAAAAAAAAACCTCCACCTGGAAATGTTCGAGCTTTTTTCACTTTCCTTTTCTTCCTGCCTTTTTGCTTCACATGTGCGTACATCTCTAATTTCATTCCGTCTTTTTGCCTCCAAGCTCCGGGCCGCCAAAATAAGAGTCCAACATGAGATATGAGGGAAAGCAGAGGCCTGTGTCGCCCCACCTGTGAGCTCCTATCTGAAATTAAAATCCTCTTCACTGAAATGTCACATTAGGTGTTCCCTCTTAGCGTGAGGAGGGCGGCGTCACCTGGGATTTAAAGCCTGCACTTAAGAGTCGGGGGAAATGTTAATTCATGCAGTAAAAATGGAGTTCAGCTCAGAGAGAGAGAAAAAAAAGAAAAACAGGAAAATTTTAAATGTTAAATGTTACGTGAAGAGCAAAAAGCCAAAGTCTCTTAAAGGAAAACATCCATATTTCAACGTCCAAACCCTCCTCAGCCCAGCGAACAGACTCGGCTGCTGCTGCTGCTGCGGTGGAGGAGATGATTAACTCCACCAGAGTGGCGTGTCTCTGCAGATGCATTTCGCTGACAAATGATCGTCATTCATCTAAATAGGATTTTACACTCTGATCACTTAGGAGATAAAAATGAGGAAGCTCCCCGCGGGGAAACTCAGCATGTCAGAACCATCAAGTCAGAGGTCTTTATTTTGATTGGCACACTATTAAAAATCTGAGTGTGTGTGTGTGTGTGTGTGTGTGCATGATGATAAGTGTGTGTTCAAAGTGAAGCCGTACTAAATAAACACAGAGGCAGGTAAAGGTGACTCAGGTGTGAATAGAAGTGAAATCCACTCCCTCTTTTCCTCCGTGTTTCCTCAGAAGAGCCTCCAGCCCGACTCAGACTCCTCTGACTGCCGCTCTCTCACCACAGTCCGACTGCAGAGTAACGGCTCCAATGACGGCGGTATTAATCTGGATAATCTACTTAACTCGCACTTAATATATCCTTTTTATTCGTGTCTGTTTATGCAAAAATACTGAGTAAGTACAGAGAGCTGCATCCAAAAGAGAGAGCCTGGAGGAGCAGCGAGGTCTCTGTGCGGCTCTCTCTGACAGGAGGAACAGCGTGGATACCGTCCTCTCTATCCCTGCAGGGCAAACTGGGACCAGACCCAGAACCCATCACTTCTCTGTTTCCTCTTTCTCGTCTTTCCCACTGTGTCAGTCTGGGACACCTACAGTGGAGCTTTGCATGATTTGCAGCTCAATTCTGGACCATGAGAAAACTTTATTTAACCTCTGCCTGAAAGACTTTACATCAGCTGATTTCTCAGGTTAGACACATCAGAGGGAGTTACTCTCTCCACAGCTCTGCCGTCACAAAATGACCCGAAATCATCGACTCTTGTTGTGTTACCCTCGTGGTTCTGAACCTCCATGACCGGTCTTTATGGGCAGATCAGTCTTAAAAGTCTAGTCTCCTGGGTCGGGGGTGTGTCCTGAATCTGATTGGACGGCAGAGTCTGACATCATGTTCAGGACAAATCTCACAAAGTTCTCAAAAGAGGCCGTTCAGAGGACATCCACATCTGTCTGTGTCTCATCTGGGTTTCCAACTATGCCCGGGACTTTAACACGTTAATTGTGATTAATTAATCACAGTAATATTATCTCGTTAAAAATATTAACACATATTAACCGCACCTACTGTATTTTTGCACCACAGAACGTTTCTCACTGGACCAGATGGGGGCTACACCAGAACGCTACGGGCTGTTCTGAACGTGGACCAGAACATCCACATGACCAACAAGGACCTGTACGGGGAACCGCCGAGGCTCAGCGAGAAGGTAGAGTCTAGGAGGAGGAGGTTGGTCGGCCGCTGCCAAAGATGCACCGTTCATGAGGACATTCAGCGCTTAAATATGTGGACGTCCTGAAGAGGATTGGAGACTACGATGGAAGCTCGTCTGAGGACGATGGAGAGAGTTTCAGGAATACCGCTTATACCGGCACACCCCAATGTGAGCGAGTGCAGCAGAGATTCCAGTCCCACCCAGCAGATGGAAAAATAAACGAAGACGCGGAAGAGTGAGCTCTGATTGGCTTCCGATGGATGGAAGCCTGGATAGAAGAATGGTCTTGTACAAACTTTGCAAAAAGGAATTTACATATCACCGCAGAACGTCAAGCTTTCGGTATCATCTGAATGCTAAACAGCTAGCATGGAAGCTAACGCTAGTCCGACTCCGAGTACAGCGACCCGCACCAAACCCACACTTGACCAGACGAGAGGATTCAGAGCTAAGATGAGTGAGTCCACTTCGGGAAAATTCACTTATATACCATTAAAAAAAAACGATCCTCACTGTTCTCAGGTCAAATATTTACATGAGATTAAAATGCGATTAATTGCGATTAATCACAAAGCCTCTGATTAATTAGATTAATTGTTTTAATGGAGTCCCAGCCCTGACTGTAACATTATATTTCAGTACTGATCAGCAGTGTAGATGGTCTTTATTGAAAACTGCACCAGCGTCTCCTCAGTTTGACTCGAACCCAGCGGTCTCACAGGTCCACTCCACGGTCTGCTCTACATCCAGCCGACATTTACCGAACGACAGCTGCTTCGTCACATTTGGGTCTTTCATGTATGAAAGTATAAGTGATGAAAAGTTCAAGGTAAATGTGAATTTCTGCCCCATTTCTAAAGGGATAAATCTTTAATCCGAGTACAAAGCAAACCGCCTCAGCTCCACAAATAAATAAATCAAACGCTGAAGTAGAAACTGCTGCCAGAGATGATTAAGATGACGCAAATAAGACTGAAGCACGAGTTTCAGGAGCTCCTACTTTACTTTAAAACTCTGAAACTTTCATCCAGAACTAAATTAAAAGGACAATGAGGAGATTTAGGAGACTGTACTTCCTGTACGACCCGCTCTGGACCAAAGTTAGCGCGGCGAACTCATCTGGAGGTCATGGTGACACACGGCGCCGTCTCACAGCGAGAGTTAAGAGCTCAGAGGAGGAGACTCTGGCCGAGGATCAGAATGAAGCTCTTTTATGGCGTGATGGTGCTTTAAAGCTGCTCATGATGGAGACAAATAGACTCATTTCACTCTGATAATCCTCCATAACTCACCTCCTAACCTCTGAGGACAGACCAGGCCAGATACTCAGACTACAGCAGACTCTGAGGGGTCTGCATGTGTGGGCGCGCACATCTGTGCTGATTAAGGATCTCTGATGCTGCGACTCTGAGCAAACTTCATTATTATTCAAGGCCATGCCTGGAAAAGGGGACGTGGTTTTTCTGTCTCTCTCAGCAGGACGCTGAGCGCCGGCTCGGTGTGTTTCTGCTTTAAATCTTTCAGACACCCTCAGAAAAGTTCAGACGCTCCTCGTTTAACAGTCGGCACGTTTTCAGAGGACATTTCAGACCTGAATTATGTCTCTATCTGTGTGAGCTGTGAGGCGGTGATGATAAAAATATAATTGTAGACGTTTAAATCAAAATTATCTCGGAGGTTTGAAGTCAAAGAGAGAAAGAGTGAAACGTCTGCAGAGACATATGGATAAAAACAGAGCCGTGTAATAAAACCATCAGATCTCCTCATGTGGGTTTTAATCCGATTTAAATATAATGACTGTGAGATTTATTATCAGGACTTTAGAGCAGAGAGAGAGTGATTAATGTTCTCAGTGATTAATGATCAGTGAAACAAGAAACCGTATTATCGAAGCACAGCAGGAGAAGTGACGCTACGACAGCAGAGATCTGCGCCTGAACAGGAGCGACGAAGGAAAACAGGAACCTGAGGGAGCGAGGAGCAGGTCTGAGACAGGAACTCAGACCAGAAGGGATCAAAACTGCAGTTCCTCCAGTGGCCACTAGAGGCAGGCTCCAAAAGCACATGAAGGATGGGTGCAGAGGGGGCCCCTGAAGCCTGCCAGAGACCCCTCTTTAAGGATTCGGTCGTGAAACAGCCCTGAAGTCTTACAGACTTCATGAGGGTTCGAGGGTGGACATCAGAATTAAAGCCACTGTAAGGAGCTTTTCACTGACTGCTACTCTGCTGCAACATCAGGGAAAGGACTCATGGGAAATGCAGTCTTCCTCTTACAATTGAATCAAGGTCACAAAATCGATCTCTCACCCCCTAATCTCCACCTTCATCCTGATCGTCTCCTAAAAGGTCGTATCCTCCGATCGTAGCTGATCGTTTCCATTCAAGTTAACGTGTCAATTTACACCGACTTCTTTCCGTTCCTCTGCGGATCGCCGGACTCCTCAGCTGATCACAGTCTGCCACGAAATTCATCTCACATACGGATCTGGTAGGAATTGGCGTATGACAAAAATCGGCGCCGTTCCAGATGCAGTGAAAATCCCGGGTTCGTCCTGAAACTTTCCTCACAAAGTTCCACGTGTCTGAAAAATCCCTCTTCCTGTCTTTCTGTGAATGAGTGAATTAAAGCGTGACGTCTTTATTCACTCTGTGACTCAGAGAGCTGAAGCTCAGACACAATCTGGACCAGAACCGACTCTGATTTCTGACAGTTATCGGGCAAACAGCAGAGGGGCCAACACAAATATTAGCTTCATCTCCAGGAAAATCACTGAGGTCCATGTTTTATTCATGATGGATGATGACTTACTCAAACTCATTACCAACCCAAACCTGTGTCGTCCTGGCACAGAGGACGGAGGAGAGGGAGATAAACGGAGGAGAGAAAGTGTTTAAAGTCTTAATGAAGTCAGACAGAGACGGGTTTGAATGTCAGGAGTCTGAAACTTCCAGGACCACTTTAAACCGGATCCTGGAGACGAGTCTACATACGTCTGTTCAACCTGAGTGAGTCTTTGTTCGCTGCGGAGGAGTCGACCACAAACCCTCATTAACTCCAGATGAGACCCAAACTTTGGAGATTTCTCGACATTTTTCAAAGTGAGGAATCCTGTGAACACGTCCAGGACGAGTTTAGAATTTAAGGTTAAAGAGGTTAAAATGTCAAATAAGACTCCAACTTCAGGAACTGAAACATCCTCCTGAAACTAAAGTCAGAAAAACAAAGAAAACCAGAGAGTTAAACAAACTCTAACTGATCCGTTTAGTCACATTTAAGCTGCAGGAGCTTCGGTTTGATCATAACTCAGGTATGCTACACCAAGTTTGACCTGAGAGCCCACCTGTCCGTCCACATGAGTGTGTGAGAGTCAAAAACCTGAATCAGAGCAAACAACCGTCTGTTTTATGTGACGAGTCGAGGCAGAGAGACGCCTCAGATTAGAGCAGGCATCCAGATATGACGCTGGATGAATGGATGAATGGATGAACCAGCCTCATCTTCAGCAGCTGACTGAGGCTGCAGCTCTCTGATCCTTTCTGAGGAGGGGGTGTTCAAGATTAAAACAGATTTATTATTTCACCTCAGACCGAAAATAAACAGAGAGACTTATTATCGGAGGAACAACAGATCCTCTTCTCAAGGAGACGATGTTTTCTGCTTTTACCGTCAGCGGCCTGATCCTCCAGAAAGTCGGACATTAATGATTCTTTGTGTTGTTGCACAGAAGAATTCATCCACCGTAAATATTCCTCCTGAGGGCGGCAGAAACACGCCTCTCTCTGAGTGGGCGTTCAGGAAGAAAGCACGCTCGGTGATTACAGGGCAGAGGGCTCGAAATAAACCTCACTCACGCCGTCCTGTCAAAAAGGTGTGTGTGACCTGTAATCAGTCATTTCTGCGGGCTGCAGCGACAACAACAAACACCTTCATCCTCACCTTCACCATCATCATCATCATCATCATCATCACGCAGCTTCAGAAAAGAAGAAAGAAGACCGAGACGTTTCATTTTTACCGACAGCAAAAACAGGACGGAGAGGTTCTCCAACAGCCACGACCATCAGGGTTCGAGCGAACGTCCTCCTCCTCCACCTCTCCGTTTGGTGTTTATGACCTCGCTGCCAAAAGCTTTGACTTCAGAGCAGATTTATCACGAATTAATGGTTCTTTATGGGAACATCAGTCTGCAGAAATATGGAGGCTGAGACAGGAGAGTCTGGATCTGATTCAGATACTGAATACTGTGATACCTGCTAAAAAGAGGGAATAACTTCAACACAAGAGCAGCTGATCCAGAGCAGAGCGACACACACGGTTTTAGGGTTTTCAATAAGACCTCCGTGACCTCCTTCTCTCCTCCAAAACAAACAAATCACTTCTGTTCCCGTCACTCAAAAGTTCCTCCCAACTCAATCACAGAACCAGGAGGAGGAAAAGAACTCTGATGGAGTTATCTCTGCTGGGACACAAACACCAGGGGGCGCTACAAGAATAACTGAGAGTAACTTCAGCGTTCAGGTGTAAACTCTGAGGACAGATTATCGGTGGAAACGCAGATCCAGACACTTTCAGAGAAGACGACATAATCGTCTCCAGGAGCGTCTGGCAGAGGAAGAAGTTCAGTTTCAGGACTTAATAAATCTGTGGAGATGTGAAGGAAACAGCATGATGGGACTCTGAGAAAGACCAAACTTCTTAAACTTCATCATGTTTACTTTCTGGTATCTGAATTTTATGTTTGTTGATTCAAACTTTTTATAGGCGTTAAATATGTCGTATGTTGACCTGATGCTAGAGCCGTAGTGTTATAACACGACACCACCAGGATGTAAATAAACACAGACAGGAAAAAAGATGTTAAATTTCCACAAAAACACTCAACCAGAGCAGCGTGTTACCAGCACAGGTCTGTGGACTGATGACTGGAGGTGCTCGCTCTGACAGGGTTAGTGACGCTCAGAAAACAGATTTCACATCGTTTGTTTACAGACTCTGTGATCTCGTTTAGTCAGAAAGCAGCTTCCCTTCCTGCTGCAGTGACGGTAATATAATAATAATATAATAATATAATATGATAATAATATAATAATATAATATAATAATATAATATAATAATAATATAATAATATAATAATAATATAATATGATAATATAATAATAATATAATATAATAATAATATAATAATATAATATGATAATAATATAATAATATAATATAATAATAATATAATAATATAATATAATAATAATATAATAATATAATATAATAATATAATAATATAATATAATAATAATAATATAATATGATAATAATATAATAATATAATATAATAATAATATAATAATATAATATAATAATAATATAATAATATAATATGATAATAATATAATAATATAATATAATAATAATATAATAATATAATATAATAATAATATAATAATATAATATAATAATATAATATAATAATATAATAATATAATATAATAATAATAATATAATATGATAATAATATAATAATATAATATAATAATAATATAATAATATAATATAATAATAATATAATAATATAATATAATAATAATAATAATATAATGTCAGCTGAGATACCGTCACTCCTGCAGGAGCTCCTCCATGATGGATTCATCAAACTTCAGTTCGACCTCGAGGAACAGATCTCTGCAGAACCTACAGCTGAGATCTTCACCTGCCGACTACAAACCCAACACATGCAGACTGTCCAGCAGACCGCAGAGAGAGCTCTCTCCTTCAGCTTTAGTCAGACTACAGTCCTCGCCGTGATGACAGACCTTTTTTAAACCCTCTTCCCTCCCGCTCTTCGTCTTCCTCACGAGCTCAGACATAAACTCATCATCCAAGTTTCAAACCCATCAGTCAGTAATGAAGAAGACTCAGCTGAGAGAGAACCGGCGGCTCCAGTGAGCCTCACAAATCTGCAGAAACACAGAACCAGAACCAAGCAGATTTTAAAGCTCATTTTTCCAACGATCACACCAGAAAAAAACACGAGTGGCGCTCCTCTGCGTGACGCCAAAGGTCCGACAAACTCAGAGCGAGCGGTTAAATACAGAAACGTCGAGTTTGAGCCAGCTTTAATATTTCAGGAGGTGTAAACATTTGGTAAACTCCAAATTTCATAAATAAGTTATGAGCTTCAATTTGCATTTCATGAGGAAAACATAATCCTGTATTCAAGATATGATTCTTTAAAGAGCAGGCGGCTCAGGCCAGGTGGTGTTCGCTCCGTCACAGAGAGTTCACCTGCACCTGGATAATACCACAGACTGTATTTACTTATATACACTTTATATACAGTTTAGGGAGAAGAGAGTCAGAGGAGGAGCTGCACAGACGTCAGTCACAGTCCTGTCAGATTCAAGGATCAGGCTGAGATGAAGCTCATACTGAAAAATACAGATTTAACTTTCACACTGAACGTCTTTAGATGAACAGGAATAAACTCAGACGTGGACTAAAGTGTTTTTAACACTAAATGTGATTTTATAGTTAAACTGACGGTACTTTCAGAGTTCTTATTGCTCCACTGTGCAGCTCCATGACTTTTAATCTAATCCCTCAGTTTACTGGGACTTTTTAGACGTATCAGGGTGTCGAATCATCCTTTTCGTTCTGTTCAATGTTACAGTTTCCATCAAGACAGTCCGGCTGCAGACCTCAACTGTCAGGACCCTTTGTTGAAGACCTTTATTGTGAGGACCCCCCTCCACTAAGTGGACCAGAAGTTGATTTAAAGCCTTTCACATTAAAAGCGAATATACTGGGAGAACTTTTCTTAATTAGATCCTTCAAAATAAAAGCGATTAGACTGGGAAGTACCTATTTTTTGTCTTCTATGAATGTATTCAATTTTGGGGGATTTATTTTATGTATATGATGTTAATATGACAATTTTGTGTTTTCATGTGTTCAACAAAGAGAAAATTCAAAAACAGGATGACCTTCAAACAAACGAGTGTATGGAAAAAATGTCACCTTGGGTCCTCTCAGAGGAGGTCTGCAGCCAGACCCCTAATAATACCTCCTGAACTACGTTACCCACAGTGCACTTCACTCCTACACATGCACTTCACAGTGAATCTATGAAACAGTGTCTAAAATGTGACTTTGAGCTCAAACTAAAGAGGTTTAGGATGAAGTTTTAGTTAAATAAAAACATTTCCTTCTCCGACAGTCAAACACAAAAACCATCTCATCAGAAACTCTATTTCCCTTCTTTCTTTTACACTCGCAGCTTCAATTTGCACCCTCACTGATATTCTTAATAGATTTTATAAAGCAGACCATTCAAAGTGTGTGCCTGAGGAGTTTCTGCAGCCAGAGCTGCTCCTTCATGACTTTAGGGAGGACCAGAGAGGAGGAGAGATATGAGAGGGAGAGAATATCAAAATGAAAGAAGCTCGACAAGACAAAAACTCACCTCCGGCCTGAACATTTCTCAGCAGACGACAGCAGACACGGTTTCAGACTGATAACAAATGTGCAGCCAGCTTTGATTTATTTCACATCTTTACTGCTTTTAAGAAAAAAAGTCCAGGTCTGACAGGGAGGCTCTGTTCAGCACATCAAAACTTGATCAGGAACAATGGGGATTTTAGGCTCTGGGATTCACTTTCAATTTGTCCGGGAACTTCAATGACTCCATATCAAACTCATTTTTCATGTCTCAGGGAGAACCGCTGGACAGGAAGATCTGTAGAAATAGAACTATTATAATCCAGCAGCATGGATTGGAGTGAACAGCTACTGAGGAGCATTACAAGGTCAGCGTGATGATTAATGAGAGTCCAGACTGTTACAGACAAGTCAGGATCCAAGTGTACATTTCAGAGGAGAAACCTGCTGAAGTCGGACGCCGAGGATCCGTTTTCACGGACGTGTTTCTGCGATGTTTCCTTCAGCCGCATATAAATCAGTTTATGAATCAATAAACTCGACATTAAATCAGGATTTAGTGGAAGCTGGTTAATGAGCAGGAGGGATCTCACCTCACTTTTTACTATCACTTTTATATTATCCCTTAAAGGTACAATAGGTAATGTTTCGCAGAACAATAAAGAATGGAGCCAAATATTTCTGTGTGTGTAAAGTTTAATCACCCTGAATAGAAGAATTATATTGTTTTGTTGATGTAGAATAACCGTGTTATATCGACAAGAGGAGCAGGTCACCTAAAATGAAGGCCGACATCTCGCTCCACCCTGTTTCTACTGTAGCAGAGGAGGGACAAACTAGTGACGTTTGCATTTTATAGTGACTGGTTGCACAAATTGTAAAATGAGAATTGATTAAAGAAGAGAAAAGTTGTTGTACACAAAATGATTAGTACGGTTTAAACTTCACAGGAGCTTCTTGTCCTCATGGGGCCACCGTCTCTTCAACAACAGGAGGGGGGAGCTTTTCAATCTGATATCAATACATTTTTCTGTTTCTGCATCCTGGACCTTTAAAGGGATATTCTGGTGTAAAATTAATTTAGGGTTAAACACACCGTAACACCGAGTTAGACCCCCCCTCCAGAGATGAATGTTGCTTCTCTAGTTATACCAACTTTAGTAACGACCGCAGGATAGCAATACAGAGAGCCACGCCCCCAACCAAAACGCCACTCTATAGCCACAAATAATGCTCAGAACAGCACCTAACTTCATCAACAGGACATATAGGGTCACAGACATAGTACTAGACACCAAACATCTTTTTAACTTTGACTCATTTCTTTAACAAACAGACTAAACACAACTGTGGCGTTTTGGTTGAGGGCGTGGCTCTCTGTATTTCTATCCTGCGGTTGTTACTAAAGTTGGTATAACTAGAGAAGCAACGTTCATCTCTGGAGGGGGTGTCTAACTCTGTGTTTGACACTAACTTAATTTTATGCCAGAATAACCCTTTAATTGACCCGTAGAGTAATTAGTTTAGAAGAGTTTGTGAATCAGAGGCTTTTATCGGCTGTTTTTGGAGCGTATAGTTGTTGTATTTCCCGGCTGTAGGAGGAGGTTTCTCAGGGGTAAACGGTTTTACTGCTCATTAAAGCTCCAGGAATATTGATGTTCACTACTTTGTGTTTATTATTATGGAAAAACACTCGATGAACCGGTGGCATCAGTACACTGGAGTGAAAAACAATCAAGGGACTCTCCGTATTGATTTTGGAACAAAACGTTTCGGTTTAAAGTTGTTCTCGTTTTGGACCAAATCCCATTTCATTTGGACTGCATGGAAGGAAAAACAAAGAAAACATTTAAAGGTACTTTAGGTGAGAGTATAAGAGTGTCTCATGAGTTTTACATGAGAAATGAAGGAATGGCCGATCTTTAATCTCGGGTCTCATCTCTTCAGATTTCCTCTTTCTCATTCTGCTCAGATCCGTTCGGGTCTCCATCATCAGCAGAGCGCGCGAACCGCAGAGAGAGATCATCATAATAGTCTGTTTAATAACCTCTTTAATATTTCGGGTCTTTCTCCTCTAATTAAGCTGCTAATAGCAACACTGAGGAAAATAAAATGTTTGCAGTTGTGCAGTTGATAATATTCCAGACGGGATAATTAGACACATTAACAAAGTGTTAATGAGCAGATAGGAGTGAGTAGGAAGGTGAGCGAGTGACAGCGGGTGAATCATCCTCCCATCGCTCCAGTTGGTGAGGATGTGACACTCTGAGCCTGACATTAGTCCCCGGAGGACATCTCTCAGTTAGACAGAGACTCAACTGGCTTTGTGGTCCAACAAGACCCAAACCAGAACACAGAACAGGGACCGGTCCGCCTGTGTGTGAGTCCTGATCGAGCTCAGCCCAGAAAACACAAATACAATAAAGCCAGATGGAGGGAAATCTACTGAGTGAAACAGTCAAACACTTCCATCACTGTGGGCTTTAACCGCCTCGTCTGCTCATCGTGATTCATGTTGGAGAGAAAGAGCAGAGATTGCAGTAAGAGGTGTGATCACTGAGGAGCTCAGGAGGTTTATTTGGGGGTTTATTAAGCAGCTTGAAAATATTTAGACTCTTTCTTTAGAAACCGCTAAGCTGTCTGAGACCGAGACGTGAGGATCTGAACCTGATTTAGTTCTTCTTTGAACCTCATAATAACTCGACGATGTGCTGAGTCATCCTTTAGGAGGATTTTAGTCTTCTCTGACAGATCATTAAAACGAGACATGTTGAATGAATGTAATCGCAGACTGAACGAGTTCTTTAAACTTGATGTAGAAATTTACTGCAGTTATTAAAGTCAGCGCTAAAGTTTGACATTGAAGAAAAAATCCCTGAAAAACACAGAAACCGACTTTGAATGTTTTATCACGACAAAACGGAGCGAGAACTGAGTTTTCCTCCTCCCTCAGTCATCACTGCTGTAGTTTTTAGACAGAGCGAGAGCCGGAGCGAGCCGTCAGCATGTTTTTGCTAACGTTGTTCAGTCGTGTTTCTAGTCGCTCTGAGTGACAAAATAAGAGTCTGGTGTTCGCTCACTTCTTAAAAATTTGCAATATGGAGAAGACCCCTGAGCTCCCCCTGATGACCGGCTGCAGAATATGTCAGTAATAAGGACCGCCTTCTCCATGTTAACAGGTGGGACATGAGTCAAAATCAGAAATCAAAGAAGAGATCGAAGAAATTACTCGATAAGAGGAAACGTAACCAATATATTATATATATATATATATATATATATATATATATATATATATATATATATATAATATATTCTATAACTGACCGTCTGTTACGCTGTGGGATCTTCGCCGTTTTAGAACAAACCTGATTCTGTTTGTTTTTCTGCGTATTTCAGATTTATCGAGTCTGTTTCTAAATCTCCATGATGAGGACACGGCGAGCCTGCAGCGTGGTCGATGGTTTATTCAGTGTTTGCCGAGCTGTTGGGTGGGCTTTTTAGCAGACAGTGTTATCCACCCTCATGTATACTCGCACCGCTAAAACCGTTTCTATTCTTCTGTAGTCCCACAGTAATCTCACTGAACACTGCTGTTATAAAAGCAGACGTTTGCACCTTTAGGTTTCAGAGTCAAAAGGAAGTCTGTGTTTCTTCACTCCAACATTTAAAAGTAAGACGACGACAACAACAACAACAACAACAACGACACGGTAAATACAAGGAGAGATGCTGAGTCACACTTTCTACAGCCTGTTCTGAAATAAACGGCGTAAAAACTGTCCAAATACCTCCGACATGAACCTTCTGTGAGGCAGATGGAGGAGGAATCAGGATAAATCAGGGGTTAGGTACATGTTCTCCTGTGAATACGCTCTGCACACCAGATGAGGTGTTCAGTGATTCAAGCTGTGAGGCATGAATTCATCAAACAGGAAGTGTGGGTTACTCAGCGTAGGACTAACAAACCTCAACCTACAACCACCAATCTGAGGGGAGAAGGAGCTTTTCCAGCCCTGAAGCTTCGCTCCACACACCGAGGTCACTGCAGCAGCCAATCGGAGCTGGCGTCGGGTTCGCTCAGACCTCCACAGACTGACGAAAACCACGAGCTCCTGACCCACAGAGAGAGTTCGGGTCAGCCCGGGATTACATCAAGAGGACGGCTGGCCAAGTGTTACTATCACAGCCAAATGTCCCATTCTTCCCCTCGCACCTGCTCCATCCATCATCGGTCCATGTTCTCTCACTCCTTCGATCGTCCGCACATTCATCACTCACAGTCACAAACACTCAGAGTCACTCCAGTTCACTCCCGCGCTGACGTCTTCTCATGCTTCTCTCTGTCACTGAGTCTCTGCAGGTCCTCCAAGCCCTTCAGGCTGTCCAAAGACACATCTGTCAGAGTCCCATATTACCATCATCAATCACAATATCACTCTGTGCTGTTTATTAATCTGTTCTGTTGCCCTTCAAAACCGCTCAGACGCAGAGCTAGGGTTGGAGAGAGACCACTTTCATGTTTTCTCTAAATACTCCAAACCTAAAAACGCAGAATTCAAAGTTTTCCTTATAAACTCTGAATTGGCAGAACGAAACCCTAACGTCACTTTAGAGGACACTCGATATGGAAATAAAAGTAACTCTGTTTGTCAGTGAAGCCTGAAAGTCGTTTTCTCAGGACTGTGGAGGGTTCGCAGTCAAACATGGTGGAATAATGACTTTCAAACTTTGTTCTTCTCCTTTATTTTTAGAAGAGAAGGTGAGAGAGCTGGAGTGACATGCAGGAAAGGGGCAGAGGGTTGGTATCCATCTCATACCATTTGCATGAGGACAGCCATGGTTGAGCATCTTAATCTTCTATGGAGCACAAGCTTGGACTGCAAAGTCAGCAGTGTCCCAGATGAAGTAACTTTAGAGTAAGACTATCACAGATTCTGGCTAACGTTTGTCTTTATGGTATTATTTCCATTTTTAAAGCTTCCACATCATAAAAACACGAGTTTTCTTCCCTTTATATAAACCCTGGAGTCACCCTCCAGCCGAGAAGCCCTGAGAACGTGGAGAACATAAGCTCCTCTAATGTTTCTGTGGTCCATCTACTGAGAAGACACGGGTTTGAGTTTGTTCCTGTGGTGATGTCACGACAGGAGTTCGACATGCGAAACCACAGACTCTCCCAGATGACACAGTCACTGCAACATCTCAACAACGTGGAGTCTGCAGGTGCAGGTTCTCCTGGGGCGCTCACCATGATTGGCTTCGTGTTTTTCTGTCTCTGCAGTCTCACCATCGTATCTCTGTCCAATCAGATCACAGCATGAATAATAAGGTTAGAAACTGAGAGGCTGCAGAAGCTGAATGTAAGATTCGGTGAGAGTGTTATAAACTGATGAAAATATCATTATTTGGGCCTTTTATGATCAAGAGACAATGACGTTTCGTTTCTGTGAGGATCCCAGACAACCAAGACCGAGCTCTACCCTTGTCTTTGTTTCTTAAGGTGGACATGATCTTAATGATGCTGTTAAACTAAAACCCTGAGACTTTAGAACGTAAAAATGTCTGTTTCCATCTGACGTTTCAATCATAGCTCATTGGTCAGCGCGTCGACCCTGAGGAGCTCTGAAGGAAGATCATTCAACCGTTTTTTATGGCCTTATACTCATAAATCTCCCCTTTGCCTCTTTTTGTTGTATTTCCTGGTATTTTATTGTTTTTTAAACCATTTCTGCTCGCTCATACCTCACCTTATAACTTCTTTTAGTAGCTGGTTAAAGGTTTTATAAAACACAGCTGCTCTCTGTGTTGTTGAACCAGGTAAATCCAAAAGCTCGGCACTCTTACCTTGTCTGAACTGGCCCACACTTTCAGCTTTTTAAGGACAAATGTAAAATTTTTCATCCTCTCCTAGTTTGATTTATGTCCAGCTCCACTGACAGCGATCAGACCTGAGCTGACGGATGTCTCTTTGAGTAAACGGTCCGTCTGGTGCCAACAAAAGACCACATCTTTATGAAACGGCTCAAACTCTGACGCTGACGCACGAACGTCACCTTAACGGTGTGTTTCTTGTTCTCCTCTGAAGTGACGATTTTCCAGTCAGACGTGCAGCATCGACCTCTTTATGCTCGGTTCACTTCAGAGCTTATGACTCAGCAAAGTCAGTTTGAGGGAACGAAGTTTTACCTGCCAGAAGATGGTATCTATTGTGCTGCCAAGGAATCCCTCTCTGGTTTCAGACGACAGCAGTTTGGGCCCCAGGATCGTCATGAACTCGTTGAAATCGACCTGTCCGTCACCTGAAACCGTGCAAAAAGACAAAGGAGTGAAATGGGATTATTCAGGCACTTGTATCGTTTGTAACAGCAGCGTCTCGCTGATTATCTCTGAAATGGTTTTCTTCTGTGAGCGGCTGCGAACACAAAGACCCCTCTGTCTCATTTTTGTTTGTCTGGATCTGAGCCTGGGTCGGGCACAGAGGAAATGATCAGTGTGAGCGAGAATGACAATGATGCTTTTGGTGTCTGCAGCTCCAGCTAACAGCCTGCAGCTTAATGTGTGTGACTGCATCAGAGAGGAGAGGAGAGGAGAGGAGAGGAGAGGAGAGGAGAGGAGAGGAGAGGAGAGGAGAGGAGAGGAGAGGAGAGGAGAGGAGAGGAGAGGAGAGGGGAGGGGAGGAGAGGAGAGGAGAGGAGACTAGACGGGAGAGGAGAGGAGAGGAGAGGAGAGGAGAGGAGAGGAGAGGAGACGAGAGGAGAGGAGACGAGAGGAGAGGAGAGGAGAGGAGAGGAGAGGAGAGGAGAGGAGAGGAGAGGAGACGAGAGGAGAGGAGAGGAGAGGAGAGGAGACGAGAGGGGAGGAGAGGAGAGGAGAGGAGAGGAGAGGAGAGGAGAGTAGAGGAGACGAGAGACGAGAGAAGAGAAGAGGAGAGGAGAGGAGACGAGAGGAGAGGAGAGGAGGGGAGAGGAGGGGAGAGGAGGGGAGGGGAGAGGAGAGGAGAGGAGAGGAGAGGGGAGGAGACGAGAGGAGAGGAGAGGAGAGGAGAGGAGAGGGAGAGGAGAGGAGAGGAGAGGAGAGGAGAGGGGAGGAGAGGAGAGGAGAGGAGACGAGAGGAGAGGAGAGGAGAGGAGAGGAGAGGAGAGGAGAGGAGAGGAGAGGAGAGGAGACGAGAGGAGAGGAGAGGAGAGGAGAGGAGAGGAGAGGAGAGGAGAGGAGAGGAGAGAGAGGAGAGAGAGGAGAGGAGAGGAGAGGAGAGGGAGAGGAGAGGAGAGGAGAGAGAGAGGAGAGGGAGAGGAGGAGAGGAGAGGAGAGGAGAGGAGAGGGGAGGGAGAGGAGAGGAGAGGAGAGGAGAGGAGAGGAGAGGAGAGAGAGGAGAGAGAGAGGAGAGGAGAGAGACGAGAGAGAGGAGAGGAGAGGAGAGCGAGAGAGAGAAGAGAGAGGAGAGGAGAGGAGACGAGAGGAGAGGAGAGGAGAGAGAGGAGAGAGAGGAGAGAGGGGAGGAGAGAGAGGAGAGGAGAGGAGAGGAGAGGAGAGGAGACGAGAGGAGAGGAGAGGAGAGGAGAGGAGAGAGGAGACGAGAGAGAGGAGAGGAGAGAGAGAGAGGAGAGAGACGAGAGGAGAGGAGAGGAGAGGAGAGAGAGGAGAGGAGAGAGGAGAGGAGAGGAGAGGAGAGAGAGGAGAGGAGAGGAGAGAGAGAGGAGAGGAGAGGAGGAGAGGAGAGGAGAGGAGAGGAGAGGAGAGGAGAGGAGAGGAGAGGAGAGGGAGAGGAGAGGAGAGGGAGAGGAGAGAGAGAGAGGAGAGAAGAGAGAGAGAGGAGAGAGACGAGCGAGAGGAGAGGAGAGGAGAGGAGGGGAGAGGAGAGGAGAGGAGAGGAGAGGAGAGGAGAGGAGGGGAGAGGAGAGGAGAGGAGGGGAGACGAGAGGAGACGAGAGGAGACAAGAGGAGACGAGAGGAGAGGAGAGGAGGGGAGAGGAGAGGAGAGGAGAGGAGGGGAGACGAGAGGAGACGAGAGGAGAGGAGAGGAGAGGAGAGGAGAGGAGACGACAGGGGAGGAGACGAGAGGAGAGGAGACGAGAGGAGAGGAGAGGAGACGAGACGAGACGAGAGGAGAGGAGAGGAGAGGAGAGGAGAGGAGGGGAGAGGAGAGGAGAGGAGAGGAGACGAGAGGAGACGAGAGGAGAGGAGAGGAGAGGAGAGGAGGGGAGAGGAGAGGAGAGGAGGAGAGACGAGAGGAGACGAGAGGAGACGAGAGGAGAGGAGACGAGAGGAGACGAGAGGAGACGAGAGGAGGGGAGAGGGGAGGAGAGGAGAGGAGAGGAGAGGAGAGGAGACAACAGGGGAGGAGACGAGAGGAGAGGAGAGGAGAGGAGAGGAGGGGAGGGGAGAGGAGAGGAGAGGAGACGAGAGGAGAGGAGAGGAGAGGAGAGGAGAGGAGAGGAGAGGAGAGGAGAGGGGGACAGAACAATGAACTTTTCAGGATTAAACAGGTGGACAACACAGACAGGATCGAAGCCGGGGGGGTTGGAAAGGTTTCTCCGATTTTCTCTGTGGGTTATTAGACCTGCTGTTTGGGCTGAAAGGGAAATGCGGATGCTGTTTATGTCTTTGTTGTTCTGGTGAAATACCAGCATGCTTCACACCCACACCCTTCAGTTTACTACAGACACAAGAGATAGTTGAAACAATGAGCTCTGACAGGCTCTATAATCCGGAATATGAAGCAGATCAGAGTTTACAGCAGCTGAGTGACTCACAACATGGACTTCCTGCTGCTGGAGTCCAACACTCCTGATCCCAGAGCCTGCTGATCGTTGTTGAAGCTGCTGCCAGAACAAATCATCCAAACTCTGCAGAGCGGGGCCGTTCACTGAATCTTCTCTTCTGGGGATGGAAGTTTTCTGAAGCCTCATGAGATCTCCTGGTCTCCCCTGCAGAGTCGGTCTGGTTTTAGAGACTCTGAGTCTGGATGAATCAAACCGGCTCCGACCGCTCGTGCTGTTCGTTAAAGAATGAGGCAATTGTGAAAATGAAATGAGTAAAAACACGTTTGAATTCGGCGATGCAGGACCACACAAGCTGCCTCATCGCTCACGGCCCCTCTCTGCTGCCGCTGTAACGGTTCATACCTCCGACAGCACCGGTGTCCATGCATATTCAGCAGGGCAGAGGCATTGCTCCAGGACAGATGGAGCTCCATTGAGATCAGAGGATGCCAGGACAGCTGGACGGACGGTTGGTGGGGGAGATGAAGGTGGTTGGTGCTAACAGGTCCGAGGTAAAACAGCATGAGGGACAGTTTAAGCCCTGAGAACAGGCGAGTAAAGCGAGTGAGTTATTTAAAGCTCAACCAAGGGCGTGCACGTGCCGATCGTGGTGGAAAAGAGGTAATTTTCTGCATGGTTCAGTCCAGATTTCCTCATCAGCTCTGATTCCAGCAGCAGGCAGCAGTTTGGAGTAAAGACCTCCTGAAAAAACAACCCTGAATATAACCCACTTAACACCACATGGACACGGTGAGAGACAGGTGTGTGGATCTGAGACTTCTGTGAGGGTTCAGAGAGACGGAGCAGAGCTGGACAGAAATCCTGCTTCTGTGGTCGACAGTAGATAACTGGATTTGAAGACTCTTTGGATACCTCAGGCCTGCTGTGCTGAGTTCATCTCTGAGGATGAAAACTAGAACTGAGCTACATTGATTATGTTCAATTATGGGGCTTTTATTTTGAAAGGCAACATATCCTGACTAGTTTCCCCCTCGTTTTGGTCTTTTGAGTGTTTTTTCATTGTGATTTTTCCTCGTGTTTCTGTTCCACTTTAGTCCTGTCTTGTTAGTTTCCTCTTGTTCTCAGTGTTTTATCCTCTATTGTCAGTTTTTAGTGTTTCCTGTTTTATTTTGTTGAAGTTTATTCCCTGTGTTTCTCGTCTTGTTTTACTTCCTCAGTTTTCCCTCCTCTGTGATTGTCCTCACCTGTGTCTCAGTGTCTCTCGTTGCTCGTTTCCTTGTGTATTTAAAGTCCTCGTCTTCCCCTGTTTCTTTGTTGGTTCATTGAATGTGTGTGTTTGTTGTCTCCAGTGTCTCCCTGTGGTTTCTCGGTTCGTTGGATTTGCGTTTCTTGGATTGTTGAGTTGGACATTTAAAGTAAGTTTTTTGTTGTCCTGCCTTTCAGGTCCTTTTTCTGTTACCAACCTCTCACCGTGACACAAAAACGTCATGTGATGCAGTAACAATCCTCTTATTTTTGTCCCCAACAAGTTTGTTTTCCTGATCAAACTACTAAAAGAGGATTTTTTTCTTCATCGACTGTTTTTTGTTCAAGTTTTCCATCACAGACTCATTCGGGTCATCTAACCCACACGACGAGTTTCATAAATCACCGTAAAAATGAAAATCCGTTGATGGAACCGTCTCTCCCTCTCTGTTTTTGTTGTCCCCGTCTCTACAGCGTGTCTTTTTATAGCTTCACCTTAAAAACCCTGCTCGCTTCTTTAACTCCTCCCAGTTGCATGCCGGCTCTGATGCTGATGTATCTGCAGATTGTGACAGCTCAACTTTCTGCACCGAGTCAGCGCGTCACTTTGTGTCTGTCAGAGTCCACGCCACCTGTGCCTCGCCGGTCTCTTCCTGTGTTATGTCACAGCAAGCCTCCCGTCTCGAAACAGAAACATGAATTATTAAAGGCGGATGAGAAATCCTGCTGCCTATAGTAAAAAAAACAAAGACAGCAGGAAACGTCTCTGTGGGAGTTTCTGTTCATGTAAAGATCTGAACTTAAAGATCTGAACAGGAAGTTAAAGTCGGTTAGAAAAAAGATCAAGGACATAAAGAAAGGAGGGATCAAGGACATAAAGAAAGGAGGGATCAAGGACGTTATAGAATGTAGGGATCAAAGACGCAAAAGAATGGAAGGATCAAGGACATAAAGAATGGAAGGATCAAGGACAAAGATCAAAGGAGGATCAAGGACATAAAGGAGGCATTCTTTATGTCCTTGATCTCTCTTTGATCTTTGACTTTGATTCCGTTGAGAGAGCGGTGCAGTTCTGTGATCTGGAATAAAGAGGTGCAGTCACACCTCCTTAGGAGGGACATTCAGAGCTCAATGACAGTCTCAAGGATTGGCAGACATAGATACATAAAAGAAAGGCTAGATGACTCGAGGTGGGGTCACTGGCGTCCCTACACGTCAGCCATCTTACTCCAGTATACCATTCTGATTCTCTCTATGGTAGCTGAGGAGGTTAGTAATCTACATGATCAAAAATCCTCTTAACTCGCTGAAATCTTGACAGATTTATAAATGGTTTAGTTTCTTACAGACCTTAAAAACGTGGCTGTGAGTTGTGATTCTTGGACATATTAAAACGGCAGATTTACTTTGAGGAAATAAAAAGACTTCATTGCGCGGCACAGATGTTTAATAGCTATTTGCGCGCAGGGGCTAACTTTGAGTCGCTTTGGGCGAGTTGTCAAGGCAGAGACCACAATCGAGATTTTAATTTCTTGTATGACAGCCTGTTTATTTATTGGTTTATTTATTTAGTCTAAGTGACGGTCTTTGTGGATGTTCTATTGTTTATCTTCTGTCTATCTTGAGAGATAAATGTATGCTATTGCTATATGTTATCGTTATTCCTATAATTAAAGTATTACTAATATAACATACATGGAATGATTAAATGTTTTATATATAAATGATTTAAATTACTGCCTTATGTGTGTAGGCCTATAGCTGTTGCTCTGCCTACCTGCTTAATGTTTATTTATGAAAATCCATGGTTTAAATTATATTCAAAATTATTTTTATAAAATAATATCTCAGTTTAAAATTAATCTATCTACGGTTATTTAAATGCTACATGACTGGAATGTTATGAGTGGGCGAGCGTCCTGTAGCAAAATGGCCGCCATGCGCAGACGTTGGTCTCCATTGGCTAACAGTGTGTGTAAGACATCTATCGTTTATATATATATATCTATCTATGTTGGCAGAGCCCAGCTGAGCAGAGAACCTGTCACTATCTTGTGGGTATCAGGTGGACTTGGCTGCTGGACTCTGGATCGATGCCTGACAGAGGAGCCAATCTTCACGGCTGCCCACTTGGCTGAGACATAATCATTAGCATTCATTTGAATTCTGCTCCTCTCTTCTGTGCGGCGTGATCGACGGCTCTCTGTCAACATTTGTATGAAAAGATTGTTTCTGGATATCACGACTAAAAAACAACAGGCTGGATTTTCACACTTCGGTCTGCCAGTTTGACAGAACATGGTGAAGACCTGATCTCACCGTCTACTCTGACACTTTTTATAATCAGTGTGCGCTGGATCCGGTCTGAACGGCCTGTTTCCATGTGGACTGAGGCGGGCAGGAATTCATGAATCAGAGATGGATTCTGAATTTGAAGAGGTACTTTTATTTTGGTGGGTTCATCACAAAAGACAATAAAGGCCCTGTGAGGAGGAGTCTTAATGAGAAAGGAAAGTGAAATCTGAATTTTTCTGCAGAGTATTAATTCATTGAAAACGTCGTTTTAATTTTCATCCATATTCAGTGGGTTCATCTCTGAAGGTTTTGTTGGTTTTGTTCTGGCAGAGTTTGTCAGGTTTATGTTTGGGCTAAGAGTCTTCACATCACTGTTGGGCTCTTAACTTTTCAAACCTATATTTTAGAGACTGTGTTGTACAATATTTATGTCTGATGACAGCTAAATCCTCTCGGCTCACGACTGGATGTGACTGAACTTTTAAAAAGAGCGAGACAACATTTTCAGGCCCGTCACACATCTATAACTTATCAGCAAGTTTTTCAGTAAATAAAATCCAGAAAACAAGGTTGAACTTCTTTAAATACGACTGATAGGAAACTTCTAAACTGCTGAAAAGGTGAATTATTATAAATATTATGATCTACTTTGAACACAAACTTTGTATTTCTGCCTCCTTCTGCCTTTAGGAGTTAAAACTTAATTTTAAAGTCCTTGTAAAAACATGAATCAATAAATTATTAAGATTTAATTAGAGCTGAAAAGATGCTAATAAACAACATCTGTTAATACTGGTGTAAAAAAGCCTAATTCACAATTAATTATAGCTTATCAAACAGTTTAGAGCTCTGATCAGATGATATATCACATAATATTACAGCCTCAAATGTGAATATATATAAGCTCATAAAAGCTCTTATAAATTGCTTATTAACTACTCATTAATAACGACAAAGATGGGAGTATCCTGTGTTGATATTGTGGTTTTTATTCTCTCTGGATCAGATCTGCGTGAGGAGACGTTTGGCTCGTGAACAAAGACAAAGAAACAGCTCTCTGTGTTTGTGAAGGCGCCAAACTCTCCGACTGAATCCCAGCCAGTCTTCAGACTGAATCAAGTCTAAACCGAGTAAATCCTCTGCATTTTGTTAATGACATGAATCAAAAATAAAAAAGTCCAGCGGGTCATTTTACGGGAGAGAGGTTTTCCAAACAACAACAAGACCAACAAACGTGGATCCGGCACGCAGAGGCAGACGGAGAATAAATAAGTAAAGAGCTGAAGAGTTTCTGCAGACTTTCTGAGACAACAGCTGCAGTGACCTTCATCAGCCTCGCCTGCTTCTTCAAGTGGCAGCAGACAATGCAACAGGATCCACCCCTGAGGCACAAAGCAGCGACGCTCTCCTGAGATTGTGAAGCAGATGAGTCAGAGGAGAGAAATCAAGCGGACTGTCTTCTTTAACTTTCATATTCAGCCTTGAACATAAACAGTGTTTCTCTCTCCACAGTGGGGCTGAAAAGCTCTTATCAAAGCCGGAGAAAGCTGCATGAGGAATCTGAATTTTAGTCCCTCTGATTTGACATTTGCATATTGCATTTTCCAATCCCTGCCTTATACAATTTTCAGCATTTTCCCTCTAAAAATGTCAATTACAGTTACTGCCTGAACACCAACTCTGCATAAATGCTCTCTGCAAGAGAAGGAGCGAGCACGCTGGTTTCTTTTCTCTTAAGGACAAACGCTTTAAGGTCACAGGCGAGGATGATGCATCAGAAATAAACCTCCGCTGACTCAGATCCTTCAGGTTTGACAGCAGGGACCAAAGACGGATGCAGGTTTTCATGCATTTCTCTGAGGACTGAGCGGGTGCTGCAACACTCTGACACAGCTTCCACCTATTTTGACGCCCATTATGGAAACACACGTTCACGTTACCGTTCCCCTGAAACCTGTTCCTTCTTTTTTTATCAATCTCATATTTTCTTTTTTTCAATTTGTCCTCTCCTGAGAACGAGTTTCGCTCTGAATACTGTCATCCGTCCCGTAGAGACTCTTCGTGTGTCACTCTGGGCCATGAAAGGATATAAATGTTTCACACAGAGGAACGTGTGAAGGAGAGAGGAGGTTCAGGTCCATCTCTGCTGCAGTCGACCGCTCCGTGTTTACGTTTTTATGAGGAGGAAAAACGTTTTTCCATGACGAGATGTTAGAGAGAAGATCTGTATCACACACAGAACATGTTTACACCTGAGTGTGTGTGTGTGTGTGTGTGACTCACCATCCATGTCTAGTCTCTGCATGATGATGGCCAGCTCCACCTCACTGGGCATGTAACCCAGAGAGCGCATGGCCATGCCCAGCTCCTGTTTGGAGATGAACCCGTTTCCATCCCGGTCCAGGACCTTGAAGGCCTCCCGGATTTCTGCGGAGACAAACAGGAGGACAGATTCAGCCTCCATCAACAGCAGCCAACACACACTCGTGTCGAGTGAGTCTGTCTTACTGATGTTTTTGATCGCCCTGCACTTACATGATCCACATATAACCAACTCTCTCTCTCTCTCTCTCTCCTTTTTTAAGTCTGCCAAATATCCCCGTCATTATTTCTGCACCTTTCTGGACTTCCTCTCACAGCTCTGAGCACAACTTTGATTTAAGAGAGTCGGTGGACATTTAACCCGTCCCTCCTCCTCATCATTTCTCTCTCTCTCTCCCTCTCTCTCTCTCTCTCTCTCTCCCCCTATCTGACCCAGCTTCAGCCTTTGTGTGTTCGCCAATTGGTCTCGCCCCACCGCCTCGAGTTAACAAGATCAAACCCGCCCATCGATTCATTGTCTTCACCTGCTGTCAGGGCCGCTGTCTCCTCTTCCTCCTCGGCTCACTGGTCTTTATTTTCTTCTTCTTTGTATTTAAGGAATAATCAGAGTTTTTTACGAGTTTATCATTTATTCAGAAAATAAAGCTCCTCATGTTTCTCCTCCTGGAGTCATAGTAAAATCGCTCTGTTTACTCTATAAGACTGATGCTCAGCACATTGAACAGGTGCATCACGTCTGCTCCCACAGTTTAGTCATCATAAAGGAGATTTAACGGCAGCTTGTTTCAGCACCATACGGTTCTGCTGGAGGTTTCATCTTTAACGACAGATTTGTTTTATTTCGAGGAGCCGGGAGCAGATCCTGCTCTCAGTTCATTCTGTAAAGTCTCATTATGACAGGCTGGAGGAGGACTCACTCATTTAGAAAGGACCGTAAAACCTCCAGAGCTGACAGACCTCTGTCTCTGAGGGTCTGATATAAACGGCAGTCACACCTCCGCTCCATGAAACCACAAAGTTTGTGACCGAAGAGAGAAATGGAAAACTCCTCTGTGGTTTCAGCTCTTCTCACTTGTCTGTTGCCCACATTCATGAAATCTTCCATGAGTGGATCGAAGCTGAACCGCAGAGAGAAGGTTTTCTGTCTTCACTCAGACTCTGTGTGTTTTCTCATGTCATCTAAAGTGTTTAATAAACGTCAGTAACGAGGTTTCAGAGGAGGGTTTTGCTGCAGGGATTTCATTTGATTCATTTTTATATTGAAGTTTTGAGGAATTGCTAAATTCTGCTAAAACAGGCAGTTTTAGATAAAACTAAAAACAAGATCTGAGACTAACTAGATCAACTAGGATATCAAAACAAAAAAGAGTGAGTGAGAAACGCTGCAGCATGAAAAGACTAAAAACTGATGAGCACTAAGACCTGTGGGAGTTTGTCAATACAGCAGTACTGACAGTAACCAGCAGGAGGCAGGTGTGTGTCTGAAAAGCAGAGGGACAGAATGAGCGTTAAGAGAGAGAGGCTCCTACACACTCGCCCTTCACACTCGTAGTGAAGTTACACTCGCAGCTGTGGAGAGCGCCTCAACTGAAATGGGAGGAGATAAACAAGACGGGCGGGTATGGGACGCCGTCCTCACTCCACCGGAAAACGGAAAGATTCATCGCCATAGCAACATAAAGACACGTCCTGTGCATGGCAGTGTTTCTTTCCTAAGAAAACAGGCATCATGTTCAGTTCTGAGCCGCACAGTCTGCCTCGTTTTTTCGTCGTGACAGGAACTAAATTAAAGTTCTGATTGTTAGTGATTCCACTCGTCTCTAAACCCCTTTACTATCTGACATGTGCCTGACCAATCAGATCAAACATCGGCACAGAGGAAGATATCGGAGTTTTGTTCGATCTTTCCAAACAAAGTATTTTGTGATTCTTTCGTCAGTGAGACAAAGGTGGACAGATGTGGAACTCATATTTGTTTGTTGTTTCCTCCTCCTCCATTTTCGCCGGCGCACTTCCTGTAAATCCCGCCATAAGTCTGCACCTGTGCAGGTTCACTGTTTGAGGGCTGAACGGTCCACTCGCCCTCCACACTCGGTGGTTTGGGACGGCCTTCAATATGGCGGCACCTCTGCATGGACGCGCAAACAGAGGGTGAGTGTGTGGGGGGAGTGTGTAGGGGGCGGTTTGGGATTGGGCCTGAGAGGCTGCAGCGATCATGATCAAACAGGGTTAAAGAGTCAGACCTCGATCTGAATCCTGATGAAGTTTTAAGGTCATGAAGGACGTTTTCTAAGAGCGTGAGAAGACCGAAGGATTTGTCACCCTAACATCAGAAATCCACGTCACTGTTTTAGACTTCAGCTCAGACTGAACAGACTCGTCCACAGCTGAGTCAGCAGCTGGTTTGTCGGCTGATCCACATGTGAACCAGTCGTCAGTGTAAACAGTGAGGGGGCGCCACTCCTGCGTGTCTCAGGACGAGAGACTGACGGGCATGTGGCGCCTTTACAACCACTCCTCTGAAGGACCTCCTGACATGCATGAACTCACTGAGAGCTGAATAAGAGGAGGAGATGGTTTAACCCCGTCCTCCCCAGGAGCTGCAGAAGCACAATATTAACCTTCAGAGAGACGTGAAGACGTCTTTCTGCAAGTTTTGGATCATGAAGCATCAAAAATTCAATTATTCGGTTATTTCATACACAAGATCCAAAAATTCAATACCTCAGAGTCGTCTCATAACAACTCAGCACAAGGTTAGACTGAACCAAATCAGATCATTACGGAACAAAAGGAGGAGTCATCGATCCAAACCATGTGGGAATGAGTCCTCATCGACTGTTTGAGGGGGACAAAGACTCGGCATTATTTCACTGATGGAACCGAGTCCCTGTCAAAGTGGAGTGAGAACCAGCCGTTAAGAAACGAGTTCATCAATCAGCTCATTATCGTCTGCACGGCTGTCACGGAGGAGAGGAGCAGTCTGCCAGCAAATGATTTGGAACAACAAAACCTAAATGAAGCGTAAATTATGAAGCGCCTCATAAATTTGTTTTGACGGAGTCGAGTGTCTTCAGTTTAGATAAAAAGAGGACAGAGTCTCTGACCTGAATCCAAACAGCAGCAGTCTGCCTCCAAAAACAGCTGCTCCTTCACAAACAAACCAGCATCACTGTTTGTAACTCTGCCAAACCCTGTTTTAATGCCGGTGTGTTTTTAAATGAGCGCGCACACTCACACACACACACACACACACACACACACACACACACACAAAGGAGAGCTATAACACACTTCAAAGGCATGCAGATTATTTCCTCTGCATGAACATGAGCGTGTCAGAAATTAATCCATGGGTGACTCAGGCCCCGCTGGAGTTTATATTGTGTCTGCAGCTTGTTGTGACAGAACAGAGGGACTGGGTCTAAACACTCAAATAAGACGAGTTCATGCAAACGCTGCACACCAATCAGGACTCAGGAGATTTTTAACTTCAGAATATTCCCACTGATGGACGAGATCATGACGAAACATCTTCTGACAAAACTGCAGAAAATAAAGCGGACTGCAGGAAGTCCAGTTTCAACACACCATGAGGGTTTTTGTGCTGGTGCTGCAGGTTCTCTGTCCCTGAGTGAACTTTCATATTTCAGCAGAAATTACAGCAGCAGAAGTTTAAGAGGAGAAGCGATGCAGGACCAGCTCAGACAGAGAACAGTCCGTCCATATTCTGGTTAGGAGAGGATCTGAGGAACACATTTGTTCATATTGAACTCATTTAGGCGTCCCAAAGGGATTCAGCACCGCGGACAGCTCCACAAACTCCTAAAGAGACACTGAAGACCATCGATGTACACTTAAGATCAGAGGTTCTCAGCTGGTCTCACTCTGGGACCCATAATTTCCAATGGTCCTTAACTTGTGATCCACTTTAATAAAATTTGAACCAAGAAAATTTAGTTTTTATAAAAATAAAACATTTAAAGACTCTGATGTTTGTCATATTTACACTTATTTTATTGAGTAAAGTGGATTTCAGAGAAGATGAACTGAGGACGACAACTACTGAAGTTGGAAATTTCACAAAATGGAGAAAAATGACAAATTTGACTGATTTTCATTCAGAGCAAATTCAGAAAAACCTGAAGAGGACAAAAGTGAATAAATATCAAACTGCACAAAATTAAGACCATAAAAAAACATGTAATTTTACTGCATTCAGGCCAAATTATTAAAGAAACGGAGGAGGACTACGACATAACACGTGCCTTTCAAATTAAGATAGTTTTCAAAATAAAAATATTCAGCTGTTTGCGACCCATCCAGAACGTGTCCGTGACCCACTTTTGGGTCGGGTCCCACCAGTTGAGAACCACTGCTCTATACAGTCTATGCAAAAGTACTACACCCCCCAGTTCCCCCAGAACTTAACTTAGACCCTGGTTCCTGGGGTCAAAACACACACAGTTCCTCTCAAGGTCCAAGTTCCTCCTGCTGCTAAAAATCACAGATTCAGGACAGCTGGTCGTGGTTCTGCATCCCTCCACCTCTGCTCCAGCAGCAGGAAGGAGAAAAGCCTCTGAGATACCTGCTGATCCAGTGGGAGTCCAAAAAGCAGAAGCACAAATCTTCATAGTCAGGAGATACTTCCTCTACACCCACAGAGTCAGACAGAAGTTTCCGAACACCACCTCCCTGCTGCTCCTCCTCCTCCTCCTCCTCCTCCTCCTCCTCCTCTGAACAGACACAAACTTCCCGCAGACTCACTGACGTCTGCTCCAGCTCAGCTAGCTTAGCTCAGACGAGCCTGAGAGTCGACTCAGGGGATTCCTCCGGCTGCCCCCTAAACTAAAGCTTTAATAAAAACGTCTTTTTCAGTTGATGCAGGAAAGTCCGTCTGCAGGACTTCTTCTATTCTTCTTCACTGTTAAGTCAGATGGAAAATAAGCCTTGACTACCTCAGTGGATGTCGATCTAATTCTGTGAAATCAATGCTACTCCACTCTGCTGAATATGACTCAGTCGGCTCAGAAATGGACGGAAACTCATTAAAAATCAACTTTCAGAGTGTGAAAAATCCAGGGTCAGGAAATTACTCCGAGGAAAAGTTCATTTTTATAAAACTCTGAAAAATAGATCCACGTCCTCCAGCGCTCTTCATCTAAAACCATCTTACATTCTGGTTGTCTACTGATGGCGGCCTGAGGTCAGAGGAAATGTCATTAACATTTGAAACGCATAAAAGTCGAATAAAGTACATTTCCCTCAGTGCTGCACTATAACCAAAGGTCACTGACCTCGGCCTGCAGCTCAGCGTGACGCTCTCTGAGGACCAACTCTGCGTGATCTTCCTCTCTTTGACTCTCTGATCCAGATCCTTTCCTGCTTTTGTTGAATGTCCTCTGAAGGTGAGTGTTAAAACCGTTCATTTACACTCACAGTCACTCATTCACTCATTCATTCATTCATTCAGTCAGGAGCAGATACACTCCTGCTGTTCTCTTCTCCACACCTCACCTGAACAACACTGGAGGTCCATTTACATAAATATGCTAATGAGGCGGACAAAAAGCATGTGCTCCGAAATTAACATCCGAAAAAAGTGGACAAATTGCTCTCAGGGGGCTGAAAGCGTGCGCTCATCTCATGAAGCAAATGTAGTTCAGACGAACCAATGACAGACGGCGAAGATGAAACACGTCACTCTGGCGGTGAGGGTCTGGTTTGGTTTTGAAGATGATAAAAAGCATCAAAGTGAATGTCAGTGGATTTCTTGGACACTAAAGACTCCTCATCTCTCCGATCCTTCAGGTGACATTTTGAAGACTCTGGTTTCAGTGTGTTTGACAGACGCTTCAGTGTAATAACATATTCACCCTTATCAGCAGCTCCAGGATCAGAAAATAGACCCTGTTTACCTTTTATTGTTGCCTTAGCGGCTCAAGCCGAGCTGATCCAGAGGAGGCGTCAATCTTTCTACCTGGACTATAATTTCATATGAAAAAAAAAAAAAAAACAGGGGGACCATTTAGCTCTGCAGAGGCTGGAGAAAAAAGCCAGTCCTGGGATGAAAATAGCCGTCTCCCTCTGAATGACTGACTCATGTAATTGTTGAGTCTTTATCTTTACGGTAACTCGAGGCCGTTCGTCTTTATAATCCTGACACGCAGCTGCAGCTCCTTCTGAGAGATGAGACATTTACAAAAAAGACACTTCAGCTGAGTGAGAGTCCACACCCCCGGCCGGGTAAAAGACCGTCCAGCTGCTGTAAGCTCTTTAATGGCGCCGGACAAACGGAGAAAAATGGCTTCTTTAAATCATGAGAAGCAGGAGCGGTGGATGAAAATGGAGAGGAGGATGAGGACAGGAGACGCAGGAGCTTCAAAAAGACAAAAGACAGGTAAATGATGTCCGATTAAAGAAACCTCGGTGCCCTTGGATTGTTCGGATTGTCTGCTTCCAGGTAATGATGACGAATGTTACCGCCATCAACCGAGAAAAGCTGCCGTTAAAGTCGCCGTGGTGGTCATCAGCCTTCGTTTTGAAGGCGGTGATGTCTTACATCTCTGGTTTTTGGCTCATACTTTCACAGCTTCATGTTGAACATACAGACGGTGAGCACCGATAATAAATCATAAAAATCTATTTATGAAAACCAGTTTCATCCTGAGTCTGTGCGGCTCTGTGGTTTCACTCAAACATGAAGGTTCCCTCACTGAGCCCTGCTGATGAAACCCTGAAGAGCTGCTCTGTAAAAACAAACATCATGTTTGATCGACGTCAGTCAGTGAGTCTCTGGACCAGCCCGACTTACACTTATAATCAACTTTAGAGGAGGACCTCATCTGTTCTCCTCATGATGTTTGTAGGGCTGCCAAGTTTCACAAAGTGACAAGAGTGAGACTTCAGTGTCATGTTGAGTTTGCTCAGCGGTTACATTTTTTTAACGTTGATTTCTACCTTCAGACTGACGTCCTCACCTCCATGTCAGCTGTTCTCCATGATGTTCATCTTAATTAACCAGAAATTAAAAATGAAAACCGTAACATGAATTTTGACTAAATGCATTTATTTGTCAATATCACATTACATCGAGTGGGTTTTAAATGTTGGCGCTGTTGTCTGCGAAAGATAGAGACGCCAAGACCCGCCTTACGCTCCTTCTGATTGGTTTATATTTCATGGTGTCTTCTGTGGTCGGTTAGATTTTGGCAGAAAGGACTGATGGATCAGTCTGGGATTGGTTATCTCGGTCAGTCAATCAGAGTTACTCGAACTACGACGAGCCGAGTTTATTATAATAAAATAAATACAGAGTTTTGAACGGGGAAAGATAAGCGTGAGAAATGTCAAGAGTGGCGTGTGAGAACGGGTCAATTGTGACTTCCACGCTCAAAGCGTGACGCTTGTGTTTGCATGATATTCGATACTAGGGCTGAACGATTTTAGCCAAAAATAAAATTCTGATTTTTTTCCTCTATCATCTCTCTATCGCTGCACAGGAAACGCACCAAAGACAGAAGAAGAGTACAGAGCATGTGTATAAAGGTTGTTTTGGCGCCATAACAGAGTTACTCTGTGTCACGTGATCGTTTCCAGAGATGCAGATAGACATCCACACGGAGATGAAATGGTCGTCGTTTACAGATTTATTCACTCTCTGACCCGTTTTCAAAAAGTACCGTTTACAGTCACCTGAAACGCCGTTTCCGTGTGGATGAAACGCCGATACGACAAAAAACTTTAGCGTTTCCTCCTGAATTTGTTTCCATGGTGACGGGTTGATACCGCCTTCAGACAGACTTTGCAGCGGGGAGTGGTTTACTCTTCATCTGAAACTGTGAAGTCATACCAATTCAACACGACTGACTCGCTCTTGTCCTATTTAACCACGAAATTATCACCTTCTTTTACAAACGCCATGTTTGTTTACGGTCTAAAATCGGTGAATCGTGCGGCCCTAACTGTTCCCCTCAGGGTCTTTGCTGCTGCTCTCTCTGCCTCCACAGTCAAACCATCAAACATTAATGTCTCTTTGGGGAACGCGGTCCTGACTGAACTTAAGGTCGTCCGCACGCCCACCCCGAGGCTCCCTCTCCTCCTGACAGGTCATCTACGGTAAATATTAAAGCGGTTCATAGTCTCAGTGTTTAGTTGACCTCATGTTGACCCTCCAAATATATTTTTGTTTCTTATTCACCGACCAGAGCGCGCTCTCTTTAAACAGGAGGAAGGATTGTTATACAGCCAATACCTCTATGCATATTAAAACTCCATCCTGACAGCTATTACCACGCCGGGCAATTTTCATGCCCGCAGCAGCTTAATGTTGCGTCTGTGGATTAATATTTCGGCGGTCTGGAGGAGTCGTGTTTGTCGGTCGGCCGTGAGGCTTCGACTGCTGACTCAGGCGGACTGTAATTGATCAGGTTTGTGTTTTAGGGGCTCAGGTGATTACTCTCAGACAGACAGCAAAACAAAGGCTTCATAAACACGGCCTCAGTTACAGCAGAGAGAGAGAGAGAGAGAGAGAGGCAGACCTGAATGCTCTCGCTGAGATAAGCTGTGTGATGAATAACACATTACTGAGCATTGTTGTCTTCAAAGAGGAGGAGGCTGTTGCTGCTTTTGTTGCCGTGGATTGTCTGTCGGAGCGCCGCTGTAAAACTGACCGGGTGGGTTTGATGAGCAGCGGCCTTAAAAATGAACCCGTCTCTAAGTTTGTCGTGTATTTGTCCTCTTGTACATCCTGTGCTCAGAGCGTGTTTTCTCCATGCATGTTCGGGGATCTGCAGTGTGTTTCCTAAAATAGTCGTTTTTACGCAGAGACTCCCACAGTGTGACCGTCTGATCCGCCTCAGGTCACATGACTGAGCTCCTCCGGCTCGACACCTTTGTTTACTCTTGATTTTACTGCAGAATTCACACAAAAACATTCATATACATCCCCTTTTCTGTTGCTGTTCTATGACAGCAGGTTTGTTTTCGACTTCAGGTATCGGCTTCCTCAGTTCTGGCTCTGAATCTGAATCCTCCTCAGGCTGGCATGAAGTGGAACTAAAGTGAGCTGCAGCCACTCTTAATCATCTGAATGCAGCACTATATTTCAAACGCAAGAATTTTACTCTTCATTATCCTCTTTGCACAATGAAGCCGGCGCTAAAAAATAACTCCTCAGAACAGACTGAAGATGTCTGGAAACAGCGAAAAGCAAATACGCTCGTGTTTTATGGAAAACTGTTTATAGATTTATGTTTTTTTCACTGAAATGTTCCAAAAAAAAACAAAACAAAAAACAGCTTCATTCAGACAGTTTTTGAAAGTCTGATATTCAGGAAACAGAAACAACAAAAGTAAATCAGAGTTTAAGGTGTGGGCAGCAGTGAAGCCAAATCTCCACCTGGTAAAAAACAGTCAAATACTGCCAGTAAGGTTGACAGGAAGTTGCTGTAAAATTAACGGTTTATTTCTGTTCCTGAAATTTACAGTTTGCTACAGTTTTTATGAAAACAGCAGAAAGCCGTTATTTAAAAACCTTAACAGGAAAATCCCGTTGAAAAGATGTTTACTGTTTATTTACACTTTTTCTAAAGAGGTAGATTTGCATATTTTTACTGTGAATTGCAGCAAAATTTTACACCTTCCTAATACTCCATTTCCTTCGAGCAAAACTGACAATCTATGTATTTTTCTAAATGGATGTAAACAGACATTAGGACACAGCAGGAGGTCTTACCGTCGAGCTCCTCCGTGGAGATGCTGGCCAACACGTCGCTGTCACTGTCGGACAGCGAGCGGCTCAGGTAGTTCCCCTTATAGAGCAGACCTGCCGTCACATGGTGGAACGGCATCTTCTCCCTGAAAGACAGAAGGAGGAAACTTTGAGACAGCAGTGAAGACGGAGAGGAGGACCTGAAACACCTGTTAGCCGGCTCTGATAATACAGTATAACACATCTTTGACATTTCCAACATGTAGTAAAGTATTTTTACGCCGAGTCCTAAAATTTGAAGGATTTGAGGATTTTAAGATGATTGAGTTGAGTCTCTCTCTTGGTCTGTTCACTCTGTCCCTCTGCTTTTCAGGCGCTCACAGACAAACACAGCTGACCCTTCCTCCTCCTTCTCCTCCTCCTCTCCCTGCTCTCCTCTCTTCACCTGTAGCTGCCTGATAGTTTGTACCACCGTTCCTCAACATGTCAAAGATTTAGCGGTCGACCATTAACCTTAGCGACAGTCCAGACAAAAATTGTCTGCGGGGTGCCGCAGCTCAAGGAAGAACATTTATGATCATTTCTTCATGGAAATACAATCAGACCAAGACGCTAAGACAGAAGAACTACCACGTCTGTAAAATGATTAATATGGTGATTATTACTTCAAGGAAATGATAAAGAAATGATCATAAATGTTCTTCCTTGAGCTGCGGCACCCCGCTGTAGTCTGTAATGGACTGGCCTGGGGTCTCTCTACAAACAAGCGTCTGCTGGAAGAGAGTAGGTGAGTTGTGTTTAGTCTCTTTGCTAAAGAAATGAGTCAAAGTTAAAAAGATGTTTGGTGTCTAGGACTATGTCTGGGACTCTATATGTCCTGTTGATGAAGTTAGGTGCTGTTCTGAGCATTATTTGTGGCTATAGAGGTCGTTACTAAAGTTGGTATAACTAGAGAAGCAAGCGGTCGACAACATTCATCTCTGGAGGGGGGGTCTGACTCGGTGTTACGGTGTGTCTGACCCTACATTAATTTTACACCGGAATATCCCTTTAAGAAGTAACTTAGATGAGAGCCGACCAAACGTCCTCAGGTGGACTGTTACAGGTTAAACAGTACGGTTCACACAAAGGGTCAAAATAGTGACCACCTTTGAGCTGAGCATACAGGTGCAGGAGATCAGACTGAAGGGAAACTGCAAAACCTCTGTTGTGGAGAAAGTGGACCTGACAGAGGTCTTCACAGAGGTCCTCACAGAGGGGGTCTTCAGGCTGGTACGTTGTGATTATGTCTGATGATGAATCAGAGGGAGAATCAGACAATCTGCCAAACTGAGGTTTACTGAATAAAGGAGGAAGCAGCAGACGGGAACATGAAAAATCCTGAATTAGAGTTCCTGACGGTGACGAGGACAGCTTTACATCGTTAATCTGGATTTAACTGTTTTAAAAAGATACTCGTGAAATTTAAATGAGTAATTAAAACGGGATTAATCTGACTAACTTTGGAAACTCTGTGATTAATCTGGACTTTAATATTCACTCCTCTGAGAAGAAAAGCTCCACACCTCAGCTTTGTCGGATCAGTTTGTCTTCTGTGTGATTTAATCTACATGACTTTGAATTAACTCTGTTTTTAAACCAAAAAAGGAGTTTAAAAAAACGAAACATTCACTTTTCATTATTTATTGATACCATCTCAGGCAGAGGCGGCTGCTCCGCCTGCTTGTGCTCTTTGAGAAGCTGAAACAAATCACAGTCAGAGCACCACGGCGGCATAAACTGGACCATAAACGAAGCAGAACTCATCGGCTAAATGGAAAGTCGTCCTGTGATGAAGTCTCATATGAACGTGTCGAGTATGTCTGTGTATGTGTGAGCGCGTGAAAGCATGAGTGTGCGCTTGTGGGCATGTGCGAACGGTATGTGGGAATGTGAGTGAGACGATGAATTATTCAGGACAGAGAAGCCCAAAGAAGACGCAGGAGGAGAATAAGAGCGGAGAGGTTTGGGCAGAGACTTCCTCCTCTCTAATTGGATCTGGACTCAGTGAGAACCTCAGAGACAGACTCAGGGTTCGACTGCTTTGAATCATCTGGTTTCCTCATTTGTGTTTCACTCTTTTGTCTGTCTGACTTCAGATTATACCTCCGCAGAGCAGCGAACGCCCCGCAGTCACAAACCCATTTCCTGTTTAATAATTATAGGACACAGTTTCACTAAATGAATCATTTGCTGCTTTTGAATTAAGAGTACTTAAAGCAATCAAGGCTTTTCCAGGAGAAGACGATGTTTTATTCATGTTCCTGATGCTTCGTCATTAAGGCGCCATTTAACATTAGTTTGTTTTTACACGACAGCAGAAGAATCTCTGAGATCAACTCTGAGCGTTTCTGCGTCAAACCTTTAAGTGAAACATGAGGTCCGCTGATTAGGTGTTAGGGCTGCACGATTAATCAATTTTAAACCCTATTCGGATTAATTGATTATGACGATTTTCCTCTCTATCATGTATTGCACTTCCAGGCCACCGTAGGCTCCTCCCCCTTCCCAGTTCCCACACACACCAGTGTAAACAAACATGGCGTTTGTAAAAGAAGGTGAAAATTTTGTGGTTAAATAGGACAAGAGCGAGTCAGTCGTGTTGAATTGGTACGACTTCACAGTTTCAGATGAAGAGTAAACCACTCCCCGCTGTAAAGTCTGTCTGAAGGCGGTATCAACCCGTCACCATGGAAACGAATTCAGAAGGAAACGCTAACGTTTTTTCGTATCGGTGTTTCAGGTGACTGTAAACGGTACTTTTTGAAAACGGGTCAGAGAGTGAATAAATCTGTAAACGACGACCATTTCATCTCCGTGTGGATGTCTATCTGCATCTCTGGAAACGATCATGTGACACACAGAGGAACTCTTTTATGGCGCCGAAACAACCTTTATACACATGCTCTGTACTCTTCTTCTGTCTTTTGTGCATTTCCTGTGCAGCGTTACAGCGCCACTTACTGGCTTGGCATGTGAACTACATCGTTTTCAGTTGTTTTGTTTTGAGAGATGATAGAAAAACTTTTTATTAAAGTGAAGTTTGATGAAGTTGTTACTAAATAAAAAATCAAAAATCTAGTTTTCAGAGAAAAAAATCTGGATTTTATTTTGGGTCAAAGTCGTGCAGCTCTAATTATGTTCAGATGGAGGTGAGGCCTCTGATTGGTCAATTCAAGCAGGAGTGAAGCTTCTGATTGGATGAAGAGGACCCCAGCTGCTGCGTCCTGTGAATCTGTGTCGCCTGTTTCTGCTCCTGCTCTGATTGTTCGATTGTTTTCTTGTAAATTCACAGTGAAAGCTGAACTCTGAGAATCTGCAGAGAAGTGACGTCTGTCCTGATGGTTCATAAACTTCATAAATCTCATTTTGGAGCTGCACCTGTATTCAACATGTAAAGTCCACTCCATAGATGCTCTCATTAATAAGGTTTAAAGTCAGAACAGATCATCACTGATATTATCAAACAGAGAACCAACAGTCCTCTGATAGTGAAGCAGAAAAGCAGAACTAAAGGTTGGAAATGAAACTGCACCTCAGAAAAGTTCAGACATTTTCTCAGCGGTGAAAAAACATAGTCATAATCTCTGTGCCATAAATGATCAGAACAGCCTTGAGTTTTAATCTCTGACTCTGTTTTCCTGTATTTAGAGGTATTTTATCTTAGTCCAGGAGCTAAAAACGGCTCATACTTCACTGTTTGGAGCAGCCAGCCATCCATTACCCCACAAATGGAAAAGCGGCCCCTGCATCTTTCTTGTTTGTCAGGTTAATAAGCATGCAGAGCAAAGACGGCGGCAACTGTGCCCAAAGCTTTATTTATGACCAGCTAATGTGGGATTTTCATTTCCTAATTCATCAATTATTCAGTCACCTCTCTGCTGTCGTTATGAATATTCACCATTGTCACTCGGCCGTTTCTTTTCTCCTGATAACCCGATCTTTGAGGCAGGTTGGGTTTTTTACAGTCCACACGAGCCGCATTGATCAAACCGTTCACCTCGGAGACACTGATTTACATCCTCTCCATGACGGTTCAGTTTTCAGGAGCAGATTTTGGATCCATCTTTGGTCATAGGGAGGAAAATCAAAGCTGGGATGTGGCGCCATTTGAAATTTTGCGCCCGAAGGTCAGTCAGCGGGTTAGCGTGTGTGTTTCAGGTGGTTTTCATGTGGAGGGAGAGTGTGGCGGCCATTGTAAGTGTCGTCACGTTTCTGACTCTCTTTCAAGTAATCTGCTTATTCAGCTGAAAGCTCGCACTAACCAGCTACAGCGGCGAGGAGCAGAGTGATGCAGGATGATGGAGAGACAAGGCAGAGATGCACCACTGAGGCGGTCGGAAGCGAGAGGCGGCCAGTTCGGCTAGAAATGAGCCGGGTCAGCATTTCTGAACATGGTGACCAACATGGATTGGCATGAAACGCCTCTTCTGAAGCCAACGGGTGATGCCACTGAGACGACATCCGTGATTTTAACAGGACGCAGGAAAAGTGAAGGGAGACGTCATTGTTGATTTATTTTCACCTCATTTAAAAACACGTCGGAAACTAAAACAGAATAAAGTTTATTTATTTCATGATGATAAACTTAGTTTGAGTAACTCTGATTGACTGACCAAGACAACCAATCCTAGACCACTCCATCAGTCCTTTATGCCTAAATCAAACCAACCACAAAAGGCATCACACAATACAAACCAATCAGAATGAATGTAAGGCGGGTCTTGGCGTCTCTAACTATCTTTCACACACAACATTTAAACTCCTCGACTTCCCAATTTTGATCATACTAAGTTATTGTAAATGAGTTCACTTTTTAGATATTTTTACTAGTTTGATGACGACGTAGGACAAATCTGATATTTTAAGCTACAAATCGATGTTGAAAAGGCCTCATGTTTAAATTTTTTCGCGCACAGGTCGGCGCATCAGAACGCGACAGTCTCTTGTCATTTCCTGAAACCTGGCAGCCCTGTGACTGTGTATCATCATATTCTTTATTTGATTAGCTTGTGCGGCACACAGCTTTGTAACTCTCGGGGGAACTGACTTGATTCCTGCCTGTTCCATCGTTAAAGAGGTGCAACTTGGTGGGCGTCACCGTGGTTATTTAAATGTACAGTGTTGGAAAAAAGTTTGGAATATTTGTCAATTCAACCCCAGCCTCGTGTTTAACGCGGTCTGCTGCTTTCTGGAGAATTATTCAGACTTTTTAATGTTCCCTGGTCTCTGTGATATGTTTTTGAAATTCACATCAAACTATTTTGTTTCTCAAAAAATTGTAGGGCGGACACCTCATGATTCACAAAAAGCCATAGAAATAACGCATAAAATCATGAGTCGGTATTTAATAAATAAACGGCTGTAATTTTAAATTGCCACAAAATACGTGGACCATCTTTGAAAGCAACATCAAACATAACAAGACGATAACAACAATACAGTCAGTACTTTGTGTGACCGCCTCTAGCATTGCACAATGCGCGTACACGTCTGGGCATGCTGGTCACTAGGTTGGTAAGAGTTTCAACCGGGATTTCTCGCCAGCATTGGATCACAGCCTGAGTCAGTTCAGCCACGTTTGTTGGAGGATCATTCACGTTACACGAAACACTGAAGAAAATATTCCAAACTTTTTTCCAACACTGTATGAGAAATACAACGTGTGGCGTGTGAACGAGTGGGAATGCGTGAGACTTGAGAGCCCTGCTTACATGTTTACATGTTTTGTTTTTTTTAAAGTCCAGTTTCAGTCATAGTTTAGTGATAAATGGATTTTTTAACATGTAAACAAACTAACTGAACCAACGAAGACAGAAACAAAACTGAGGAGCTTCATAATCGAAGAAGACGACCCTGAAAACCACCTGTAAGACTAAACCGTCTGAACGCAGAAGACCACGGATCATTCCAGAGTCTATAACCGACTCTCTTATATATCTATCTACAAGGAAGTGATGTTAATGAAGTCAGAGCGCTGAGATAACCAGACCTGTAGAAGACGGTCCTGAACAGAGCGGCTCACGGCCTTCAGCTTCTTCATTACACTTGATTAAATTGATCAAGGTCTCAGCAGAACGAGCTAATTCGCCCTTCAGGAGCCGAGCAACATCTAGTAATCACTTAAATCAGGAAGTAATCACTGCAGCCTCAACGAAGAGCGCAGAGGACCTGTTCTCTATTCCCTGAAAAGTGATGAATCAGTTCAGAGAAAGGGAGCCGAGGATTCTGGGTATAAAACATTCAGATGGACCAGCTGATAAAAATAATGACTTCAGAGAAATTCACTGGATGATGATACCTGAGAGATGGATCCTGAGACTCACACATCTTATATCTTTAAAAAGTTCACTCACAGTCAGTCATCGATGCCGTAATATCTGGACTAGAGGCCCCACAGAATCCCCCAGACTCTCCCCTCGTCTCTAAAGTGATTTTTTTTTCTGCTCAGTCGTCCAAAATCCAATTATCACCTCCAGATTATTTGACTAACTGTTTCAGTATTCCCCCTAAACGGCCCGTTAAAAATTTATCTTCTGTGAAAGTGTTTCAGCTAAATGAGTTTAGTCGGGCTGTTGTGTCGACTCCGACTGGACCCGCACCGGGACGTGGAAAATCCAATCGCACACGAACACGACCCTAAAAGCCGAATGATCCTGCTCTCGTTTTACGGGGTATTAACTGAAATTTTTACATCACGTTGAAGCCATTAGCTAATGCTGTTATCTAAAGGAACTTTGAGCGAGCGAGCGAGTCTCGGTTCAGTTCAGCGAGTCCGCCTCAAGGACACGATGATCTGACAGGAGGGAGGGTTGTTGATGGCTGCACTCGCTGTGATTGGAGCGGCGGCCTTAAATCTCAGAGACGACCTGGAGCTGCTGCTGGATCTCCAAAATTTAAGACAGACTCGACAGTCAGAAGGAAGGAGCTGTTTTCATTTCTAAGACATCCCTAACTCTCTGTCAAAGACTTCATCTGAGTGACTGAGCTGGAACAGGTGCACAGAGACGTTTCATTATTCTGATATTCATTAGAGATGGACTCATTAATTGGTCGGCCAATTAACAGCATTTGGACGTTTTCTTTGTACGATTAATTATGATGATAAACTCGATCATCTTCACCCTGAAAGTCGGATTTCCTTTGAGCAGCAGCAGACAGATTCCTGCATCGTTAAAGTCCTCTCGTGTCGTTCAGGTCGGTCACAACAGAGCTGGAGTTAATCACAGCTCAGACACAAATAAAACCGCCTCCACTGACGCCGTGTGCACGCCGTGTGCACGCCTGCAGGTGAAGCAGCGCTCCACACTCTGAGAGGAAAACAAAGATGGCAGCGAAAACTCCCTGACCTTGGAGGAAGAGGAACTAAGCTGTTAATCTGTTGAGAGTACATGTCCTCAGAGGAGCAGCAGGTAGACCTGATGAAATAATATCTCTGTGTCTAACAAACATCAGGGATGAGTGTCGGTCCTCGGAGATGATCACACAGGTGTGGGTCCAGATTAAAAAGAGGACTAACTTATGAACGGTTTGTACCTTAAAGTACGATCGTTTACCAGAAAAACACCTGAATCAGCAGATTTGTCGTCCTGAGATGTTTAGGAGGTAGTGTTTGTGTCATTCATGAACGATTCGTTCAAAAGAACTGAACAGCTGAGTGAACGACGTTAACTGAATCACTCAGAGACCTGATTCGTTCCTTTCTCAGTTCAGTTGAGCTCCGGTACAAGCATGGTGTGCTGGTCGGGAGTGGAACTGCTGCCTTTGACTCTTTGGCAAACGACACACAACCAGCCAGCCAG